CCATTCAAAAAAATATTTTTTTGAACAGAAAATTCCAGAGGGACCCAATTTATTTTTCTGTTCAAAAAAATAATTTTTTAAATGGCTTTTTCTATTTTTTCTCAAATGGGTTTTTCAAATGGGTTGTAATGTTTGTGTACCACTATTGTCACCCAAGGATAACAATTTTGAATCACCACCGATCCAAAAAAACGAGTTGCTTCTCAACTCTTCCAAGCCAAATTACAAGACAAGCCTTCGCGCCGGATTGTCAAACTTTGAAATTTGGAAAGTGCTGTCGCTACAGCTTCGAAAGCCAAGACCGTTCCATCGAGTGGTAGTAGTGCTGGTCACAGTCTCCTGTACGCACGAAAGATGTTGTTTTCGAGCTCGGTCATCAGAAACAAGAGGAAATGAGAGATTGCACGCGTCGGGAGCGCCCAGACCGTCGATTTCGTGCAAAGGAGTCAAAAGCTGAGCAAACTTTACTGGCCAACAAAACACAAAAGTCAATTACCTAAGAACAAGATCAAATTGGAGGGGTCGGGAGATCTTCCAAAGGGTATGGATTCAAACCAAGATGCAACTGAAAGGGATGACTCTGCTCAAGATAAACATCTTGCAATCAGATCAACCCCTAAAAAGCCTAAGGCAACAGTTCCAGTAACCAATGCATCTCCTCTGGAATACCCCAACCAAAAAATAACTTCGACTACCCAGAAGGAAACAACCAGTGTCTCCTCGGAGATCCAAGAGGCTTATGGTGGGACTGACTCAGCATTTCGGCTTTACATTTTGGATCTGAAGCGAGCTCAAATGGCAGAGGAGGGCTGAGAAAGTCTGCATAGACTCCGGTAAGTTAGGCTATGTTAGGGCTACAAGAGACGACAAGTCTATCTTCAATTAATATCTTCATTGTATCAACCCGGTGTTTACGCTTAAGTTGTCAAGCTGAAAATTTCAAATGAATCAAGAACTTATCATTTACAAATAAAATCATGCTTTTGATTTTATCGTCTCTCAGTCATTGTTATTAATGCCACGTCCATAGAAGCAGATTTTCAGATAAGTATCCTGGGTTTCTCATCCAGACGATCATTCATTGAATATAATTCAAAAATACTCATAAGTTCAAAGGTACTTTATACACAGTTCATTGACGCTGTAATTATACATGAAAAGAGCCAACAACTCAATGACAGTGAACAAACAATGATATTTCATCTCTTCATTCAAAGATGACCGTGAATCGGTCATTGGGACTATGCTCAGTTTTATTGAATCAATATGCATTGTGACCATGTTCTTGATCTGTGAGAAAATTAGAAAGAGAAGGTAAGGTTATGCAAAACCTGTTCTTCTCCTTTACTACTTTGACCTTAGGGTTTACAAATAAATACAAAATGTATTGTGCTTTATATCCAATGGGCCAGTTCTTCAATTAACTGTTATCAAATTTTGATGTGTTTACATTATGTGACTATCCTGAGTCTTACAACTTTTCATAAGCTGATTTTGATCTCAATGCTTGAAGAATCTCTCATACCCAGCTATCCTCAACGCTCTCACTGGAGAGTATCCAATTTTTCATCACCTTATACGGACCATGCAATTATTGTCCTCAAATTATAAAAAGAGTTCAAATTTTACCTGATGTGGAATTTTGGAAGGGTTTGATGTGTTGAAGGAGGAATAGTGATGGAGATGTTGAATTATTGCACGTGTGCTCTGTAGGTTTGGTAAGTGTTGAGGTTGTTTGGGAGTAAAATTTGCTGCTAAGACTTTTTGTTTGGTTACAGGTTCAAATTTGAGACAACTGATCTGTTGATCAATAATATTACCTCTTCCTTTACAATGAATGAATTTTATATTGGAAATATCATCAAGTTGAAGGGTAAAATGGTGGGATATAATTATGTGGTGAACAAGTGGGAAATGAAGGTGACCAAGTTGATAGCTGTGTTGTACCACAAGTCAAACTGACTCTGATTCTGGCCAGGTAGCAGAGATCCATATGAGTCAGTGGCAAGTCAAGCACAAGATGTAGCAGAAGATCCTGAGGGTTTCCAGCAAGGTAAGCAACTTCTGGTCTCAAGCCAAGGAGGAGAGTGATGTGCAAAAGTGTTGAGGGTCTTTGTGGTGTAGCAGGGGCGTCGTTGTACATAAAGATGAGTATTAACACAGCCTACAAATAAGCCAAATGTTTATGCTGCTCCTCATCATTTTCAAATGTGTAATGAGTAGGGAGTAGCTTGCATTATGATTTCATATTGAGATTAACAGTGGGAGGCTACAGCCAATCTGCTTGGTTCAATTCTGCTGGTATCACCATGTAAATATTTGTGTAGCACGTTGATGTGCACACACAAAAGGCTTTCCTTAGACCCTGTAACGGCCCATCCAAGAGGTGCCACAACAAGTGCATCTTGCCCTTATCACCTAGGAGGTTGAAAGTCAGTTGACCCCTCCTGACAACAAAGGATTCTGAAAATACTTTGAACAAATCATAAAGCACAAAGGGTGCTCAATAGCAATCTCAGTCTAAATCCGACCAAAAGCCTTTGAGATTTGTTTCAAAACTCTTGGTGTGTGCACATCAACATGCTACATGGATATTTACATGGTGTATATGGTCGTAATGACAGCTTCTGGGAGGGGTGCAAGAGGTCTACATTGGTTGAACAAGGCTTTGAAGTGGGGTTGGACCAGTGGATATGTGTGAACTGAGCTTTACAACACTTTGGTACTTGAAGGTAGCAGAATAGGGACATGTCTTAGACTTGGCCAAAGGATTTGTTTGGGAACACAAAAATCATGTGACCATGGCGCGTATGAGAGGCCACAAAGCCCTATAAATCTTTATATTTTGAATCAATCATGGGATTCAGGCAAGAAGAGGCAAGAAGAGGGGAAATAGAGACATGTCAGATGCCATGTAATCTTGACCAAGTCTGTAGTACTGAGGGGCGGCGCAGCCGCCCAAGACCTTGTGGTGAGATAAAATCAAGAACATATGATCATTACCTTTGTAAACTTGTTCTGGCACTGGAGCCATGTTTTTTGAAGGGTGCCAACTCGCTCGGTTCCTTTGAGTGCCTCTGCGCAGTGATTCCATGTCTCGTTCTTCCAGCCCGAGTCAGACATCTTCCCAGCTTCCTTCTCTTTCAAGAGGAAATCGACCATTTTTGACATGTCCTCATCGGTCCACTTTGCCGTGACTTTGGGAGTATGAATATCTTCATTCTTAATGATCTCTTCTTTCTTTTTTGAAGGCATGCTGAGGACGAGGGATCGGATTGACTGTATGTACAAAATTTTATTGCATCTAACAGCAATCTCATGAAAAATTTCACCTCGTTCACTCCAACATCGAAATCGATGATTGTGGAACTTCACCGAAGCAAGGTCTTTTCATGGCAGTAGGCAGGTCAACCTGCGAGAATGTGGCAAAACGGTCAACCTGGCAGGTCGACCGATTTGGCTGGTAGACCTGCCGGGCGTACGCTTCACCCTTTTCCCAAAAGGGTGTACCGAACGCCTCAACACTCAGGCGTACGCTTCAAACTGCCTTGAAGCGTACACCTGAACTTTTGGCTGGGTCAACCTGCGAGGTTGACGGCTACCGAACGGGCCCTTAGGAGTTGTTGGCTTGGTTGGAGTCTTTGGGGTGGTTGGTTTGGCGGGTTTAGGTTTAGTCGGCTCCTCTGGCTTTTTTGGCTTGGTAGGATAGGCCGGGGTCTTGGGAGTGGTTGGCTTCTCAGGCTTGGTAGGAGTGGTTGGCTTTGCAGGCTTGGTAGGTGTGGTTGGCTTCTTGGGCTTGGTAGGTGTGGTTGGCTTCTCAGGCTTGGTAGGTGTGGTTGGCTTCCCGGGAGTCGTAGGAGTAGTTGGCTTCGCGGGCTTGGTAGGTGTGGTTGGCTTCCCGGGAGTCGTGGGAGTAGTTGGCTTCCCGGGAGTCGTAGGAGTAGTTGGTTTCACAGGTTTAGGCTCAGTCGGAGTTGGAGTCTGAAGATGATTGTAAAGAAGTTGAACGGGAGACAAAGAGATCATAGTTGAAAGTTGTTACGATATTATCTGGTTAGTGTTACAATATTATCTGGTTAGTGTTACGATATTATCTGGTTAGCTGGTCAAAGATCACAATCCCTTAAAAGGAAAGTGAAAGGTGTTGGATTTAGAAGGGTGTATGTGGTGAAAGTAGACTAATGCGCTGTGGGTAAACTAGGAAGTTGGACAAAGGTATAAGCGATGTGGAAAATGTAGACAGGGGTGTTGGGAAAATCGTTTGGGAGTTTTCTAATATCTTTTGTGTTTCTCTTTCCCTCTTTTCTGATTCTTTTCTTATCGAAAAGAATCAGTAAGTTATTTTACTTTTACATCATCATAGTTACTTCTTGATTGTGCACTACTAACTTTACTCAAATACTTAGATTTTTATTTCAACTCTTTTGTTGTCTGTTTAAGACCTTTCCCTTACGCGCAATCTCAATTCATTTCGAGCTCGCAGGTAGACTCTCTTCTTTCCTTTACTTTTCTAAACTTGTTCATTGTTTTGATAGTTCTCTTGTGTTGTTGATGTTGGTAGGTCAGTTATTATTGTTCTCGACGTGACTAGCGGATAGCTGTAGTCTTACGCCGGAACCTGTGCCCTCAGGTTAGTTAATCGAAAAGAATCAATTTTTATTTCAACTCTTTTGTTGTCTGTTTAAGACCTTTCCCTTACGCGCGATCTCAATTCATTTCGAGCTCGCAGGTCAGTTATTATTGTTCTCGAAGTGACTAGCGGATAGCTGTAGTCTTACTCCGGAACCTGTGCCCTCAGGTCAGTTGTTATTGTTCTCGACGTGACTAGCGGATAGCTGTAGTCTTACGCCGGAACCTGTGCCCTCAGTGTTCATTGACTGCTACAGATTATCCTGCGACGACGTCCCACCTAGATACCCTTGTGGTTCTAGAGTTTCCTTTCGTCGAGAACTCTTTATGGTAGCGGGAGTAACCGATCTTTTTGACCAGTTTTTGCTTGTATGAGTTCTGAAGACGCCGACATTATCTCTGCCGACGATTCTCAGGACAACTCAACCGTTACCGGTGGTTCAAGCACCTCAAGTTCAGCCGATACCTTTGGTACGGTCAAACAATCTCTTACCGAGTCCGTGTCTGCCGACAATCCTCCTGGTCAATCTCGTACTCTGGAACCTTCTTCATCCGTCATGGCTGAAAGTAGTGATTCAAGAGTATTTGGAGATGCTATTCAAAAGTATTCCCAAATCATGACCAACGCTTTAAGCAAATACAAAGTGTCTGATGATTTAACAGACGAAAACTATACCGAGTGGAGTCAATCCCTCATGGAGGTATTTCGATCGCTAGAATTCCATCACTATGTGAAAGTGAAAAATTATCGCAACCAATCTCTTTCGGCTGAAGAACATGAAAAGACACGCTTCAATCTGACTACATACATCTTAAACCGATTAGATTTGATCAACAAAGTCAGAACCAGAAATCGACTCACTGATCCAGAAGATCCCTCCGAGATCCTGTATGATCCATTTCTTTGCTGGTCTTTTCTAAAAGAATACCATAATCGTGTTTCCGAAGATAAGCTAGAAGCAGTCACCAAAGCACTCTATGCTTGTCAAATAGTCAAATCGGACACTCTTTCTTCCTTCATCGACAAATTCGAAAACCTGATTAGGGAGTTCTACCGCCTGAAGGGCGAACTTTCGGATGTTCAATCTGCAAGGATGTTACTCAGTGCAATTCCTTCGCTATCTATCAAAATGAAGGAATACATACACAACACTGTAGTACCCTTAACTCGTGAAGGTGTCGCCACTTATCTTCGCAAGTACGAAGAGCGACATGGTTGGACTTGTTCAGCAATCCGAGAAGCTAACGCCGTTTCGATTCGACCAAACAAGAAGGTTTCGGGTGAATGTACCCCTGATGAATGCGTCGGTCCACATCTTTCAAAGAACTGCTGGTCCAAACCCGAAAACGCAGACAAGCGTCTAGCGTTTCTGGCGAAGATTTGTGGGAAATCCGGGGGTGGAAACCTAAACTCGTCTACTCCAATCACTCAAGAATCTTCTGTAAGGGGAGCGAAGAAAGTATTTGATTCTAGTGTCAATAATGCGTCGGCCAGCATGGCGTTTCTTTCACTCAATGTCGAGTTCACTGAAGATGTTAAGGATAACAGCTCAATTACCTCTGTCTCGGCTTCACCATCTGAATTCGATGAAGACCCAGACATCGATGCCTCTGTTTCGGCTGCTCTTTCTTCGTCTCGAGATTGGGCTCTTCACGACACGGGTGCAACTCACCACATGTTCAAGGATGTTAAATTTTTTGATCAAACTACACTTGTGAAGATTGAAGACACCAGTAAACGACTCAAGTTAGCTGGTGGTGATGTATCATTGGCTGTTCATAGTCGTGGAGTTACTAAATTATTAGCTGGTGATGATTCAGTGTTCGAACTCAAGAACTGTCTTTATGTTCCGGAACTTACTCGAAATCTGGTTGCCGGTGGCTTATTGAAGAAATTAGGTGTTCGAGAATTATTCCACGATTCCAAGAATTTTTCTCTGGTTCTCAACGGACTCGCAATCTTCAACGGTTTCATTTCGGACAATAATCTTATGTTCATACTGCTCGAACCCGTGAGTGGCTCTCACTTATCCTCCATCGGCGCTTCAATAACTGAAGTCTCCTCGTCTCTTCAACACCGTCGATTAGGCCATGTTAGCAACAAATATCTCAAGTTGATGGCTAAACATGAAAGTGTGGAGGAATTTAATTATTCACACTACACCAAATGTAATCTTTACCGGGCGGTAAAGAAAACTACTGACATAGAAAAGTCAAACCCGGCCTCGAGCTCGTACTTTTTTAGAAAATGTTCATGTGGATTTGAGTGGAATAATTAGAACAACTGGAATTAATAACGAAAACTACTTTATTTTATTCTGTGATGACTACTCTGCCTTTCGCCACATTTTTCCTCTGCAAGACAAAACCAAGGAGGAAGTGTACGATGTTTTTATGTCTTATATTGCCGTTGCTGAAAGGCAAACTGGGTGTCCTCTCAAGCAATTCACTCTTGATCGAGGTAGTGAGTTTCTTAACAACTTACTTGGTCCCAAGCTCAAAGAGCTTGGAATTACTCTTCACCTGACCTCAGGATACGCTCCTGAAGAAAACGGTGTCTCCAAACGTGGTATGCGAATAGTCAATACCAGGGCCCGTTCGATGATGCTCGAATCCTCTTTGCCAATTCGTTTTTGGTACTACGCCTGTAGTACGGCTGTTTTTCTCACCAATCTTTGTGTCACAGCTACTCTTGAAGGAGGCAAAACTCCATTCGAAGTGTGGTATTTTAGGAAACCTTCCATCCATCACTTACGAGTTTTTGGCTGCCAAGCTTATGGACTGATCAGGAAAGAACTACGACCTTCCAAGTTTTCGCCTGTTAGTTCAGAAGGTGTTTTACTGGGATTCGAAAATGATAACTTCAACTATAAGTTATTCGATCTAGCGTCAAAGAAAGTTTATATTACACATCATGCGACTTTCAATGAGGAGCACTTTCCCTTCAAAACTCTTCCTTCAGTACCTTCTGCCGTAGACAACATTCCTGAAAGACATCCAGTTCAAGTCCGCTTCTTTGATGACGACGACGATCTGCTGGATGATCAACCAGTTCCTGCCTCAACCTTGATCGACAACTCACATCAATCAAGTGAACCTAACGTTGTTCCAACTGTTCAACCTGTCACAAAGCCAGTTGAAGCTCCAAGACGTTCTAATCGCGCTTCAAAGAAAGTTCATGATACTCTCAGGGGCATGTGTTCCGGTGCTGAATTTGACGATGATTTCATTACTGAATCATTCTTTGCTTGCTTGCCGCCTGAATGCAACTTAGCGGGTGTTCTTTCATCACCTGATATTCCGAAATCCTATAAACGAGCAATGGCTTCTGTAGATGCGAAACTGTGGAAAGCAGCTTGTGATAAGGAGTTCAACTCGCTTAGAGATAAGGAGGTGTGGGAGTTGGTTGATCGACCAAAAGACAAGAACGTGATCAGGGGGTTGTGGGTGTTTAGGAAGAAGTCGTTAGTTGATGGTAGTGTTAAGTTTAAAGCCAGGTTTGTTGCAATGGGGAATACTCAGATTCCTGGAGAAGACTACGGGGAGACGTTTGCTCCTACGGGTAAGCCTGGCTCGTTGCGTATTCTTGTAGCCTTAGCTTCAGTAAACGGCTGGGAAATCCATCAGATGGACGCCGTCACCGCTTTTCTGAATGGACTGTTAGAAGAAGAACTGTACGTTGAAATTCCTGAAGGATATCGTCATGAATCAACAATTGGTAAAGTGTGGAGAATGAGAAGGTCACTCTACGGTTTCAAGCAATCCCCGAAGATCTGGCAAGATGACGTCGAGTCCTTTCTCATTGAAGTTGGTTTTGAACAGTGTGAAATTGATCACTGTATATACATTAGATCAGTTGGCAATCTTTTTACCGCCGTTTACGTTCACGTGGATGATTTAGCGATAACGGGAAATGACATCACAAAATTTAAATCTCAAATTGCTGCAAAGTGGGAAATGGAGGATTTAGGGATAGCTCATACAGTTGTCGGAATTCAAATTAATAGACTTAATCATTTAACTTACTCGATGTCTCAACAACAATACACTCAAACTGTTCTCAAGCGTTTCAACATGACTGATTCAAAACCGGCTGTTACACCTTTATCACCAAACGTCAAACTTCTACAATCAACTGAAGAAGAAGCTGAAGAATTTTCGAAAACCAAATTACCTTACAACAGTGTTGTGGGGTCCTTGATGTATCTCGCTCAGTGCACGAGGCCTGACATGGCTCACGCGGTTGGAGTGTTATCTCAACATCTCAAAAGTCTGAATAAACTTCACTGGGATGCGGCTATGCATGTCCTGCGATATCTTAGTCACACCATCAATATTGGTATTGTGTATTCCGGAAATGATTCAAACATAGTTGCAGGCCAAAGGAGTTTTGAGTGCCCTGTGTCTCATTGTGACGCTGACTGGGCAGGCGACGTTAACACTCGGCGGTCGACTACCGGATATGTCTTTGTACTTGCTGGAGGACCTATTTCGTGGCGAAGTCGTCTTCAACCAACGGTGGCGCTTTCCTCAACTGAAGCTGAGTATAGAGCGATTACTGAGGCTGGTCAAGAGCTATTGTGGCTGAGGAATATGATGGCTAAGTTTGGCTTTATTGATCCTAATCCTACTGTTTTACATAGTGATAACATGGGGGCAATTCATTTGACTTCAAAATCAATTTTTCACGCAAGGACTAAACATATAGAAATACATTATCATTGGATAAGAGAAGTTGTGAAGAAAGGGGAACTTACCATCAAACACTGTCCTACTCACTTGATGGTGGCGGATCTTTTAACAAAGCAACTGCCTAAAGAACAGTTTTCAAACTTGAGGAGGAGTTTAGGGTTAAGGTTTCTGGGTTGATGCTCTTTGAGGGGGTGTGTTACGATATTATCTGGTTAGCTGGTCAAAGATCACAATCCCTTAAAAGGAAAGTGAAAGGTGTTGGATTTAGAAGGGTGTATGTGGTGAAAGTAGACTAATGCGCTGTGGGTAAACTAGGAAGTTGGACAAAGGGATAAGCGATGTGGAAAATGTAGACAGGGGTGTTGGGAAAATCGTTTGGGAGTTTTCTAATATCTTTTGTGTTTCTCTTTCCCTCTTTTCTGATTCTTTTCTTATCGAAAAGAATCAGTAAGTTATTTTACTTTTACATCATCATAGTTACTTCTCGATTGTGCACTACTAACTTTACTCAAATACTTAGATTTTTATTTCAACTCTTTTGTTGTCTGTTTAAGACCTTTCCCTTACGCGCGATCTCAATTCATTTCGAGCTCGCAGGTCAGTTATTATTGTTCTCGACGTGACTAGCGGATAGCTGTAGTCTTACGCCGGAACCTGTGCCCTCAGGTCAGTTATTATTGTTCTCGACGTGACTAGCGGATAGCTGTAGTCTTACGCCGGAACCTGTGCCCTCAGTGTTCATTGACTGCTACAGATTATCCTGCGACAACGTCCCACCTAGATACCCTTGTGGTTCTAGAGTTTCCTTTCGTCGAGAACTCTTTAAAAGTGACAAAAATCGACAGGTTCAGCATGTCAGAAAGATTATAGTTATCATTCAGGACCAAAAGCTTACCTTCACATAGGAGTCTCGAGCAAGGATAGTGGGCCTTCCAATGTCGATTTCAAATTACGCGCGACTAAGCTAGACCTATCAAAGAAATATCAGTTGATGAGAAGGATGTGATCAAAAATCATCAAAGGAAAGACTTACTTGACACACCCTTGTCTGGCTTCCAAGGGGGCGGCTATGACTCCTTGGTCAATTTGCAACACTGTGGAAAAAATTATTCAAAGATTATCAGCACTCCACTTAAGTTGTAGGCTTCGAACGGGATTCTAAGAAATAGGCTTACCCGAGAACATTGCAAGCACAAAGGCAAACATTTGTTTGAACGACATCTTGGTAAAATTAAGGGATTTTTGTTGGTTGGATTTGGATTATTGACGGTTTGGTATTCTATTAACCAAGAAAGAAAATTAGTAAAGGAATTGAGAGGTCTGAATCACAATAATAAAGATATATGAAGAAGATAGTCTTGATTGAAGTGTGGGAAACAAGAGATTATATGATTGCACCTGATTATTGGCTTACTTCACTCAAAGTAGGAATGAATGATGATGAGGGGAGTCTCAACCCATCGACACACATGGGCTTTTATAGCTTTCCAGAAATGGGTGAACGATGCTTGAGAAGTACCTCGCGTGTGTGTGCCAGTGGTGAACATTACAATTAATCTCACAGGCGATTCTTAAATTGTTGTTTTCAGACTGATCTTCAGAGATGAGATTTGGGACATGGAGATATCCTGATACATCGGTCCTGAATCTAGAAGAGGTTGGCTATGCTGTTGCATAAAGGTTAAACTTGCTGCGAGCAAAAAGAAAGATGGGATTGGTTATGTAGTTTTGATCAAAGATTGGTGATCTGATCCTTTGAGATGAGGATGTGTCGCCTTTGTGGAGGATGATGCTCGTCATCTCGCCTTGTAAGTTACCAATTTTCTTACAAAGGCTTCATAATGGGGACTGTTTTGACCTTGTGAATCAAATCTTGAGGACAAATAGAAGGCGCTCGAGCCAAGTCTTCAAGCTCTTCACTCACGAGTAAACCCTTGGGATGTATGATCAGTGAGTCAGTCTAGAGCTGTCACCCGGTCCCCCATTATACAAAGAGAGCTGACCGACACAGGAACCCATTTGGTAGTCTTTGCAGGCAGGGAAATCTAAAGTCAAAACACGATGAGATGTGAACATATCACAAGATACCCATTTGGAGTCCACGTGCCTTGCTAACTTCACAAGTTTGCTGTGATTCATGAAAGACACATTCAAAGAACTTGTTTGTTGACTTGGGGATTCAGAGATGATGTAGTATTTAAAGCTCAACAAGAGCTTTACAACACCTAAGAAGGGATAATCTACTACGTGTAATATAGTAGAAGTTGCCTAAAGACTGCCTTATTCAAAGAAACCAGCACAAGGGCACTTGCTGACCACTTTGTGATAACAGAGAAAAAGATAAAGGCACCAGAGAAATAAAGCAATACTGTTTGTTAAGTATTATTCCCAGATTTTAAGCGCAAAAAAGTCACACACTATGTTTATTACTAGCAATACTGTTGTAAGTATTATTCCCAATTAGACTTGTAGTCTTTAACACACGTAAATAAATTTCTCCTTGCTTTGAAGGGGCGGATTTAAGTGATCTTAGTACAAATATAGTAAATAAATGATGATTTATAACACTACAACAAAGGTATAAGATGCAGAAAAGGGCGCTACAGTCCTAAAATCATCAAGGAGTACTTATATCCACATGTAACAACTTTTACAACAGTCAACAGCTTCAAAGAACCAATCAAATCCGCCTAAATAACCCTAAAAACCATGTAATGATGCAATGTAATGATCTTGTTACTAATGTATGATGTAATTTTCACAGCCAAAAGTGATCAATGACACAATGATGTAATGTACAGCACTTCTTATGATGAATACAGGTGTTTTTTTCCTTGTAAACTAGCTGAAACCCAATTTTTGAGATTACGAATTTTTTCAGATGTGCTCCAATTTTTGATTACTAAAGTGCATCTTGTAGCCCACGTGTTACTGATCATTTCTGACACCTACATGACCTACTTCTGATGAGTGATGAGTAAGATATTGAGTTGTGAAGTTAAGGTTTTTTGGTGTTACATGTGACTTGTGACTGTAAATTCGAGATTCACACCAATTTCTTATTTCCCTTATAACTTTTTACATACACCTCCGTTACTAATGATTTAAAGGTTGTACATTATGTAATCCACTCTTCTGCGTTGAATGAACTATTACTCAGCATTTTCTGACGTCATTTGACACATGTAATTAGCTGAAAACCTCCATCTTCGACGATTTTCACCTATTTTCTTCACTTTTCACAGCTGCTACTCTCTTTTTCTTGCTCATGTAATATGACATCATCTTCTATAACCTTAAAAATCCCGGAAAATCCTCTTGGCAACCTTAAATTCCATCACTACCACCATTACACAACTAAACTACACGTGTACCTCTTGTTTACCAACTTCGAAAAAGTACCTTTCTGCTAATAACTTCTGTTTCCCCTTATCAACCTTGAATATTAAAATTGTTCCTGTATAATAAACTGTTGTTCTTTCATATTCTAACCTCATAAAACCCATAACTTAATATTAAATAAGCTAAAAACCATTTTCCAACTTTTACACCTATATTTTCGAATTTTTCTTATCTTTTCTTTTTCTGTCTCTTTGTAATAACTTTGTAAGTAAACTATGTTGATCTTAATAATAATTTTGAAATATGATGACATAATAATAAGCTAATAAGTATACATAAGCCTCTAAGAGCTTCAATTGATCTGAAAACCTGAATTTCGAATTCTCTGCTATATTGAAGTTTGCTAATAAATTGGTAAAGTAAAAGATGATTTAATTTTCTTGCTTGATACCATAAATAGATCACCACAATGATCGTCAACATAAACAATTGGTCAACATAAACAATTGTTAACATTCGGCTATGGCACACCTCAGTGTTCGTCCTGCTCACCAAATGAGGCACTAAACAGACGATGGTAAACATTCTTAAACACCTGATGGATTTTCGAGCCATCTGAATCTTGATTGAGACTGCTAGACAGCAATCCAGGACAGCAATTCAGTCTGACTCATCACTTTTCCAATGTAGCATATGATACATGTATCCTCAATTCCTTTGTGGATCCCGTCTTCAAAAGCTGTGAAGCTTTTATAGAAGTTCAATCAGGTCTTCGCTCAGAAAAACTACTGAGAGCAATGAGAGTAAACACTTGAACCTGAGAACAACAGTAAATAATACAAGGTGAAAATGAAACAAAGAAACTATTGATGGTGAGGAAATTCTAGGTTACTATTCCGGTGATGGTGAGGTATCATTATGTTCAAACTAGAAAACAGGTGGCCAGCCGGCACAGTACACTGGGATTACAATGGTGTACGCATCAACCAAGAGCTCTCATATCTTGTCATTGTGCCTCCAAGCTTGGAAGCTTTTCCTTGCCAAACCAAAAGTGGGACAATTGCTGTGCAATTTGTGTTGTGCTTTGTTGTTTTGATTTTATATATTTCAAATCTTACTCCTCTACATATTACCAAAAACCTCACCTGGGATCATCAACACATTGTATAGCCTCAACAACTAATCACTGGTGCCAAAAAAACTTATTTCAAGTTGTTGCTCAAAAGCTGATAAGATTATCTAATTTCATGCTGTTCACCAATGAAAAAGCAACAGATTATGGCTGTTCATTCATATTCAGCAATCAAGTTCCTTTGAGAGACACAATACATCAATTCAACAAAATGGAAGTGTAGAGCCAATTATCTGTTTCATTGCAATAATGGCCTTGTGTGATTGGAAATTTTTATCAATCCAGTGAGTAGTGAGCCCAAAGAGGCTGGTTGTTGGTAGAAGTCCAGGTGTTGCCAGTTAAGCTGATGTAAGATTCTGCAGAAAACATCTTGATCATATCTTTGCAAGTATTCTGAAAATGGTTCATGAGTTTTTCTGCCAAGGCAGTAGATTCAATCATGTATGGAATGACGGCTGGATTGCACAACTCAACATAGTTCTGGAAAGCTGGGGCAACTGCAGTAAAAGAGAGCTCTTCCTCAACACCAAAGCATATAAGAGCTGCTGTAACTGATTCTTGATTGACTGGGCTATGCTGAAGAACAGTTGTCAAGAAAAACTTTCCAGTTTGTATGCTGAAAAAGACCAGTGGCATTACAAGAACATGTACATATTTCAGTGCCCTGCTTTGGATGAAATTTCTCATTACACCTGAGTGAGGAGGGGGGCATCTGAAGTTATGCTATGTTTTTTGAGGTGGTGACTCTTGGTGGACCAAAATTTGTCTGGTTTCCTTAAAACACCACAGACACTTCCATCTACGCAAAGGAGGATCACTTGAATTTTGAGCACCTTCAACATCTATAGACTTGAAGTGGGGCCCCACCAATAAGTGCACTGCGTCCGCCAGAGCCGTTCTCGACGTCGAGATGGTCATAAACTACAAAGGGGCCCTTTGTAGTCGGCAACGTTCTTGACGTCGAGAACGACTCTGGCGGATGCAGTGGTGCTTGCTAGTGGCCTTCTTGGAGCCCACATTTGAAGCTTCTGAACCTGCATCAGAAGTCGTGAGGTGTCTGGCTGGAACAAGTGGTGATGAGGCATTTGATGATCATGGGAAATGTGAAGAGGTGGAAGAAATGGTGTTTGATGAAAGCAGGAGCAACAGGATGATAGCAAAGAAACAAGTTAATTTATGGCTTGAAGAAAATTTGACACCAAGACTCAAGTATTGGGTTTGGCTGTGCCTTACCCTACCCAAATAGGGTCAACTTTTTTGGGCCTACTGAGTCAGAGCCTTAAAGTTGAAGAGGGTTTCATCTCAATAAAGCTCTATCAATGGAATTGGCAGGTGGATTGATATTGATTTATCCTCAAATATCATTGTTATTTCTTCATCTTCAACTGAGGTAAAATGATTGATGAAACAAGAAACACAATGCTCATAAAAGGGCCAACCAATTCAACTCTACAAGTTGAGGCTTAGATTAAACTCATGGATAAGTTTTCAATTGCTATCTGCTTATATATCTCTCTTATAGTAAAAGAGACTCTGCTTATCAAAAAAATGTTTCAAAAATATTTCAATACTCTTGGGAAAGACAATAAGATAGAGAGAGACAGAGAGGATGATGTGATAAAAGCTGACTGCCAAGTCAGAAATGAGGTGTTTATAAATGAATCAATGTATCTATAAAGATCAATTGACTGAAGTGCACTGCCAAAAATGAGCCAAGGATAAGGAATTGAACTCAACCACGAAAGAATTCAAATGAGAAGCAATTATCCTGAAACACTTGAACCACATCAATTTTCAACTCTTGGGCTGCTTCTGATGTGATATGTAACCCTAACCATTGAATTTCAACAATGCCTAAATCAATCAAGGTTTTTGTTGGTCTTGCTTTGCATGTCAAGCTGAAACACAAATTCCTCTGGATGAACTTTGAAGTATAGCAGACCATGCTACAGTACCTGTGCACCACCAGTATCTGTCCAAAAGAAATGGCATCACTGGGTGAAGATCATGGCAGAAATAATTGATAAGTTGACTCTCATGATAGATCCATTGACAAAGCCAAAGAAGGGGACTCTTCCTACTCCAGGTAAGCTAAGGATGACATCTCATGCTGAAATGTGTTCTTGTAGGGTTTATCTGTCTTTGTGCATTGATTTTTGGTTCCTTCATGATTTCCTACATTGCCCTCTTCCAATTCTTTGCTGAACTTGTGGATATCATACCCAATAAATGTCTTTCATCTGTCTCTTCTTATCTGCTTTCCCTAAGATTGGGACTTGGCAGAAGCCCTTCCATGCCTACAAATGTGGACTGTGACTGTGAGGCTGAAGATAAGGTGGTCACAAGTGAGCTCCAGAAGCGCACAGGGAGCGGTGTTGGGAATACATACATAAAGTCACCTTCAGGAATTTATTTGGTGGATGTAGAAATATTGACTGACAGTGACAGCAGATGGGGCCATCCACACACATATGTAAAGCTTGCTAGCTTGGAAATATTGGATTATAACTATTGAAATAATCAAATTGCTCTACCTCCCTTCAATATCAAACAATAAGGATTCTCCTTGAATCATATTTGTCACATGATTCTTGGCTTTTACGTCATGTTGTGATGTGGGAGCTGGCTTAAATCCTCTCCGTCCTGGAAGTTTTTTTCAAGAGGGCAAGGGTAATTATGACAGACCATAATCCTCAGTAATCATTGGCTTGAAGCTCATTGGTTTTGAATCATCATTTGGTCAGTAGATATCATATGGTCATTTTGGTCTTCACAAATTTTCATATGGGGCTGCAAACTCCATAATGAAGTAATCCTGATATCCCTCTGAGATTTTGTTGAAAAGGATCTCAAATTTACCTTAAATTACTTTGGAATAATCCTGAAGTCACAGGAGTCTCTTGCCTGCCAGTGACCAAAACCTGGAGGCTGTGTATACACATGTTTCTGTTCTTTCAGCTTTGATTTTTTTTTGGCTTTCCTCTTTCTACATCAAGTACTCCAGCTTGGTAAAGATTCAAGATGAGTCAATATGTCATCATTTAGATCCTAAATATGATTGGAAATTAATTAATTGGTATTTGAAGAAAACATATTTACTGTTGCAAGCTTTTGGATGGTACACTTCAAGTTCCTGATACCAACAAACACTCTGAATTCATAGTTGTCTGTCTATCATGCTTGCAAGATCTTGTTGGTTTCTGTCAAATTTGTTTCCAGAGTAATGAATAGACTAAGGCAGATGTCCAATTCAAAGGAGTGAATCTTTAATCAATGATGGCAGTTATCCTTTTGAAATTGTGGCATGTAAATACCCACACACATAGGCCTCTAGATGACTGCAAGGGGCAAGGATAGCTCTACCTTTTCTTTCCAATTTTTTTGTAGATCAAAACATGATGTTATTCTCATATTGAGATAGTTCATTTATATCCTCAATTGATTGATAACATTGCTAATTGTCTTAAAGTGCAGGCTTTGTAAGCTTTAAATGATGAAAGACTCTCTCTGTTTTTATTTTATTTTTCTGTTTGAGAGTTATCATTTTATAAATTCATAATCACCAAACCAAATATGTAAGAAATCATTTCAATTTTTAATACATTTTGCTGATCAGAGCTACCTGGTTTTGTTCACAAGCCATAGTGAATTTGAATTTGGTGTCTCTTATCCCATCACAAACTTCTATGCCAGAAATATTGGCTTTGTTTTAAATCAACTCATACTCTTTCCAATTACAAAGAAATGGGAGAGGATTCAAAATGACACCTTTCTTCTCTTTTTATACCATTGAGCTTTAAATGTTTTGGTACCATTCCCTCCAATCAAATGATGAAAACAGCACATCAGGGCAATTCTTTATGAAATCAAAACTCTGGCGTCTCTGTGAATCAAATCAATCTTGTCTTTAGAGCTGGTAAGTCAATCAGAGTCAATGTAATTTTTGTGTTTTTATAAAAAAAAATTGAACAAATAGAAGTGTATCGTGTGTCTCAAGCAGCAGTGCGTATATACCAGACCTGTGCTCCACAAGTTGTAGTTGAAGACACATCAGGTGGTTATAAGTTCTTGTTTTCAATTTGAAGTAAGAGACCAAAATAACCTTATTTACTGATATTGACAAAGAAGTAAACAAGACTTCAAGTATAATCTTAAATCGTAAAAAAATGATTGATTCTTCTTAATATACAAAACATACATACAAAAAGATGATAAAAGAATGACTTTCAAGTTAGATTACGAGGTAAAACAAAGAGACACGGAAATAAATAAACGACTGTAAACAGCTAATTAAAATGATTTATACAACTTTGATATCGATTCTGATCAATCGGTAATCAGTAGACAGGATTTTTCACTTTATTATCTGAGGAACTAGGTTTGGTAGGAGTCTTAGAAGTCTTAGGAGGGGTTGGATACTTTGGTACCTCATACTTGGGTTTAGTCGGTTCAGTTGGAGTCTTGGGAGTCGTGGGTTTGTGAGCGGTTGGTTTTTCGGGTTTAGGTTTGGTAGAGGGGGCTGGAGGCTTAGGAGTGCTTGGCTTCTCGGGTTTGGGCTTGGTAGGACGAGTTGGAAACCTAGGAGTACATCTTTCAGGTTTAGGCTTAGTAGGATGCGCTGGGGACTTGGGAGTAGTTGGCTTCTCGGGCTGTCCAGGCTTGGGCTTGGTAGGATGATCTGGAGTCTTAGAAGTAGTTGATTTTCCAGGCTTTCCGGGATTGATCGGATGGGCTGGAGTCTTGGGAGTAGTAGGCTTCTCGGGCTTGGTAGGCTGCGCTGGAGTCTTGGGATTAGTCGGCTTCTCGGGCTTGGTAGGATAGGTTGGAGGTTTAGGCATGCCCGGCTTTCCAGGAGTCTGCGGAGTACTTGGTTTTGCAGGTTTAGGATCAGCAGGATGAGTTGGTGTCTTTGGAGTGGTTGGCTTTTGGGGTGTAGGCTCAGTTGGATGGGTAGCAGTCACATTGTAGGCAGGCTGAATGGGCGAAAAGGAAATCATAGGTGTGAAGTGAGAAAAAGTAGCGCGTTTGATAGGTCAGCAGGCTTGTCACACAAGATATAAGTCAAAGCAAGAAGCACACTTTCACGTAGGCGTCTCGAGCGAGAATAATCGGATTCCTCGACATCGATACGACATCACGCGCAACTGATCTGGGCCTATTAAAGAGATATAAAGCAAGAATGAGGACCGGATGGAAAATCATACCAGTAAATCTTCACTTGACTCACGCTTTACTGCTTTCCATGGGTGCGGCCATAACTCTTTGATCAATTTGCAAAACTGTTTCAACAATTAATGCTCAGCACTCCACCTGAAGCTGACTGTAGAGCTTTTAAGAGAACCCTAAGAAATGAGCTTACCCGAAGACATAGCAAGCACAAACGCAAACATGTGCTTGAACGACATCTTGGGGAAAATGAAGGGGTTTTGGTGAGATTTAGATTGGATTGTTGAAGATTAGGTATTCTATCAATGTAAGCGACACATCAGTAAAGGAACTGGGAAAAGTTTGATTCATACTGATAAAGATGGATGAAGAAGTGAAACTATTGGGGAAAAGAGATGATATATATGATCGTACCCAAAAGATAGCAATTCTCTTCAGTCAAAATAGGATGAAGGAAGATGATGGAAGGCTCAACCCATCGAGATCCTTGACCTTTTTATATGATTCTGCCCATGGGTAGATGATGCATGTGAAGTCACTCGCGCGTTTTCGCTGTTGAAGGTCTTTGCCCAGGATCAATCCCATACGTGGAATTCGAAATGCTGAACTTTTGTCGAACCGATCTTCAGAGATGGCATTTGGGATATATCATATATTGGAGGTGCACGATAGGCTTAGCTTGCTTTACAGATCATATCAGCTGTGCTGTTGCATGACGGTTAAACTTGCTCTTGTGCAAGTAGAAGGAAAGATGGAATTGGTGCTTCGATTGAAGATCCGCGATTCGATCCTTTGAGATAAGGATGTGACGCCTTTGTGGAGGATGATGCTCGTCATCTCGCCTTGTAAATTTCTAGTTTTGTTAAAAATTCTTTAGAATGGGGACTGTTATGACCTCGTGAATTGAATCTTGAGGTAAATCAGAAGGGATCGAGCCAAGTCTTTCAGCTCTTCACTCACGAGCAAACCCTTGAGATGTATGATCAGTGAGTCAGTCTACATAGAGCTGCCACCCGGTCCCCAATTATACCAAGTTGCTTCAAGGAGAGACACACAAGACCCCATGTGGTAGTCCTTCAGGGAAATCTAAAGTCGAAAAACCTGTTCGCCACTTATTCACCGATGAGATGTCAACATACTCCACGTGCCTCTTCACAAATTTGCTGTGACTCATGAAAGACACGTTCTTTAAACTTGTTTGTTGAATTTTGGATCCAGAGACGATTGTCCACATATTTTTTGAAACATCTCTGATTGTTGATCTTCCTATATGGTTCATCCAACAAGGGACCCAAAAGATGATGATGAGATTCCATCGTCTAAACTCGATTGAAACCGCTCTACCAAAACCCACCAAGCGCATTTATTGGCGACAAGTGTCCGCTCTTATCGTCGGTCGTCACACTCTTTTATATCCTTTCTGTTTTTCTTTGTTAGTTGTTACTAACTTACATCTTCACAAGTCGGGTGTTTATATTGCTCACAGTCTCATCGGTGGATTTTTGAGCTTTAGAATCATGTTTCAAAACTTTCATTATATCCAGTCGCTCTGTTTTGTTAATGTCTCAATTTCCTTACTTCTTTGGTCCAGAAATATCCAAAGTGTGTCACCGAATAGTTCTGTGTGGGTATGGAAAATTTTCGTAGACGTTGTGTTTTCCACATCTCACAAGGAAACAGCACACTTGCTGGTGTTGACCTCACCAGGTGTTTAATTATGATTTTATCTTGAAGTATGCAGAAGCAATCCAATGTTTCGCAAGAAACCATCACTTCACTTGATAGGTTTCGATCTGAGAAAATAATATGGAAGTGAAAGAATGATGAAAACTTTCAAAATTGAAAAAGAAATCAAGTTGAAGGACATTGAGAATCTTCGCAGTTTTATAGTTTCAAGTCTGTATAATCAGATGGTGACACCCGATCGGTGCAGATCGGTTATCGGTACATCCAAAATGTGATCCAGCAAACTTCAAACACACTTCTCTCATCATCTTCACCAACTCAAACAAAGAAACCGAAATCATACCCATCAAAAAACCGAACCTCAACCAAAAAAAATGGAATGCAATCAATACGGAAACCCAGCTCATTTACTTCCACCTTCATGGAAATCAATCATAACTGAATGGTTAAGAGAAGATACTCCTTCATTCGATTATGGTGGATTTGTTGTAGGAGAAACCGATTCTGATGCAATCTTACTAGGAAAATCTAATGTAAAGTTCCTTATCATTCAATCAAATTTTCCACCCAAACCCATGTGTTGATACGTTATCGATTCACACATTAGGGTATACTTGCAGGTGTACCATTTGTAGATGAAGTATTTTCTCAACTTGGGTGTAGGTAAATCATCCTAAACCTTTTTTTCGGATTCTCGATCATTAAACTTTGAATAAAGAGATCATCAAACTCATGAAAACTTAAATTATGTATTTGGTTGGTTTAGTGTGATTTGGAATTTAAAAGAAGGAGAAGAAGTGCTTGGAAATAGAACAGAAGTGGCAAAAGTTCATGGGAAAGCAAGATTGTTATTACTTGGTGAACGTGTTGCGTTGAACATCTTAGCTAGATGTAGTGGGATTGCTACCAGGTAACTAACACTGATCATATTCATTCTAACTTTTACTGATATACCATATTGTTTTGTTAATTGTCTAGATCACGCAATCTAGTCAAACTAGCTCGAAAAGCATCATACAAAGGTATCATAGCCGGAACACGAAAGACGACACCGGGTTTCAGATTAATAGAAAAGTATGGAATGTTAATCGGAGGGATCGATCCACATCGATACGATCTTTCAAGTATGGTGATGCTAAAAGACAATCATATCTGGTCAAAAGGATCTATACCTAATGCCATCAAATCAGCAAGATCAGTTTGTGGTTTCAGTTTAAGAATCGATGTGGAAGTACGAAATGAAGAAGAAGCGATTGAAGCTATTGAATCAGGTGCAGATGTAGTAATGCTTGATAACGTAACTTTTATTCATTTTTTTCGATAGCTTGAATTGTGAAAAGAGATGTTGATTTATTGGATTTCGATTGGGTTTCAAATTTAGTTTAAACCTCAAGAAGTTAAAACTTCATCACGGAAATTAAAGGAAAAGTATCAAAACCATCAATTCTTAATCGAAGTTTCTGGAGGGATTACTGAAGAAAATATATCTGAACATCTTTGTGATGGTAAGTTTGTTCTCATTCCTGATGGTTTTGATGAGCAGATTATGATTTGATATTTTCATGTTCTTGTTTATGATTAGATGTAGATATTTATTCTACTTCAAGTGTTCATCAAGGTACTCCTACGATTGATTTTTCACTCAAGATCATTCCGACTTCCAGCCAGTAAAATATATCAAGAATTCATGAACGTCTTATCTCTCTCTCGTAAAATCTGATCTGGATCTGAATCCAGGTCTCTAGATTTGTATTTATGGTTGCTATTTTCTTTTATCAACATTTTTTTCTTCTCCTGCATTGTGTTTTGTTGTGATATCAAGGTATATATGAAGTTCATCAGATAGATAGAGGCGGCCCACCTCCTAACTGTTTTTCCCAAAATCTTACTGTAAGAGAGCCTCTTACCAAGGATCCACAGAAATATCATTCACCCACTACACCACCAGGTCACTGAAACCGTTGATGAACCGAGCCCACACCCGGATGGTCAACGGTTTTTGTTTTGGTGCGGACCACCGGGGTACCAACGGAGACCCTCCAAACCGTTGTGAAACCGGTCTTTTTTTGATGGTTTGGTACCGCTTTGAACCAAGTTTAGATCTGGGTTTCCGCCAGTCAAATGTGGTTGAAAAGCTGAGGAAGTACCGCTTCTGCAATTTAACATTATGCCTGTATCATTTAGCACACAACCAAATGCTCTCATTGATGATTGGTCCATAGAATTGCAACTAAAAATCTGGCAGAGCCATTCATTTAATGATGATAATATAAATATGATGGATATAAGTGAGATACAAATTACTGAATATGCTTTCATAAGATTAAAAATAACAACATAAATGCATGGGGAGTAAATGATAATTGATGATGAATAATAATACAAACTCAAACTGCAAAAACACTATCCTAATCAACTCTTGTGATAACTATAACACCAAAATGTTTTAGGCTGCTTCAGGATTCTCGTAGGCTGTTTCACGTTCGGGTACCCTGTCTCCATATGTCTCATTCAACTCCGATATTGTATCATTGATTGCGGTCTCACCAGGCAATGAGAAATCGGTGCCAGTGGTCTCTTTGATTTCTTCGATGGTCTTCTTTCCTTTGAACAGGTCAAAGTCGAATTGTAAACATAGGAAAAAGTATCTAGTGAACGTTTTAATATTAGAATTCAGGATGCTGCTTATGAATTGTAAAAGGGTAGATTACGTACGCATAACGATACCTTGTGGATTGACTTCGCAAAAATTCCAGCTTTTCATCTACCACAGCCCAAAAGTGTTTTTTGCCGTATTCTGTACTATCGCCTAATCCCCAATGACACCCTTGCAATCTCTAAAAGAAATATGATTGATCAGATGACCCAAAGTATGATTATGAACCCAAAAGAGACACTCACAAGCCAAGCATATCGAGAACGTTCAAGAGGAGTTACCCTTTTAAGTATTTCTTCGCGAACAAGTACTTTGCCTCCGACTAGTGTATGCTGCTTCTCGAATATCTAATCACATTGAGACAAGGTTACTCTTTGCTGAAGGTTACACAAGGTCGATATTAGAGAAGGTGTTACTTGCCTTGACTATCAAACTGTCAAGTTTTGGTACCTTTGCAGTAGATGCAGTACCAGCACGTTCCGGAAAGTGGATGTTTGTGAAGAGCTGTGAGGAATAGATACCAAACGTAAGAATCTATCAATTCTGAAATTAAATCAACTTACAAGGCTGTCAAAGTCCTTTCGAGCTTCCTTTAAGATATTATTCACCAGATTGTGGAATGCTTGTGCGCAACGTGTATCTGGATTCTTCCCATATCCAGCAGGTAGCAATCTCTTTTTCCATTTCTTGGGTTTGGATAGAATTGAGCTCTATAGCATGATATATTAGTGAAATTCATAACCAAAGAAAATCCAAACAATACTTGCCATGACTTTTGCGTAAAGGGAGAGAGGAAGTGGATCGCCATCTCCAAGCCTGTCCTTAGTTGCGGTGTAGCCTTGCACATCACCAGACATAACGTTCTGGATCGCCACTAATTTAATGTATTTCTGATAAAATTTGACTTAGTCAGTGTAGATAGCCAGCCTCAAGATACGGAAATCATTCACTTACTCTGAGCTCTGGGTTTTCATTGTCAAAAGATAATCGACTCGAAGTTGAGGTCTCCATGGTAGTTTTCATCTCGTTTATCTCGCTACGGAGGGAGCTAATCTCCTGACGGGAAGAAAGCAGAGATACCATGACCGACATATATTGCTCTTTAGGGGTCTCCTCCTGTGTAACACCTATCATTCAACTGACGGGAATGATCTGTATTAGATTGAGATAACCTACATTGCAGATTTTTCGACCTAGAATACGATGATCTTCACACTACACCAAATCACTAATATACCGTGGAGTTTAGAAAATTGCAAATGTAGAAAATTCTCAGCAATGCATGAGAGATCAGAAAAAATTGAAAAAATTATGGTTGAATACGCCTGTTCTGACCTATGATTTTGCATATTTTTTCATATTTTTACCATCAGTTCTGATGATATTCCAAAGAAAAATGCTTATGGTGTTTATCTGGTCAGAAACTCAATTTTGGTCCAAAACTACTAAGGTTTGGGCAGAAACTGTGAACACTCAAAAGTACACCAACTTTTGCTCAATTCATTTGGTACTTACAAATTATGAAAGCCACATACTAGATCTACAACTTCCATTGAGATACTAAAGCCATTTCAACAAAGATTTACAAGATTTGCTGGCTTTGCTGATGGTGACCGTGATTGCTGTACCTCACACATTTTTGAAGAAACAGCTGATTCCAACATGTACAGTGTAAATCAAAGATGTAGAATTCACAATGTGAAGACATTTCAAATTTTGAAGCAAAATTGACAACTTTATTGGTCTCACAAGGTTGATGCCTCAATAACTGCCAGTTTTGGACAAAAACTGGGTTTCTGACCTGACATCGACTTCTACTGTAAAAATCTGAAAAAATATGCAAGATGATGGGAACACACAGGCGGACACAACCCTTATTTTTTCATATTTTTCTGACCCCTTCCGCCTTGTGTACAATTTTCTATGTTCTCTCAATTTTCTAAACTCCACGGTAAATTTGCAATCTGGCGTAGTGTCATCAAGTTCTGCACGATTGGCAAGTCGGTTGAATGTCCGTAATGATGTTCCTGTCAAGTGTGTAGGATCGAATGTGGACCCCGAAGCGTTGTTACGGCGAGGTGATGGAGCTTGAATTTGGGCGCCTGTTGTTAGTATGTTGTCTTGCACTCCAACATGGCGATGATCATCATCGTCCCCACAATTTGAAAGACTTACATTTCTCTTGTTCTTCTTCTCTTTCTCATTCTTCCTCTTCTTCTTCTCTTTCTCGTTCTTCTTCTCTTCGTAAGTCTTCTTCTTCTTCTCTTTCTAAGTCTTCTTCTTGTTCTCTTTCTCTTTCTCGTTCTTCCTCTTCTTCTTCTCTTTCTCGTTCTTCTTCTCTTCGTAAGTCTTCTTCTTCTCTTTCTAATTCTTCTTCTCGTTCTCTTTCTTGAGAACCATCCTGGGAAGATCGGTCTTGGTTGAACTGTCCCAAATCCTGTTTCAAAAGATCAGCCAAAGATGGACGATGAGTTGGAGAAGAGGTTGTTCTGCTGTTCAAGGCGTGGCTGGTTTTAGTTTGAGATTTCTCAAGGTGATCTCTAGTTTGCCGGCTGGAAGAAGCGATGGATTTCGAGGTTGGTTCTTTTGTTGTTGTGAACTCTTTTGACGGTCAACTGAGCGTTGTGTTCGTTTGCGGGTCGGAGGGCGTTCCCTTGATGGGGAACTTGAAACCTGATCGGATTTTGAAGCAACCACCTTCTTTCGATGCCCTTTTGGAGCCATTTGGATTTGTTGGTGATGATGCGATTGACCAGTGTTGACTGTTGGAATGGGCTTTTGAAGTCAATTAAAGTCAATTGACTGTTTTCGACTTGTGATACCATCCATGATCTGTGTTTCGGGTCAGGGCCACCATTGATTTTCTTTATTTTTGCAAAGTTCACCGATTCCCAAAAATTAAATCTTCTATCACTCAAAACTGCTCCTTTTGTTGCATTTCCTTCAACATAAACCTTCAAAGTTAATGACAAATATTACAGATTCGATGAAGATAAAATAATCATACAATTGTGATCACATAAAGTTTTTGTATGAAGATAAATAAAATTATGATCACATCAAGTTTTTGTACGAAGATAAAAAAAACATATGGACTTTTTAACAAACACATTAGCGACCAGGAAAGAGCTGAGAGGGTCCAGGAATAGGTTCCTGCTGTGTGGAAGGATCAGCCAGAATGTCATTTGGCTGCGTGCTGGAATTATTTTGTTTTCGTTTCCTCTTCTTGCTAACTGATTTCCCTTCCTGTTGTGCAATATATCTCTCCTGTGTTTTTTTATCTTTCTTTTCCTTTGCATCATGCTTTTGTTGTAACGAAGATTCCCATTTTTCAATGCCATCCTTAACTGCTGTTGTCCATTCGTCTGGGGAGACAAGTTGGATAGGAAGTTGTCCCCACAGTCGATGCAGTTCCGAAGCATAGAATGCACCAGAGTTGAGAATGTAATCCTTCGTGTCGATATGGACAACTCCATGATCTCGGTTTGTAGAAACTCGACGTTCAATCATGATTGAATGAGTTTTCTGCACTGTACAACGACCTTTATGACAGTTGTGTTGGACATTCAGTACACCCTCAATGTCCTAGTTTATAGAAGGATCAGTTTTGGATGCCTAAGATAGGATGAAGCTGCTCTAACAAGTTTTGCTCACAGCCGCGGTGATCCATACAACATCTTGAGTTGCCTTTATTTCTCGCATACCGTAGAAACCGTTCACATCGCCAGTTTTGCATTTTGTAAGCTCAATTTTGCACGTTCTTGGACCAAAATCACCAACTACCCAAATCGTTTTCACCCGCCCAATAATTCTTCCTGTTGAAGCCGATGTTAATTTGGCCTGAAAAGACAGAGTCCAAAAACGTGTCAGAGTAAGCTAACTGATTCAAATTTGAAATGATTGACTTACCGAAACAAAGACATCTTCGGACACTTGCTGTTCGTTTTCCAACGTTATGGATTCCAAGAGTTTCCATTCTCTTGAATTGTAATAATCAAACACCACACTTGGAATGGAAGCTTGTGGGTTGTCAGGTTGATTACTGTGAATCTCTGAAAATTACAAAATATCTTAGCTAAAGTTCGAAAAACATCTGAAACCGACTTACTTCCTGGTTTAAATTGACCTGGCTGATTCCATGACGAATTATAGCCCATGGCCTTCTGAAATAAGACGCTGTTTTTGAAAATGTTTGTCACATTTTTGCTTGCTTTTATATAAGTCTTCAAAGTTTTGTCATAGTTGAGAGCTCCAGCAGTAATACTTCGTATGAGTCTGTGGTTATTTGACGAATTTGCTATGTCACGTCCTGGGCTGAGGTGATTTGAATGGATTGAAGAGTTTCTCGTATTTCCATTGTAACCTTCAAAGTTCTCGGTTGCAAAAAGGCATGGTGGACCAAATCGATAAATAGAGTCGCACAGATGAACTATCATGTGGAACTTTGGTTTATTGCACCATTGACCCGAGAGTGTTACAATCGATTTGAGAAAGTTATCCACATGAACTTTTAATTCGTTGATATGTTTCTTTACATCCGTAATTTCGGTCTGAAATACATAAGGTGCCAGTGAAGTCAGAGCTTTCCAAGTATTGCGTTCTTCGGTCGTCATTTCACATTGATAAAAAATAAATGGTGCTGCTTGTAGCACAGCACGAAAATCTTTTCCAGTAAGACTCAAAAAGTGAGTAATCATCGATTTAGGCTGAATGGCGGGGATCTTCAAGCCAGAGGTGTTGAATGACCTCCAACGGCCCCATATATCGTTCTTCTCCTTTGCTGAACATTGTTGCATTCGATTTCTTAAGAGATATTTCCCCGCACCTAACAGCATTACATGCAATATTTCTACTGGAGTATCACGGTGGCCATCAAATCCTGACAAGGAAAAAAGATTAATTAATAATTCTTCTTGTAACACATTTACAGTATCAATAAGTTAAATTATCTTACCTTTTAACCGGATGAAAGGATTGAATAAATTGTCATCAAGTGTTTCGTTTAGCTCTTTGCAAAGATTTGCAACCACCTCCTTTGATTTTGTTGGATCTCGATGTAAATCTTGAACCCTTTTGACAAACAACATATTCAATGTATCCCGAATTCCCAATGATCCTGATTCAGATTCAAATAATCCGATGGTTCCCGGCTTCTGTGCCAATTCCCAGAGATATCGGGTCAAATTTTGAGTTTCAGACCAGTTACGTACGGGTAAAGAAGTCTACAATGATTACCATATTAATTGATTTTTGGAAACAATCCAATTAAAACGAGATCATCAAAGGGAAAGATGTACCTTGCTTCCATCTTCATCGATCCCAACAAAATTGCTAATGTACTTTGCTGACCTTTTGTCCATCAGCGTCTCGACCTTGAGCTCGCAAATCCGGCATGGAGTGAGAGAGACTGAAGGATTCATGGTGTTAGTGACTTCTGCGTGCATAGGCGAGTCCGCTAGATGACACAGCACAAATGGCACAACTAACACCTCCGATTCAGTTAAATGATCGTAGGCTACAAATCCCTTCGTGCTAAGCTCACTGGAGATAATAAAATATCAAAAAAAATCATAATATAAAGACAGTCAACAGGATCACTTACTTGATTTCATCTATGATTGGACCAGCAAGCTCTAAAGCACCAGCAGTGTTTGATGTTGTCAGGAAATGGCAGTTGTATTCCTGGTTTGACAGTTTCGGAGGCAATCCGGCCAATGTGAAATAGAAAGCAATATGTTTATTCCACTTTTTTGATATATTTCCTGAGAGATCATCGCAATAAAGAACTAATGGTACATTGCGAATGATTCTACCGTGTGCTTTTTTCCTCCAAGGATTTGCTATCGGAACTTCAACAAACGTCCCATCCACATTATCTGAGGTAACATATGAGTGTGAGAATGGGTAATTCAGAAAAAGTTTACAATACTGACCATACATTTTATCTCCACAGTGATTCTTCATCAAGTCATCCTTGCGTAGTTCGATTGTTTCAAAAATCTTGAAAAAGGACTTGACATTCACTGAAGACAAAGAATCACAGTTGAAATTGTCGACTGATTGAAACTCGACACGGATTTTTGGACCACTGTTGGCCACTTCCTCCAAATTGAGAACTGTTGAGACACACTTCGCAAAGATCTCGTCGCCCTCTTGATAAAAAAATAATGGGATTACAATCTTTTTCGACAGTAATTGCACCGGTTCGAATAAGTAAAAATGTCCTTTTGGTAAACAAACCATCTGAACACGTAGGTCTTTTCCTAACTCCTCTCGCCACTTTTGTGATTGTGCCAGACGATTCACTTTGGTTGTTGAAGTTGGTAACTCGGGCATGAATTGGAGATGGTCCATCACATAGGGATTTGCAAGCTCCTACAAATTATCGACATGATTGGTGTTAATATAGAACTGATCATTGATAGAACTGATGAAACACGTGCTTGCGATAATATTTGTTTCACTTGAAGTCCAAAGCACGGTTTGTCCAATGGACTTCGACTTTCTGAGACTTCAAATCCGTAGTTCTTTTTGAGTTTGGTACAACAACGCTGAAGACTCTGGTAGCCTGGGAGCTTCACTTTCAAAAGGCCAACAAAGTATCTGATTCGTTCGTACTGAGCTACTGTCATCATTGTCCTGCTTGAGCCTAGTATATATAATGCAACCATTTGCTGAATGAAAAGGATTGCAAAGTTGAAAAGAATTAAAAACGATGCAACATCATGTATGAAGAAATAGAATGAGCAGACCTCCAAGCTTGAGAACGGGGCCCAGGAGGAGTCGTCCTCTTCTATAATCATCTCTTCGGGGTCATCTTCATTGTATGAAGAAGATTGGTTGTCTCCAACCTCAGATCCACTGTCATTGTACATTGAACGATGACTGGTGCTATTGTAGTCGCTAGCATTTAGGCTAGGATGAAGAGGCAGTGCAAAGATGTCCGAATGATCACGAGTCCAGAGTTCAATAATTGCTTGCCGTTGCTCGTCTTCATTTTCGCTTTCATCTGGATCTAAATTGGCGGTTGCCATAGTTGTATCGACAAATCCACTGTGATGATCAGTTGTATCAGTCGCTGAAGTTGATGACTTTGAGTGCGAAGTTTCTGAAGGTTCTTCGAGCTCAATTGAAGGGCTGGTACGTCGAGCTTTCCACCTTTCAACATTTTGTGGATGATTTACTGATCTACAGTGTCTCTTGATCGACTCGTACTTCATTGTCCTGTTGCTAGGGCAAGCTTTACAAATATAAACGATATCATCTGGTCCACGAATTTGTTTTTCAAAGCCTTGAGACCCATTTCAGGATTAGTTTCAACGAATTCAGGGTTCAATGAGCTTGTGAGATTGCACTGTTTACATTCTGGTGCACCATGACTATCACTGGAGGCCATTTTCAGCGTGATTTGATTTGGGAGGGAAGCGGTGAGAACAATAATAAAAAGCTGATAAAGGACAATGATATTCATCGAGGCTATGATTGATCAATGATCGATCATCAATCGCTAAAACCTCCTTTGGAGAAAGAAGCTGAATTCCCAATCTTTACTGGGAGGCCCATCAGTCTTGTTCCACTTGAGAACCATTTCTGATCCGTTGGTAAATGTACCAACGGGAAGGTTGCTAACTTAACCCAAGTCCAATCGTGCAAAAGCTCACGGTAACCCGAAGCCGAGGCACAAGGGACTTGCACATTAAACGACATCTCTGGCGTGACCAATAGCCCCCAAAAGTGAAATTTGGGTCACTTTTGGATGCAACCCATCCTATCTCATTCAACATTACTTTGATGTTGTTTCTGAAACTGGCTGGTATGAGTTCAGCATCTTGTACATAACTTCTATTAGAAAAAAAAGAGAATCAAAAGTGCCAGCTCACAAGAATTGAGCTGGAAAACGAGTAATAAGTTTGTTTAAGGGAGTCAATTGACCATCTCTCGAGCCTTTTTAAGGGTACACATAACAATCTTAGCGGTTGAAATTTCAAATCTCAAAATAAGCAGCCTCAATGAATCAACACGATCATGAGATCTGTCGAGATTCTGAAGAGGCCATTTCCTTCATAACTCGACAGAGCTCATCTGACTGTTTTTTTGAAGAAAATGCATTTGTGGGTCGTGGTGTAAAAGCGAAGTGAAAAAACACCCACCAAAAGGTGGCTATTAGTCACGCAACAATTGTCGTTTAATGTGCAAGCCCCCTGTGCCAGGGGCGGACGAGTCCGAGAAAAATCACCTGGCACAGTGGGCTTGTTGTTAAGCTAGGGAAGGTTGAGCATCAGCACGGTTTAGAAACCAGGACAATCAGAGACAAGTGATCAACAGCTGATCATGTGGTTGATCAACTGTATTTGATGATACCCTTGAAAACCCGGTTACACCTTGGCCCCGCACGCGAGTATCAACCGGTTTTTGCTGGCAGACATTCACAACCTTCTGAAACCGGTTGTTCAACTAAAAGTGACTTGGTGGTGTACCCGCCTTCCAACAATGAAATGTAAACTACACCCCAGGGGGGCCTCGACCGCCAACCGACGGTGTCAGCCGGCGGTTGAGAGGCGGCCTACCACCAAGCAGTGATGGGCGGCCCCAGGGTAGACCTTGGTTTGGCGGTGTTGGGACGGCCGTTAAAAGCCATCCCAGGGCGGCCATGTAGTCGACCTGGGATGGCTTTTGGGCAGACCAAAGGCGGCCCATTAGTGTTTCCCCGGATGCCCAAATAGGGCGGGGATAGCGACCAGGCACGCACAGACGCGCAGGGCAGGCGGATGTTGTCCTTTTTTTGCTGCACACCGCGGCAAATGCCCGCGAGCTTTGCGGCGGACAGCATGGGAATCTCAGGGAACCTCACTAAGAACAGTGACACACGATGATAGATAATATATATATTCATTTTCATTTTCATTGAAGCAAGCAGGGGATTTGATGGTTTTTGTGGCAGGATGAACACAAGCTGAGCACACATTTTAAAGTCAAAGAAAAGGTAAATTTCAGTTTTGGGAACGTAGAACCTGATTGTAGACGGTAGAGTTCGTTGAGTGTTCAACTCCTTCAGGTGGTTTGGTTAGGGATTAGGGCAGGCATGATCCCAGCGATTATGTCGTCTTCAAATGGCAATCGCAAGGATGCATTTTCCGCAATTTGATCATAAGTGTTGACGCCGTCAAAGGCGGCACAGTCATTGTTGTATATAATTTTATAAAACCTGAAATGATGAGTATGTCAGTGTGTGTGAAAAATTTACATTCATAAGGGACCAAAGACTTACGAAGCTGCATACTCGACGCCTCTAAGACGTAGTTCATGGAGCTGGCGGTCCACAGCGGCCCAGATAGAACTTGAGCCCCTGCCAATTTGGAAAATGCGAAGGGCCTCCCGACGCTGGGCATTTCAGGTTTTGAAAGATGCGATCAATGAGTCATGGGAGCAAAAGGAAAAGATACTGAACAATCAACCCACCAGATAAGTGATCCGAGATCGAGTAGGCTCGCTGGTACTGGCCCACACTGTCTCAATGTCAGTGTGATCGGGCACTTGTCGGAATTTGATAGCAATCTGGAAGAAATGATGTCGCCCTTTTAGTTTTTGCTGGACAATAATGTTAAGGTTCAAGATGCTCACTTTATGTACCAGAGACTTGACAGTGGGCACAGCCCCGTGGACCACCGAGGCTTTGGGATCGTATACTCCAGACAAGAGCTGTGGTGTTCATATTCAGCGAGTGTATGTCCATTGCAAAGGAAAGAGTAAGGATAGAACTGACCAAGAGGTGGAGCTTCTCACGCACATGTTTGCATACATTCTTGACTTCCGTGTTATAACACCTGGCATCACTGACAGGAGTGACACCGTTTATTTGCTGCGGAATGAGATGGGCTACAGCTTGTTGCTGACGTACCCCGTTCTAGCAATGACAACAAGGGCAAGAGTCCTTCACTGCTTCGCAAGACACTTGGGAGTGATGTGAGAAATAGAAAAATAATTGGATTTACCTTGATGCTATTGTAGAACGAGTGAGCCAACCACCTTCGGTCAGGGCCCTCCAAGGCGGTATAGGACTCGAGCGTTGCGGAATTGATAAACTTGTGAGCTTGGGTCGTGACCGCAGCCTGGAATAGATGGCGGTCAGATGAGCTTTGACAAAATATGAACAAGAGACTGGGGTATCACCCTAAGTTCCGTGGTGCAGACCCACGGGCTATTTGTAGGTGGTTGATGGGGGTTGCCAGGCCCATGAGCAGTGGTGTCAGTTCCAGAAGCCTGGTTGGATTGAACCAGCTCCGTCAGAGTATCGACATGATCCGTGATACTTTCAACCTTCTCCAATATGCGTTCGACTTTGTCAATTACGATTTCCACCTTCACCAAAGCACGTTTGACTTTGCTCGAGATGTTCAACATGCTCTCAGACATGTTGGACATCTGATACATGTTCTGAGCGTGAGCGACGCTCATAATGATATGGCGGTAAGACCCTCGCGTCTGAGAAAACAAGGTTAGCATCCATGTCAAATATAAGAGGACAATCTTTGACAAACTAACCTCGGCAAGGGTGAGCGCATGGGCTCGCTGAACCTCATCAATACCTGCATTAGTCACTGCCTCGTCAAAAAAGAGCAACTCGTTCGCTCCAAGAGGCCTGGAGCCTCCTTGATCGACCGGGTCTTGCGATGGATTGTGGCCATCCTTGTTGCTTGGTTCCAACTCGGCACGAATACTGGAGGAAAAGTTTCGAACAGGGGAAACTGAACGATTGTCCCGGTCTCGAGCTGATCCAGCAGTTGATCTGCTACCTGGGAAGTGATCAAGACGTTCATGACTGAGAACTGTCATCTAAAGGAGAAGAGGGGAAAGTGTGCAGACAACAGACCTTGATTACGTAAGGAGCCAAAGTTGTTGAGGGACCGGATTGAACTCGTGTGAGCTGGTGTGCGAGGCGGATTTGCCCCTGGTGAACCACTGACGTCCTGGCTCAGGTTGCCTGGAAATAACGGCGACAACACTCGAAAATTAAGCAAGGAGCGTAATCCGTGATTGGATTGTGCAGACGAACGCACCGAAAGATCGGTTTGGATTCAAGGACATGATTTGGTGTGTCGAATCGATCAAAAAGAAGGGTTAGGGAGAGGTGGAAAAGTTATTGAAACAAAAGGTTATCGACTCAAATGGTCTTCAATGGGTGATCAGGATGTGATGAGTTGAAGGTGGGAGGAAAAAAAAGAAACGAGAGAGAGCCTCTTGGTAAGACCCGACTTCCTCGACGCAATGTGGGCGATGGGGATGGCTGACCAATCAGAAATCGGCAGGACGAACACGGCGTTGCTGGGTATTGAACTGTTGGCTGTTTGAAGGGGTTTGTGTTCTTTCGAGCCAGCCAAGTTTTTCAGTCGACCATTCGCGGCTTGGGACATCCCAATTGGGCGATTTGGCCTTTTGGGGCGATGAGTGGCGTCCACTTACTGGCGATTCTGCGACCGACCGCGCGCTTTGCACTGGACCAAGGTCGCGCGCTCGTGGTTTGCAAACATCGCGTGTAAGTGGGCCACTTTCAATCACAATCCACCCATTCTTAAAGGTCAAAAGAACCATTCACCTCCTCAATATCAAACGTCCACATTGTTCGTACCAAGGCCTATTAGGTGATTTTCTTTCTGGCTTATCAAATAGATCATGCGTGGAGTTGCCATATCAGCTGACCATAAGTGCCACGGAATTGGTCAGTCCACGATGTCTTTTCAAGGAATGATGAATGCCATTCGTGAGTTCCACAGGGCCGAATACAAAGCCGTTAGCCAACTGTTCGAACGGATGGAAGAGATGCATCGGATCGATTATGAGGTGGACCATCTAGAGGAGGATGCGTCCAACTGGACCTCATGGCGTAACAGTACGGAGGACGCCATTGCATGGCTCACTGGTGTCGATGACTATTTGGATGTAAACCGGCCAATTGTGGCCACGACTGTCAACTTAGTAATAGACAGGTTGGCCCTCGATATCATCCGTCGCACCATTCATGACAATCATGATGAAATTATCCGAGAAGCTCCCAGAGCCCGGCAAGCAATCACTTGCCTGCGACGTCACTTTGATCCTTATGGTCAGTCCCATGCGATTGTATGCCCGCCATGCTGAGGTTGCTGATCTCTGAACTTTTGCAAAACAGCGACTGGGCGTTTGGAACGAGGCGAAGGCCGATTGTATAGATAAACACTGGTGGTTTACACGCGAAGGATTGCTGTCAATAGGTCATTATAGTTAAAGATGATTCGGATCACAGAACTTTGATTAACGCCAGAAGACATCCATAGCATACAATCGATTTGTTTGTCAATTTTCCAAATCATCCAATGTGATTTTACGTAACCGTAGCATACAATCGTTTGGTCATACAAATCTCCACATGATGAAATGTGATTTTACGTCAGACGGTCCAAGATGTAATGCATTAGTTAATCATGAGACCATAGATTCATTGGTATCTTGGGTTTGTTTCTGCTTTTTGGCGCCCCGCGATGCTTCATTCCATGCCTTGAGCCCTTCTTGGATCGCGGAGTTCCACTGGGTCGCGTTAACTGTAGTCAGATTGACTTCGGCTATGCGTCGATGCACTTCGCCTGAATATTGTGCCGCTGAGTTTATAATGAAAGAATTCGTGTCTGCATGTGTTATGCCAGATACAAGAACATCACAAACTTTCCTTTCGATTTTTTTAGTGTGGGACATCGTCACTTTGCATTTTCCCTCGTGACAATTGTGCTGCACGTTGATTACCGTGACAACGTCCTGCAAGTTACCCAAATTTGTCAGCCAGTTCAGAAATGTAAGGCCTGCAAGGTCACTGGTGTACGAACTTTAACACCCCTCGCAAAGACATGTTCGCCCTTCAGTATCTCCCGCATGCCGTAGAAAGGAACCAATCGGCCTTTGGTGCATTGCTTCATTACCAGGACAGTCTTGATGGCCGCCTTGCCATCCGGTATCCAAATGGATTGAACCTGGGCGGGTGTAGAGTTCGTGTGGAGCTTTGATTCGACATAATGTCAGCATGGAGAATCCTTGTCACGTCTTTGGTTGGTGCGCACCAACACAAAATCCAGGGCTCGCACAGATTGGCCACTGGGCAAGGTCACACTGTCAATACATCGGAGAGGAGTGTCAGTCCCGAGGTCTTGCAATATTTCAGGCAATACTACGTTGGTTTTGACGGGACCTAACGGATTAATCGTACACCCATTAGAAGCCACTTTGTTTACATCATCAGAGGATTAAATGCCCGGCTACTTACGCCCATTTTTGAATAGCAAATCCTGTTTTGCAAGCTCATTCAGGCCCATTGCACGTTTTAATTCCGGTATTTTCGCAAAAAGCTCCATGATACGAGGGCCGCCGGTCACTCGAGCCTGGAGCTCTTTGTCAAAGAAAGAACCACCCGAGATGATCAAACGCAGCATCGCCTCAGTTATGAAAGCGTTGCCAATGTCACGACTTGGGCTCTGGTGATTTGTGTGTACAGAGGCGTCGCGTAGGTTTCCATTAAATGACTCCATTTTTTCGGTTGCAAATAAACTCGCGGGCCCGAAACGTCGAATAGATTCTTGAAGGTGAAGAAGCATGTGGAACTTTGGTTTATTACACCATTGTGCTGTGAAACCGATTAGTTGATGGAGGAATGAACTTATGTGATTGTCCAACTCAGCTAGGTACACCTTCATGTCGGGTATTTCCGTTTGGAATATGTACGAGCCTAACAGGCATAAAGATAACCAGAGGTGTCGCTGCTCTTTCTTCATGTAATTAAACAGCACAAAAGGCACTGTCTGCAGCACTGTTCGGAAATCTTTCCCTACCAGACTCTGGTAGTATTGAATGAGATTGATTGGCTGGACCGGTGGGATGTTGAGGCCTCGTGGACTGAACGCACGCCAACGAGCCGTGATATTGTTGAATTTTTCGGATCCAGCCTTCATGGGTGTGAGACTCTTCATTAGGTCACGAAATAGGTACTTGGTGATGCCGAGGAGGACTACGTGAAGCACTTCGACTGGTGTGTCTGCGTGTCCGTCGAACCCTTTTCGAAAACCACGACCAAAGCAAAGCCGTTAGTACCTGGAGAGCTATATAACAATGTTAAGACTGAAATGTGAAAAACCTTTCAGTCTTAACATGGGGTTGAATAGCTTCAAACCCTTATCTTCATTCAGCTTCTTGCACAAGGTTTCCACTTTGTTCAGGGGCAGTTGATCGAGGGCCACCTGGACCTTTTTCACATAGTAGTCATTGAAGGGGTGCCACAAGCCGTATACTCGTGCCTTATCTTCAACAAGCGTCTTTGTGTTCTTTTTTTGCGCCAGAGCCCAAATCTCTTGAGTGCGCACCAGGGTTTCATGCCACTTTCGAGCCGGGAGGTTGGTCTTTCCATGGTCGTCAGCGCTATGCTATAGATGCGTGCATGAATATCACACACACCTTTTCGCCAGCGTCATCCCTTCCCAAAAAATCTCGAACAAACCGTGGTTGTTCTTTATCAACCTTGCGGACCACTCGAAGGTCACACATCCTACATGGGGTCAATGTATTTGCAGGGTTTGTCGTATTGCAAATCTCCGCATGCATCGGGGCATCCCCGAGATGGCAGAGCACAACCACCATAACCAACACTTCCTCCCGTAGTGAATGATCATATGCTACAAACCCGTTCTCTCCGTGATCACTGTGCATGGCCAAACAACGTCAGCGCTCATGGGTGTATTTTCCAACCGCTGAGTTATAAAGAAAGGGATAGGTTACTTTATATCGTCTACTACTTCATCAAGCAGTTCTAGTGCCAAAGCCGAATTCGAGGTGGCCAAAAAGTGGATATTAAATTGTTGATTTGTCCATTCGGGTGCCAATCCGGAAAGGGTAAAGTACAAGCTCATGTGCTTGTTCCACTTCTTGGAGACGTTGCCCGAGGTATCGTCCGAGTATAATGTGATAGGTACGTGCCGGATTACTTTCCCTACAGCTTTTTCGCGCCATGGGTTTAGCAGTGGTTGTGTCACCACGCCCACATGATGATGTTCTAAGACCACCAGTATGAGTTTGTCAGCAAATATAACTTTTGAATGAATGTTTTGCGGTTTGGAGACATACGATACATGTTTATACCACATAGATCTCTTAAGTACGCGCCATTATCTAATGTGATGTCCTTGAAGGTCTTCCCAAACTGTTCGATGTCCAACGTGTAGGACTCGTCCAAGTCAAAAGCAGGTTCTTGAGGAATGATAATATTGAGATGGTCCGCATGACTAATATCTTGTTGGATTGTTGCAGGAAGGCACTTGGCTTTCAATCGGTTTTGGTGTTGGTAGAAGAAGATCGGCACAACGAGCTGGCCAGACTGGAGCTCCACAGGTTCATAGATATAGTAATGTTGAAGGTTTGCAACCACCATTTGGACTCGGAGGTTGGGGGAATAACACTCTCACCATTTTTGAGATTGCGAGAGTCGGCTTATCTGTTCATCTTCCGGTAGTTCAGGTACAAACACCAAGTGTGGGCTTACAATGGGGTTGGCTAATTCCTGTGATCAAAAGGAACATGTCAGTCGACAACGTCAAAGCCAACAAACACAGCAAGCACTTACATTTTTTATAATTGACTTCACGGTTAAGCCAAACAGAGGAATCCCGGAAGGACTAGTTCGTTCAGACAAGGACATGTCAAGCCTTAATCTGAGTCGGTCTTTGAGATCCCTCAGCGTTCCCCATTCTGGGAGTTTGACGTCCAATATGCGGATGATAGATCGAATCATCTGGTACTGCGCCCGAGATATAAGATGCCTGGGAGAACCAATGATTAACAATCCTGCGACCTGCTGGACAACAAGGATTGGCCATGACGTTGTGTAAGTCGATGAACCGTGCATATGCGCGATATAATGAACTGACTAACCTCTTTGTTTTTGAATGGATGCCATTCAATGGCCTCTTGGGCTCGAGCACGCGCAAGGTTGGGGTCTTGGGAGTCCGACTCTTCTTCGGTAAGATCATGGTTGTCATCTTCGTCGAAATCAAGGCGGTCTAGCGTTTCCAGGGCTTGACGCAGCCGCTCATAGCGAATTTGGCCGTCGAGGTCATCCGAGGGGTTCAAATGGTTGCCAAAGCTCGGGCCGAGAATATCGGCAGCGTCCAAAGAGCGAAGATAACTGAGAGGTGATGGGGGGCGGATGATGTCAGGAGGATCTGGTTCGGGATCTAAATCGGGCTCCATCAAAGGGGTGACCGGTGTAGCTATTGCATTTGTAGCTTGTTCATTTAAACCGACGAGCAATTGTTCTTCGTCCGCCAGGCGAGTAACAAACCTTGCAACCTTCTGTTGATGTGCAGTTGACTTGACGTGATGCTCGTAGTTGGCCATGCCTCGGGTGTTACAAGCTCGACACATCAACCTGGGGTTCGCAGGATCTGTCGAGACACGTTCAATATCTGTTTTGTGGCTCAGCTGGTGTCGTGATTCGTGGATGATCGTGGAGAAAGCTTACATGGATCGGTTGACATGGTGGGTGGATCGTTCAAGTCTTCCGCTGAGTGGCGGATCACTGGAACGAGGGCGAGATGTCGATGACCGCCGGTTGTGGGGCAGGGTTACGGCGGTGAATATCACGTGAGGTCTGCTGGTAGCCCAGGCATGGCCGTAGGGCCGCTGGTAAAGGGCCCGCATGATAGACCATCTGGGGGCCGTGAAGGGGCGGCTCAGGAGTATAGGCCGGGTTCTGACCCGACCTGCTTCAGGCCGGGGTTGACGGATTTCGGGCACAGAATCCTCCCATGGTGTAGCTGAATAACAACAAACAAGTACACCATGGCTACTCTTAGCAAACCATTGAATAGTACACTTACAAATTTCAATCCAAGAATTTGACCGAGAAGTCCTAAACTCTTCGGATTGCGCAACAGAGTCCTGTCCTGCTAATCCTTCTCATTCGAATATGAAACAGTTTCAAGCGAACTACCCACGCTCTCAAGGTGGTGGAAACCAACTGTGGGTCATGATAGATATATCAATCTTTTGGGAAGGAACCAAGTCGATTTCGATGGTCCACGAGGTAAACAAAATTTGGATGGGATGAACTTCACGCGATATAACTTTTGATTTTCTTGACCCAAGTCTATTTTCTTTTGAAACACGACTGGTATCCTTGCCTCCGTAGCACTCAAACAAATTCCATTTGTAAGCGAGACGGACTATGTTGTAGTAGTAGCCAGACAAGTGAAGTTACCCCTTGTGAAGTCTTGCGGATGCTTCTTGTAGATTCAACGTTTGGATTTGCAAGGGCCGCAGGCAGTGCGCGGTAAGCGTTGAAAACGTTTTGCATCTTTGTCCCGATGCAACGTCCTTTTGTAGATACCTACCTGCCTCGAGCTTACGATGACAAAGTGACATTCAAGTTCGACCATCGAGGTTCTGTTGAATGGTCAAAGTGGGAAATTGAGATTGTTAACCCAAAACTATGATGACCTGACTGATATGGATAGGGGTTGATTCGGTAAACAGAAATCATATTCGTCTTGAACCGATTCATCATGTATATACATACATACAAGGTTCGATTCAAACCACAAATGACGATGACCATCCTCAACGATATTCATCAAAACCAAACCCCTTTCTTTGAGCGGTTTTGCAATTTCATTTGGTCTAGAAATTTAAAATTTTCTTACTTTTGGAATTGAAGCCTCGATGACCGTTGATGGAAAGAAGATGACGGAGTTTCTATTTATGATTTGATGATGATGATGAAAGTAAAAGACAAATTGCTACAAAAGAAGAGAAGTGTAAACAGAGGATGAGAACTCATGATCCGATTTGATTTTATAGATAGAACCGATGAGAGATGTATGACGTAGCCAACTGTTTGGTATGATCAATCAAAAAGTTTTACGTCGCAGTTCGGTGTGATGATAGGTTGGGGATCATGTAGAGTTGTAGAAAAACGTCTCAAGGGGGTTTAACTTTTAAGTAGGAAAACTAAAGTTGAATGAAATTTTCAAAAATTCAAGAAATCTTATTCATTTCCGGTCATCAAGGGTGAAGAGTGTAGTCTCGATTTCCATTTACGAACCAAGACTATACCAGCCCGTATCCACTCTGATCCGATTGTTGGTCATTTCATCATTCTTTTACAATTTCATTTCAATCCCAATCTATTAATAGAATATACTCACTCACTCACTCTTATAGTAGTAAAGAAGAAAGAAAAAGATGTTGTTCTTGAATCGATCTTAAATCTAATCACTGCCATCTAGAACCACTACTTGTTTTGACTATTAGACCTGGTCCATATCATCACTTGTGAGCTTGCCAATCCATATCAGCCTACTTCTCAATCTGATTTACATCCGCTTCTCCTCGATTGGCTTTTTTTTTCTCTATTTAACTCCACTTTTATCTTCAATCTGCATTCAACCCTCTTACTGACCAAAACTTTGTATGTCGTAAATTTCATTCAAGTTGGGATAGGAACCAGTACCCTTGTTCCCTTCAGGTCCCTTTATCGACTTACCCTTATCTCATCAAATCGGTTGATCGTTGATTGATCACTTCAAATCGACTTTGGCCCTTCAACCTTCTAAATCCAAATTCCATCTTTTGAAACATCTGAACTTCTTTCAAGATGTCCGTGTGAGTCTCATGAAGATCTCTCTTGAAGCTCATCAGTGCAACTCAGGCTAATATCTTTCGTTTTAAAGAAATACTGAGGGTGCTCACTCCACCTCAACTCAAACCTTTCTCTCTGCCTTAATTCTGAACTCGGCGATCTGTGGAATAGAGATCGCCGTGTTTATGATTTTAAGACCAAAGTTTAAAAAAGTTTATCAAGTTAGTGTATTTCAACACGTTTCACCCTTTTTTTTCTCTATTCACACTTGAACTAACTCACCATTTCTTCTTATGTAGCCAAGATCTTATCTTCCAGTACGCGATCGAAGAACTGAAGCTTTACCATCTTCCTTCTTGGGTTGGCTTCCTGCTATCTTCAAGGCAAATCCAGAACAAATCATTCAAAAAAATGGACTTGATGCTTATTGCTTCTTGCGTTTCTTACGTCTCATGGCCTTCGTCAGTTCAAATTTTTCACTTTCGTATTTCCCATCACACATCACCTCTATTCTCCAGCCTTTACACTGCCACATAACATCAGTCGGCATCATCTAATACTGAGCATACACCTCAATCACTCAAACTTGGTCACAGGATATGAAAACGCTTGCTGAGACAGATCGCTGACCATTCTCGTTCCTCATCCTTCTTCACAGATCTTCGGTCCCATGTTTTTCTTGAGTTGGGCTATCCTCTTGCCTGTCTATGCTGCTCATTCAGGCGGCCTCAAAGAAGGTTTAGACCGGTTCACCTTTGGGAATGTCGGCTTGAACAAAACTCCGCGGTTTGCTGCACCTCTCATCTTGGCTTATCTCTTCACCAGTAAGTGCTTTTTTTTCTTCATCTCATCACGCTTGATTCCTTAGACTGACACTTGGCAATGATCATCCAGTGTATATTCTATACTTACTTCGATCCGAGATGGAAGGTTTTATTGCAAAGCGTCAAGATTTCTTCATTTCCAAAGCTCACTCCAAACTAGCTCAGTCTCGTACAGTACTAGTCACTGGTGTTCCTCACGACCTACTCAATGACGAAGCTCTACGAAAGTTCACCTCCTATTTACCTGGTGGAGCTCGACACATATGGATCGTCCGTGACTTGGGAAAACTACCTGATCTTTACGATCGTCGGGCTGAAGCTTTTGCCAAACTCGAAAGCGGTGAAACCAGTCTGTTCGCATTAGCTCAGAAAGGTAAAGCAAAGCCAGCTGCAGCTGAACTCGAAAAGGCTGGCGCCGAGTGGGCGAAACATGTCGATGTGAAGAAACGACCCCAACATAAGCTTGGCTTTCTCGGTCTGATTGGCAAAAAAGTAGATACCATCGACTGGGCTACTGAAGAAATCATCGAGACTAATAAGAAGCTTGAGAAACTCCGAAGTAACATTGGAGATTTTCCCACTCATAATTCGGCTTTCATTGAATTCAACACTCAGATCGCCGCCCATATGTTTGCACAGTCTTTATCTCATCACATGCCACTAAGGATGACAGGAAGGTGGATCGAAGTAGCTACAGAGGACGTCATTTGGTCTACACTCAACATCGATCCACTTCAAGCTCAGTTACGCGGTCTTATCTCATGGGGTATCACCATTGGACTCATCATCCTATGGTCTTTCCCGGTCGCATTCGTCGGTTTGATCTCAAATGTCAATAGTTTATGTACTAAAGCTTCTTGGATGGCTTGGCTCTGTAAACTACCATCGCCGATCCCAGGGATTTTACAGGGTCAGTCGTCCCTTTTCCCCACATCAATCGCATATCTCCCATACCCTAGACTCACATTTTTCTTGCAATCCGATTTTGTCAGGTGCACTGCCACCTGTACTGTTGGCAGTCTTGTTTATGCTGTTACCGATTTTTTTGAGGAGACTCGCAATCTTTCAAGGCATTCCACTTCATTCTCGAGTTGAACTCAGTCTTATGAGCCGTTATTTCCTCTTCCTCGTCATTCACGGTCCGTTCATTTCATTTCTTCACTACCTAGCTAGTTAGAAAACAAATCTGATCTAAATGACTTCATACTTACAATCCTCAATCCAGGTTTTCTTATCGTCACCCTCTCTTCTGGACTTGTTGCTGCCATTCCGGCACTTGCTAACAACCCAGGATCAGCTGTGACCATCCTGGCACAAGAACTACCAAAGGCTTCGACCTTCTTCTTGACATATATCGTGACAACCACCCTATCCGGAGCAGCTGGAGCCTTATTACAGATCGTCGGCGTCATCTTATATTACTTGAAGATCCATTTGCTTTCTTCGACCCCTAGAAGCGTTTATGGAATTCGATCTTCGATGAGCTCAGTTGCCTGGGGTACACTCTTTCCCAACATCACGTTACTCACTGTCATCGGAATCAGTTATGCCATCGTAAGTCCGATCGTGAATGGATTTATCTTCATGGGATTCTCGCTCTTTTGGTTTGTGTACAAGGTTCGTCTTTCTTCACTTTTCAGAGAGTATCGAAAGAAGGCTGATTTACCTTTTCTTACACAGTACCTTTTTATCTATGTCATGGATCTGCCTGCTGCGCACGAGACCGCCGGTCAATTCTTCCCTTTGGCAATCCATCAGGTTTGTGTTTCATTTATCTTCCGCTCTATACTTATCTATTCATCGAACCTATGTACTCCCTCTTCAGGTATTCGTCGGAGTCTATATCGGTCAAATCTTCTTAGCGGCGCTGTTCTTCTTCGTTCAAGATTCGCAAGGAAACCAAGCCGCAATTGTAGAAGGGGGTTTGATGATTGCCTTGATCATTCTGACAGCCATCTTCCATTTAATCCTTCAACGAAACTATCTTCCGGTCGTTGATTATCTACCCATCTCACTTGCCTCACGAACCACACCTCCTCAAGCTGAACATCAAGCGCCAATCACCCCTGTTATAGGTGAAAAGAAAGACAAATCACAAGATGAACCATTGATAGAAGAAGTTGGATTTCAAACTGAATCATCATTGGCGATCGCATCAAATCATGAATTTGATCATCCAGCAAGTTATGAATGTTTGAAACCGATTTGGTTACCTAAAGATCCATTAGGATTATCGATTGAAGCTATTAAGCTTTTAGGAGAATCCAAGATTGATGCCAGTGATGAAGGAGCTAAGATGGGCACTGATGGAAAGGTAGTAGTCACGAAGAACCCGCCTGGTGAAATTGATGATATTGACATACCTGAGAATGATAAATGAAGGATTTCTTCCTTCTTTTCTTCTCTGGCTTATGAATATGATTTCTTTTAAAGTAGGATATGTAGATGTTCATTTACAATATCTTAGATTCTATTCATGATCTTTATCATCAACAATTCATTTTTCTCTTTATTAGCTTTTTCTATCCTGTTTTGAAAACCAGATTGATGACTAAGAAACAAGAAGAAGAGAGTCGAATGGTCTCTTTTCTTTGGTTCGAACGATTGATTTTGTTTAATAATTCATTTGATGGATTTAATCTGTTTTGATAATTTATTCTATCATTGATCTGTTTTATGGATTTTTTGGGTGTTTTTTTTGATTTTTTCAAGTGGTCAACAACTATATGGTTTTACTTGACTTCATTTGATTCACGCATGGTTTGTCTTTTGACAGAATTTGATTGTGAGATTTATAGTTAATTTTTGGTTGGTATGGCTTTGAGGAAGTCTTATGGTTGAGTTTGAGTTGAGAATCAAGATGTCTTTTTACTTTATGGTGATTTTTCTTGGAGATTGAATGCAGTATGGTTCTGGGACAGATAGTTGACATGCTTAAGGTCTGAATGAATTGGTTTTCAGAGAGAAATTGTGTTGATTCAGAAGTTGTTCTTTTTGAGTTGGATATAAGGTTTATTGAGTAGGAGATTGAGCAATACTAGTATTTATTGGGCTAGTAAAACTTTTATAAATGTTTGAGAAGATGGATTTGCACAAATCAATCCTGTAAAAAATAGGAATTGTTTGATTGTTTGATTTGAAGGAAGTTCATAGGACTCAAGATTATTTCGAGGATCTTGATAAAATTCTGCCATAGATTCAAACTTGTAGGTGGTGCAAAAAACAGTGCCGCGCTTGACCCCATAAAGTGCCTGCAATGCACATTCTGGGATGAGATTTAAGAAAAGGTCAATCTTATTTACACATATCTTAATAATGGCACTATGCTCATTTGGTAAAGTAGGTGCTCAAAGATAGGGCCTACATTTGTGTGAACTCAAGTTCTCCACCTAGGGGCCAGAAAATGGTGCCTATGTTTCCAGAAGGGTGTTCTTGCTGAATTGTTCACCTTGGTTTGATTATGCTGGATTGGAAATTTGGTCCTGTTAAAGCAGCAACTGTTGCTGTCCTGGGCATTACTTTGGTTGTGATGTGGTGGGTGATTGAAAGATGGTTTGCTAGGGAGTGGTCTTATAGACCGGGGGAGCCATGGGAGCCAGCAATATTTGCTGCACTGCTTGACAAGAAAACTGCATTGCATTGCTCTTCAACAGCTACAAGATGTGTTGCTTACCTGGTGTTGCATGTAGAAAATGTTTTCTAGTGCCTGCATATGTATTGAAGCGGAGGATGTCACCTATGTATGTAGAAACATATCTCATTCTCCAAGATTTGTGAGTTTTGTGAACAAGAATTATTAAATTCCTCAAACTTTTTCTTCCAAATCCACTTCACCTTTTCCAAATTCTCAATGGTTGATTTTCTGGAAGGTTTGATTTGAACTTTTGAGGAAAAAAAGATGGATGTGTATTGGAGGAAATGAAGGATGGAGTTAAGATGAGAAAATTCAAAGAAAAGAAAAAGTTGAAGGTATAGTTGATTTTTTTTTCTAAATTGTGGAAGCCTTTGAATTTCATATTTTCATTATGTTTCTTTTTCTTTTCTTTGTGAGATCTTCTTGGATATATAATTTCTTTATATTTAGTGAAATATTGCATTGGTGATAAGTATGCAAAACTTTAGGTAAACCAGTTTTGGTTGATTATGAGAAGTCATTTGAAAGTACCCAGGCAACATCAAAATGTGGTCGCTTTGCACCCAGTACATTTTTGGTAATCAAAATATTGTTGCCGTCCACCATTATCTTAGTTGTAACTGGAAATGTTGTTTTTGTCCACCAATTACATCATTGCTCCTCAAAAGGTTGTTTCAATCCAACAATTACATTATTGGTACTGGAAATTTTGTCGCAGTGCTTGTGATGGAAACAGGTTTTGAAATCCAGGGCACACCTGACACACCTTTTCCAAATAGCCAAAGGTGCACCTATAGGGGGGATGCAAGGGTGCACCTTCCAAATACAAAAATTTGACAGAAACCCCCAAAAATCAAAATTGGAACCAAAATGATTATTTTTCATGTTGTGAAGATATCATCTACAGTCATTTAAGAAAAGCTTGCAATTTTGCCTGCAGAACTCAAGCAAATTGGTGGGGAATTTGTTGCAAGCTTTTCTTAAATGACTGTAGATATCAACATCAGGTAAGGAATGAAAACTACAGACAACTGAAAAGGTTGTAGAATACACAGTCTTCCAAACACAGTTGCCAGATTTTCTTCACTCTGAAGACAGAAATAGCTGTGATGTGAAACCCTTCTATCAAGCCAAGCAGGCATTTTCATTGCATTATGGTGCTGTTGGAATTGGTTCCTGGAACTAAAATCTTTATGATCAATCACTTGATTGAGATTGTTTTACAATGTGAGGAGTACATACACAGCTGTTAGGTGTGCTCTTCACTGAGAATAGCAGAGAGAAGGGGAAAGCTTGGTCTTCATGGGGTACACCCAAGTGAAGACTACAGCTAGTTAACCTCTAAGGAGAGGGTTTGAGAAAGGCAAAGAAAGGTTAAGGGCAGTACAGAGCTAATGCACTCTGACCTTGTGAGACTACAAGGGGGGCAGGCTTTACACTGTGGTATTCAAAGATCTTGAAGGCTACTTTAGGGTATTTAAAAAGGAGAAAGTTTTGCGGCTTCAATGTTTATTTCTAGAGACAATGAATGCCCTGGGCTTGTAGAAACCAGTACCTTGGGTGTTCAGCAATACAACCAATACTGCTCCAGAATGGTCTGTAACAAGGGCCATATTTCTGGAACCCACATTCTTTTTTGGGTATACAGGTGGAATTCTTTGCACAGACAGAATGAGAGATTGACATATTAGATATACACAGATTGACATATTAGATATACACAGATTGACATATTAGATATACAGTCGACTCCCTCGAAACCCATATCCCTGTAAACCCATACTTCCTGATAATCCATAGAAAATTGAGTCCATAAAATTTATGGGCGGGGAAAAGTGGCCTAAAACCCATACCTCACACTATTCCCATAACCCATAGGTTTTTTTAGGGAGACCAGGTTCAAAAGCCATGACCAGAAAGTGCAAAATTTGATATTTTTTCTGTAAAAACCACCTCCTTGTCAATCATTTCTCAGCAGAAAGTGTCTCAAAATGCTTCCAAAAGACCCTCCAAACTTCAGTGTATCAGATATTGAAACAGGTTTCAATGCTCTTGAAACAGAGAACAACAAAAGGCTTAAGCCACTATGCCAACTGCTCAGCAAAGGGAAGGAATTATCAGAGGTGGATGAAAGGTTCATGGACTCGGCAGGCAACTTGATAGACAGAGTTATGGTGTTGAGGAACATAAAAGCAGAAGGCAATGTTTCCAAGGCTGCAAGTCAATTCAACAATGAAGAGCTCAAGAGACTTGAACTTTGGATTTTGAAATTCAATCAAGCAAAGCAATCAGTGGTACCCAAAGAAGCCAGTAAGTTGTAACCTCAAGGGCCCTGTTGAACTGTTCACTTGCTGAAAACATGAGTTGTTGTATATTATAGGTTCTAAGAAACGGGCTGCTGAGAAAAGCAAACAATATAGAAATGAATTTTTTGAACAACTCCTTGAAAAAAAAACTCCCTCTTGACCCATACTTTACCTGCTAAACCTTAATCTATGGGTTATGAGGGAGATTCTCCAAAACCATACGCCCATAAAACCCATAGTTTTAGGTTTCCATAAAGAGGATTGGGTTTGAAGGGAGTCAACTGTACACACCACAAACATCAAACAACTTCCCTTCAATTGAGCATGGGAAAACAATTAGAGGCATAATTGCTCATAAAGCATTGGTCACTACACACCTGAGCCATAGCACTCACACTGCATATGTGCAGCAGGATAAGTGGATTGGGAGCCATCTTGTACATACAGAGATGCTCAGATATTGGCTCATCTGGATGAGTAAACCATATGTAATACCTTCTGTATTTTTTTCAGTTTGACAAAAGCATTCCAAAAATTGACTACATATACCTCCATAGCCACTGAGGCGATACTCTGGAAGCCATTTGATAGTAACAGAAAGGGTGTTACATGAAGTTTATTTAATGTGATTACACCAAAGCTATGAGTCAAGTGAGTGTATGTAGTCAATTTTTGCACTGCTTTTGTTAAACTGAAAAAAAATTACAGAAGGTAATACATAATATGGCTTACTCATCCAGATGAGCCAATATCTGATTCTGAGCATCTGTGTCTGATTCTGAGCATCTGTGTATGTACATGATAGCTCCCAATTTACCCATGCTACTGCACATATGTAGTGTGGGTGCTGTGGCTCAGGTCTGCATTGATCTTTATCACCAATTCCCCTTCTAATTATTTTCCAATGCTGAATTGAAGGGAAGTTGTTTAATGTTTGCAGTGTATACATCATAATCAGACACGTATCAATGCAAGTTTTGTAAGCCAAAACAGTAAGAATACAAATCATCAACAATACAAAGCTGAAAGTAAGAATTTAAGTGAGTGTCACCAATGATCAAAGAAGCAGACTAAGATACAAAAGATCAAGATTGCAATTGAATTACTAAATCACTTAAACCATTGGATATGGTTTGAACAAAAATCTTAGAATGTCAAATCTAAACCACAAACAAGGATATATGGAAGGATCCCAGAGTAAGAGTTTCAGGTAGGGCTTTGACCTGGCCTTGGAAAGGCCCGGCTGCATCTTCAAGAAGACCAGGGCCTGTTGTAGGCCTGTATCAAAGGGATGGGACCAAAAATGTCAGGGCTGGCGCCCTGAGGGTCCGGGCCCGTGGCGGGTCTCCTGGCACTCTGTAGGCCATGCTCAGCTGACTCAGGGTGTGTACCGCTTGCCTCAAGAAATCACCAGGCTGGCTCAGGTGGTCAGGGCCAGGGCCATGTCATAGCCCTAGTTTCAGGTCATAATATACACAAAGATGAACTAAACCTACTGTTCTACAGTTTTGGCATGTACCAAGTCTTTATCCTTAACAAATTACATATCTCATGATCAAATACATAACCACAGTTTCAAGTATATATTAACAATGAAACCCAGATCAAGTGCCCCACAAAACTTAAGTTTTACTGATCAAATGATCTTGATCAATCCTAAGACATGTAACAAAACCCATTCAACTTTGAATGGTCATGAAAAAGTTTTATGGAGTGTACAACAAGATCTTCTCCGTATTTGATCATCTGAGGGTATCCATTTTTGGATTGGGTTTCTGATCATTTTTGCATGTTTGGTGACAAGTTTGAGATTTGATTGATTTATTAAGGTTAAAGTGAAGTGGTTCTGGGGTTTGGGTGGTGAAACTTAAAGTGTTTTGTATAGCTGAGAACCTCAGAAATTAATGACCAATCATCAAGCTTCTTTTGTTTGTTAAAGAAACTTATTCTTTGAATTAAATAACTTTAAATGTACCATAGAACCTTACCTTTTTTTATTTCCAATCAAGAAATTATATGTAGTATGAAATATGATATAAGATTTCATAGTTGAATCATACACTTTAATGAGTATATCTCAAATAAATTTATTCTAGACCAAATTCATGTCTGCCAATTCTCTTCAAAGAAAAATTGTAAAAATGGTTTCTCATAAACAATATATATCTCATATATCTCCTCATCTTTAATCCATTTATCACCCAAAAAAACATACAAAAAGTGTAGAATAAAACAACTATTGAATACATGAATGAGATGTTAAAAATCTTTAAACCAGTGTCATTAATAAGGATCATCCTGTTTAGCCTTGTAAGAAGGATGAATTGGCTTATGAGATTTGTGGCTAGATCTTGGTTGTTCTACACTTTGAGTAACATCAGACATTTGAAATCAAGAGAACAAATGAGCTGAGCAATTTTGCTCTGGTACAAAAGAGCAATCCACAGGTAAACATAACATTGATACTTTATTTGCCACTCTGATCCAAATGAAAACTCCAATACTGCAACATCACTGGATCAGGGCAACAAGCTATGAGTAATCTTCTTGAATCATCAGAGGATTTCATAAGACAACAGCACCCATCATGCTGTGTCTAAATCTCTACCCAACCCTGAACCCCTTAGAGGCTTCACAAATGATGAACCAAAGTAAAAGTACACTCAACTTTTCAACAACCCACAAAAAAGAAAGAAAAAGAAAGAAATTAAGTTGCAAATCTCTTCATCCATTCTCAAGAAACTGATCAAGTCGAAAAAAAAAAAGAAAAAGACCTCCGAAAAAAAAAGTCATTATGATGTTTTCTTAGAAATTTCTTCAAAAGCTTGGTTTGTTTGTTTGTGAATTTGGTTTTGATTTGTGAAAACAAATATATATATATATTTATATAGATAGATATATGTGAAAACCCAATGTAAAGAATAGAAAAAGAAAGGAGTAGAAAAAGAGAAATCAAAAAAGAAATCAAAAAAGAAATGATCCAGAAAACAAAAGCACACAACACACACACAACAAAAAAAACATAACAAAAAAACATCATTAAACACACAAACCAAACCAAAAGAAAAAGTTTAAGGAAAAACTTGAAAAATTAAAAAAAAACTTTTTCTGTCTCGTGCCCTCACATATAGTCATATCACATAGCTTTATGCGGCGTGTCTTTTATGCAGGTTTACCATCTTTCTTCTTCTGTTTTCGTGGTGGAGTAACCGGTCTACCAGAGTTCATACCAGCATACATGAACTTCTGTTTTTTCTCTGCGGGTTTCAAAATCTAGTACAAAAACAGAGTGGATTCAGTATAATGCTAATGATAATGATGCAAGGAAGAAAGCACCAACCTGGAAACTACATAACAAGGTCTCATCTACACTCATCATGGCACCCGCATTATCAAATTCACCACAGTAATTTGGAGCCGAGAAAAGGGTGACGAGTTGACGTTTGGCAAAGAATTCATAACCATCTTCCACAACTTGATGTGCTCGGCAAATCAAATCCATGTCATGTTTCTGTAAAAACCTAGTGACTACATCAGGTCCAAACGTAAATGAGACACCTCGATCGTTTTCTGACCATCCGGTGATGTCTTTGTCAGGATCTGACCAAAGTAGGTCGCAAAGTAAACCTAGTGTAAAACGAACAAGGTTATGGCATGAGTGAGTGTTGAACGATGGCTTCAACTTGAGACTTGATCGTACCGGTATCAGGTACGTCTGTAGGCCTCATAACCCTTCTGATCTGTTCCATGCTCTGTAAATCGGGACTCAAGCCACCATGCATCGTAAAGATCTTTTCATCGATAATAGCCGCGATCGGAAGACAATTGAAACAATCTGTGAAAGTTTTCCAGAGCTTGATATTATATCTCCTCTTGCCTAACACACCTCCGTGACCACGTTAGAATCTCTCGTCTGTCGGTTCGGTATGGTAAAGGAAAGGCTTACATTCGTCATAGAAACCATATATCCGATTAATACTAGCACATTCATGATTACCGCGTAAGATAAAGAAGTTTTCAGGATATTTAATCTTGTAAGCCAATAACAGACAAATCGTTTCAAGTGATTGTTTTCCACGATCCACATAATCTCCAAGGAATAGATAATTGGCTTCAGGAGGGAAACCACCGTATTCGAACAAACGAAGTAGATCGTAATACTGGCCGTGAATATCACCTGAGAAGATCGAGAAATCCGGGTGGTTTGGAAGGCTCAATACAGAGTCCAGTGATTGATAGAGCTATGCTGAAGAGAGACTTACCACAGATCTTGATAGGAGCTTCTAGTTCGAGTAAGATGGGTTGATTAATGAAGATCTCTCGAGCTCGCGTACACAGAAACTTGATTTCGTATTCTTGTAATTGGACCTGTTTACCAGGTCGATTTCCTCGCACTAAACGACAAGACGTGAAAGAGGTAAAGAAGCAAATGGTTAATGATGTTGTGTCGCGATGTGAGGCGTGATGGAAGAAAAGGAATATAAAAGGTCATATCGTTTTCCGAATCGATTCCTTGATCGCGATTCTCTTGTTCATCAAGAAGATGGGTTGAACGAAAGAGAAGGCGAAGAGAGAGACGCGAATGAGAAGAAGAGAAGAACTGACCTTCTAATAGTCTATCAATCACTGAGTCAAGGTCGATCTCTGGTCCACCCTGTTCTGCCATCGTTTGTGATCTTTTGAGTTATGAATATCCAAGCTAATAGAGATGAGACCAATCAGAACAGCGGATGAGATGGATTGATAGATAGATGAAACAAGAGAAATGAAAGACATACTGAAAAGTAAATTAGATTGATTTGATCGATCGAAGAGATGAGAGATGAAGGTGAGGTATTCGATCGACTTGAATCCTTGTTATTTTGGTTCGTTGGTTGATTGAAAATTGAGAATTTGATGAATTGATTGAGAGAAGGAAGGAGAAGAGAGATTGAGAGGTAAAGGAGGATGAATGGATGAATGGATGGATGGATGATTGATTGGTGGTTTTGAAGAAGAAGAAAAAAAAAAGGCTTCTTGGTGATGTACTGAGTTTCTTGGATGAGGTTTCTAGTCTTATTCTAGTTTCTCAATTGAATTTTGATAGTTTCTTCGATTTAGTGGTTAGGTTCTTATGATGATGATGATGATGATGATGATGATGATGATTATAATGAAAACAAAAGAAGGTCAAAAGTGAATTGAAATAAAAGTCATCAAAACAAACTCAAACAAGTAAAAAGAACTAACTGAACCTGCTTCAAATCAATCAAAACCAATCCAATAGATGCGAGAAGTTGAAGTTTGGTTAAAAAGATTTGATGAATTTCTTTTTCTTTTTCTTTTTTTTTTTGGATTAAAATTCAAATATCACAGACTCAAACTCAAGACTGACACTCTGTGAACTGCACAGGGATGAAATCAAAAATGGTTTATGTAAGTCTAGCTGTACTAGAATTTAGCATTTAAGTAGCTAGCTAGGTTTAGAGTTCTAATTTCAGAATTAATCTGATTTTGTTTGTTAAATTTGAAGGAGTTTTGATTCAGCAACAAATTGTGCATAGATCGGTCGTCAAAAGGTAACGAATCAAATGAACCTTTCTCGAGAGACACTCGGGAGTGAGCGAGGGAAAGGACAAAACGATTCAAATTCTCAAAGTCAACTGTTTATTTGTAAATTCAAAGTTTACATTCAAGTTCATTTCCTCAATCAATCAATAAAGAATTTCAAAAACTTTGCATCTTTCATCTTATTCATCATCAAGAATAACCAATTTCACTTTGATCAACCAAATTGATTGACAACCTATCATTCAGATCTTATGTTGAAAATTGACCCCTTGGTGGGCATGATCATTCAAAGATTATTAGAATGCCATATGGTTGAGCAACCAAATTGATGATTTGTAACAAGTCTTTTAAACAGTTAAACTTGACCAAAGGAAGTGGACGATCCTCTTAAAACATGATCTTTGAGGAATTGTTTTATGTAGAGATGATGATGATTGATCAAGAATGACCTCTAGTCTCCAGACCGTTCAAAAATAGATAAACCATACACCAAAGCACATGTTCAATCTCAACTTCCGTATCTAAACATTTAATTTATCTGAAGAATATTGGTGTTCCATGAACTTTAAGTTCAGATAAGTGATGGATATGATTTAAGACCCACATCATTAAAACTCAGATATAAGCTATAATCTTCAATTACTCAAAGTGACCATCATAGATTTACGTAATTATCGAGGATCGCATCATGGATCAGAATAAAATATGTATTGCAACAAAGTGGCGAATGTCATGAATAAGTTTTTTTTGCGGGTAAACACAAATTCAAAATTAGATTCAGTTTAGAATTAGGAGTTTCATCTTCATCCCCACTTTGATCAACATCTTGATCATGATATCTTGATTCTTACGTAAATCTAATCAAGTTGTTTTATACGTTTTTTTCAATTGAACTTGAAGAAAAAAAACTATCTAAAGAATCTTGAAGACAAATATTGAAACAGATTTGATCGTTTTTTCTTGGTTTTGTTTTGTGGTTTAAATCATCAAGGCTGTTCAAGGTACATTTAAAAAAGGATTTTTGAATTCTTCTATACGTATTTGGTGGGTAGGATGATTGGCATTTCTTTTTATAGAGTGATCTGAAGTGGTTTGGATAGTGTAAATCAGGAGAAGCAAGTTGTGAAGATCTGTGATGTTTCCTTCAAGTTTGGGTATATGATTTATAGGAATCGTAAAATGTTAGAATGTTAGTATTGTATCAAGTACTTTAAAATATCTTATCAATGATTTGCTAGACATTAATATCATTTCAATCTTGAATACTTTGAAATCATATATGAACTCAATACCAAAGAATAAAATTGTTCTATTTACAAAATTCAGGAGAAAGTCCATGATAATCACTGGCCTGATATTTATTTGAAGATAGCGTTTATTTTCAGGCAAAGTTTTCTGATTTAATGAGTTTATTTTCAGGTCAGATTATTATCTTTAGAATATGATCAAAACCATGTGCTATCACTTGAGAATATAAATACACAAAGTATAAATAATCTCTGAGCAGCATCAAAACATTATCAAGATCATAGTGATTATGAAATTTTCTTTTTGTCTACCATAGATGAATAGCAGTTTTTGTTCTCCTGCTCATTGTGGAGGCTGCGAGGCGCAACAGAAGTAGGGTGAGTTCCGCTGCATTGCACAAGGGTTTAGGGGTTGTCTGTAGTGACAACACCGGTATCTATTTCCAGGCTAGCTGGCTGCCAGATGGAAGAGGTGTTGGCACAGCCAGATCAAAAATCAGATCCTTACACAGGTGGTCATCTATCCAATGCAATTACCACCTACATGCCGGGTTTTCAAACGTGGCTATTTATTGACAACCTCAAAGTACTGTGAACCCATGAAGTGCTGTGTACCTGTGCAATTCTAGTGGATTGGTGGAATTTATGCTGGGCATTACCAGGCTCACTTTTGAAAAACCAGTAATCTCTCCAAGGTTCTGGGTTTTTGTACAGCTTTGTTTACACAGGGTGATTTAACACGAGTTAAAAAATGTTCAACCAAGAAAAGTGATTCTTTTTGGAGTTTTAGTATTACACTCAATTCCTTCCAAAGACCTACCTGGTATAATACTAAAAGGGTGGGTGCGAAATTCCACCTTCCCCTTTTAAAAGTCAATTCCATTCTATGAACTTCACATCAATTCATGGCAATCAGAAGGAAATAAAAGTTTTTATACATTGTTTGCCTCAATAGTAGCTCTCAGGAGACAAGGACCAGATATCAAGACAATTTACCTTATTCAGGTTTCAGAAAGATTCTTTCATCAAAACAAAGAAACTTGAATTCTAAACATGATCAGCTTGTTTGAAGTTGATCTAGTAGTAGAATGAGTGCCAACAAATACTATAAAAGTTTAGAAGACCTAGAACAACTCCACTATTCCTTAAAGAAGCTAGTATTGAAGTGCCTTTGACGTCCAAGTTAGAATGTGCACTCTTTGAATCTGTACCATAAACTTCCTTGTGTTTTCTCTTGCTCTATACTTTCATCATGTTCAAATCATTGTAGACTTGTGTTGATGTAGGCGCAGTTGAGAGATAATTACATGTGTCATGGATTGGGCTTCATCAATACCGGAATGGAATTTTACTGCAGCAATTATCCGCCCATAATGTCCTCAAAACCTGCTACCTCCGTCAAAACCACAAAATACAACAGTTCTACGCACAAGAGCTTCATAAATTGATCTTTTGACTAGACGGACTACTCTTTCCACCTTGAATTCCCCTGGTCCGCAAAAATACTGACCATTACAAATCATTGCACTTGTCTTTCCCAGTTGTCCTCAACCATCAAGGAAGAAGACCAACCCCCCCACCCAAACACCACAGCCTCATTAGAAGCACCAAAAAACGATGCCAACGAGATTCGAACTCGCGCGGGCAGAACCCAACGCCTTAGCAGGGCGTCTCCTTAACCACTCGGACATAGCACCTTCTGTGAGAGACCGGTGCCAAATTCGCAACAATATAATGTACTCAATCTCACTTAGAAGAGAAGCAGGAAACGGGATGGCTCTAGTTAGACAGACAGAGTGATTTTGAAGCTATCTGGGAGTTCATAAATTTCCAATCGACCATCAAGCGGGTGAAGTTTTGATAGGAGTACGAATCAAATTGTAGCAAAATCAGTGGTTGAAGTTCTGTATTGGGAGATCAGAGGTAAGCAAAATCCCGTCTGAAAAGAATTGAAGTATGTCAAGTGGATTTTAAATTGAGGAGACGTTATATAAGAATCACGTGAGGAGCTTGATTGGACTGTTGAAGGTAAGGGTACGTTTGGTAGCGATTATTTTTGGCGATTATTTTGAATAATAGCGATTATTTTGCAAAATAATCGCTGTTAAAAAAACACGTTTGGGACCACTTATGGTACCCAGAAATAAACTCCTTCCCCGTCCCAAAAGGAGTTTAAAACGGGACTTTGGATAAACGCCAAAAGGGAGTTTATCCGTGAAATAAACTCCCTTTTGTACTTGAGAAAATTTCATTTCGAAAGACTTCAACCCTTCTCATCAATCGATCCAATATGTATTCACTGCATAAGATGTTTGTTCTTTGACTCAATCAACATCTTTAACACTACACCATCATACTCAAGACTCACAAGCCAATTTTCACCTCTACTCCTCGCGCCTGGCAGCCATTTCCTTCTGCTTTTATCTGACCAATCATCTTCTCAAATCTATCTTTTGTTTCTCAAGTATGAATCTAGAATTGAATTGATTTTTCTGTGTAAAAAGTTATTCTCTTTTGTGATTGTACAAATGAAATCTCGAAAACCAATTTTGATTGAAGGAACGAGTTATCGATCCAATTTCCAGTCAATTGTGTGATTTCAACCAATCGGTCAATTTGAATCAATTTTTCAAAACCAATCAATCATCCAATTCCATTCAATCAGTCAATATCAATCAATTGTTGAACTTCAAAAAATTCCAAAACAAATCACTCTTGAAAGATGAGATAAATAGGAAGTGGTGGAGTTGAATTTGGTGACGTTTCTGTTATCGCGAGCGTGTTCGGGAAAAAAAATGGTCGGATGGGGACAAAGGTCATATCATATGATCATTAATTGTATTGGAGATCACCAGAGGACATCCATATGGGTGGATGTGGAGTGGTAGATTGTGAAGTGAGGTGAGCTGAGGTGAGAAAACTTCAAAGAGAGTTTACCTGAGTTTACTATATACATCTGGTTGGGATTTTCAACCAAACGTGATTTTCTTCAATGTACCCTAAACGGAGTTTATTTGATGAAAAATCAATTTGAACAATAAACTCATTTGCCCCGGGGCAATGTACCTGGGGTCAAACGGAGTTTACAATTCGTAATCGCAACCAAACGTACCCTAAGGTAACTCGTTATTTACTGATTGGAATATCGAAAGGATGAAAATTAGGTACTTTGAGTAATTGTCGGGGTCGGTCATTGTGGTCAATGTACCACTTGGTAAAATGATAATCCTGTTTACCTTTGTCTTACTTATACCATTTATTTCTCGTTACCAATGTTGTCTATATTTTCAAATCATCATCATCATTGTAAAGTTGAGAAAATTGGCAAGTTATCTTTGAAGCTAATTTGTCATTTTTGTCATCATTGTTCAATATATGTCATGTACCACTAGCCACCCCGTTGGGTATTGTTTGTTTTTTGGTCATGTCAATATATACAAAAAGTTTTAGCCCAGTTACTTGAACGCTTTTGGTGTTTCTAGGAATTGGATAAAGTCATAAAACATGCGAGTGATTGAGAGCGAAATGATTCTACCTGGATGGAAGAGTCAAAACATGACATTGTTTTCCTGCGATAAAGATTCCACTAGGAACAGTGGTAGTCATAGACAGGATCGTTGCCTACAATGACATCTAATCTATAAGCCTAAAGATGGTAAAAATTGATTTCTTGCTCTAGATCAATCAACTCGAAGAAAAACACGCTCAAAGTACTGGAAAGAGTTTGATAAATAATATATCTAAAAGCTCCTTTTGAAAGAAATCACTAGAAAATGTCTCAAAATCTGCCTAGATAGGTATATGGGCTACCTTTCTACAAGCTTCGACTGTTCCGTGCTTCTCTACAGCTTTACGCATCTCTAAAAAGTCACGGCAAAAGATAATGATGACCATCATCAGCATTTATACATTGGGAATTTGTTCAAGCAACTTACTATGACTTCGTAGATCGCACACAGGCAGGTCCATGACGCAAGTAGAGTTACTGTTGGTCGGGAATGCGCTATTTTGGTTTGTTTTCGAGATATAGATGAGAGACACATCTATTTGTCATTATCAAAGTATTTAAACAGCTTACGTATCGTTGTAAGGGTTTGGGCCGCCTACTCCGTGCATTTGTTGACATTCCCAAGCTTGAGTAGTGATGTATTCAGCCGTGAATCCGTAGGTCGAGTTGATCAGGGATCCATGGTACCAAGTGTTGACAGCTTTCTTTCCCTTATGTCTGATGACATTCATCATCCTGAAAATATACGGTAAAAAAGATCCACGTGTGAGTTGTTTGTCAGTGGAAAGAAAGATTTGAAAAAACGCCATAGGAAAGATTCATGGATTACGTTTTGTTTGGATAGCAGTAGGAGATTGAATCCGGATCCTCCCAAGCACCGTTTGGACCTTTACCGTCACAACCTTCCTATATTCCGAGAAGAGAGACAATCCAATAAATTTTTATAGATAGCTGCTTATGAAGCATGAAGCGTAGATAGCGTACAGATACTGTGACGAATCCACCCTGTTCAAAGTAACACCATTTGATCAGATTCTTATGTTATCTCATCAAGTTCGATCATTAGGTTGAGACTCACGTAATCACGAATGATCTGGGTCAAGATTCGAGCGGTTGCGCTGGTAGAGATCTCGTTCTCTACCTCGGACATTTGTCGAGCCTTCACAGGAATGAAGTATGCTCCACCTTTAAGAACACCTGAAATACCTTCAGGTGTACTGATGCCCGCATTGAGGACTGCTGTTGTCTGATTGCTTAGCGCTTCTTGTGCTAAACCTTGCCATTTTCCAAGGTACCATGCGTATTGTGACCACTGAAGAAAAAGATAAACAAATCTCATGAGTTATCATGAATCATGAATCTAGGTCTGTAAAATCTCTTTGAATAATCTTTGAATCTTACTCTAGAGAATTGATCTGGAATTTCCTTCCAGTTCTCTCCAAGTAATGTCATTCCGATCGCTCCTTGACCGATACCAAGAAGTGCGTTGATAGAATACCAAATTCCCATGGCAAGCAAGGTACCAGGCCAGGCAATTGCGACTGAAGCAATGAGTGCAGCAATACCTGCGGCTATTGAGAATATATCATTGAGCTTCCAAAGCGGGCTACGTTTGAGGGGCTTGTAAAGATCCGTGACCAGTGAGGACGAGATGGCTTATATGCGCAAGATTATGGTTCATTGAGTTAGAGTCTGCTCGTCTTTATGATTGCAGACCTAGAAACTTACATTGTGTTATACTGACCGCTGTGCCGATGGCGCCGTACAATGTGTTTCTTATCAAGTTCCACCCTTGTAAGGCATAAAATACTTCCCAATCAGGCCCTTTGATAGGAAAACAGGGCTGTGATCTAGAGTCAATAGCTGTATACAAGAAGCAAGGGAATGTGGCTGGAAGTGTTCTGTCCGCTCACCTGTCCCGCATTACAAGTCTCGCCAATTCCGCATACAAAGTTGTCAACGCCTCTCGACGAAGCAAATTCCTGAAGGAAGACAGTGGGGAAGATTAGATCATAGTAATCATGGATGTTTACGTTCGACAGATTTGATTTTTCCACTTTGACATATGATGAGGAGACACTAACCGCTAGAGACATATTTCGACCCCCAGGATAGTTAGCCAAGTAATCATCAAGCTTAAGTCGAGCCCATGTATCAGGCTGAATCGGTACGATTGCACATGGGTCCGACCAATTGACTGTCGGTGGTGGAATCTGGAAAGCAGGTGGTGTGTAGTTGGTCTCAATAGTGGTAACTGGAAGCGGACTGGTCGTGTTGGTATTATTGCCGACATTGGGAGGAGGGACGTCTCGTTTCTCCATGTGACCATGTACAAGTCCTCCAGCGAATGTGGAAATTAATAACAAATTCGATACCATCTTTAGTAGCTTTATTCAAAATGTCCCGTGATCAAGTTTGATTTAAGGAATGATAGATTTTAGATCTTCTATGGAAGGAAGAAATCGGCGAGCGGGTTCTGCGTTGATGCCCAAGAAATGAGTGAATGTTGATTGAATGAATGAGTGAATGTGTTTTGAGGTAACAAATGGATCAGTTGGCTTTGGTGACGCCGAATGATGTTCGAGTGGGTTAGTGATGTCCAAGCTCCAAAGATGGGAATGGAGGCTCAGGATACATCATAAGATAGAGGCAGAGTATCGATTTTAGACATTTTGAGAAAGACGCTCTGCTACACCCTTGGCGCCCTCAAACGCGTTTCCAAACGCGCAGTATGACAGGTTTCAGGATTGTTCTGCCAGGCAAGCTTGCTGCCAGGAGCCGCGGGCTGGGAATAAAGCGAAATACTAAGTATATATCGTGTTACACGTCGCAGCTTTTTAGCTGCCGACTTACCACTGAAGCTTTGCGATGAGCTCCATTCCAACGCAAGCGTGTCACTGGAGGTAGTGGGCATTTCGAGGTCTCTGTCACTGTGGCATATTCCGATATATGGACTGCGTCGACTTCACTCGCTGCGATAAATAAACAGAAAACTTATGGCCACCTTCAGCCGATGAGAGCATACCTTCATGGTTCTTGTTCACAAGTTTGCATCTTGAGATGCCCAGCTGATTCGTCGATCGATAACAAAGCAGGTCGGAAGATTTGTTAGCCAGCCTGAGCCAACGCCGCTGAGTCTGGAGTCATGTCAGAACTGTTAACCCATATAGTAGGCCCTATGGGTTTATCCCACCGAAACGGGACTTCGTCCAAACCGCTTCTACCCAAGGATATTGACCTCTAGGCTCTCTTGACCACGACTGCGAGACTTGTTATCGCACTGATTGCGACGATTGCTCTCCCGCTGTCAGACTTCGTTCTATGATTGTATGATCTCCTCCACATGATCCTCCAGCTTCAAGAACTAAGACGCTACATAGACAAACAGTCTTCTTAATTTTATGATGCGCTGTGATCCACCACACCTGATACAAAATGTCCAAAAGGCACTTTGCCCCATCATGAAGTTTGTGTTAATCTTTCCTTTCCTTTCCCTTGTGGAGTTTGTACAAGCCTGGAGAAATTTGGTCTTTGTGAGGTGATCTCATGGATTTGTATCTGTATGGTACTGACTCAAAGCCTTGGTGTAAAGATGGCTCAGGCTAAGAATGAAGGCTTGAAATCAACACAAAAAAGCACTTCTCACTTCTTTTGTGAGGGAAGCCTCAGGGATTGCACAAATTTGCTCATTTATGCCCTCAAAAGTTGATGGACTAGGAGAGTGTATAGTTAGCTTTTGTAATATCATTTTCCTACTTTCATGAGATTATAGATAATAATTTAGAAATTCATAAATTACAACAAACTGATGAGGTCGATCACAGTTGGAAGAAATGAAAATGGTGAAAAGTTGTATCAAACACTATAAAGATAAACAGGGACTTATTAGAAATACTAAAGTAAAGTGTATGGGGAATACTGTAAGATAATTTTCACAACTTGTGTTTTCATAGTCAAGCTCTCACTTCTTTTCTTGATTGCGAATTCTATGGCTTAACTAGAAGCGTGAGGAGTGAGAGGCCAGTTAACAGGAAAGTCAAGCCCATCGTCCTAATAAAGCCATTATACTAAAAGAATCAATAGTTGCCATAGTAATATCATGTCAGCTTCAAATCAAACGGGCTGTATACATGGACATCACTTCGGAATCCAAATGTGATGATTGCACCCAAAGAAATTCCAATAGATGATTTTGATACGCACGCAGCTCCACTAAGAACCGATCCTATTGCAAAGGCCATCTTCCCATTTGAAGACTCTATCAGCATCTCTCGGTTGAAAATGAAGTCATGGGCGAGGAGTTCGACCAATCCCGTATAAAGTAGAACCCCAGATGAGAAAGCATCCAGTGTTCCCGAGACCATGAGCGCTGTTGGAGAGTCGGGTCGGTATCTGCTCAAGTTTGGTTTAAACGATCAGTCTGGAGATATAGATATGAGCGAGGAAGTTGCCGAATTTTCCTACTTACGTGTTTCGTACGCCTAATCCAATGGCGAGTCCAAGTGGTGTCACGAAAGAGTAAACCATTCCACTTGATACTGGAAGCCACCGCAATCGTGCAGGTAGACGTAATTGTGAGAGCCTCGATCCAAGTCCAAGACCTTCGAACATCTCTGACGGATGAAAAAATATCAAGTCTTGATCAGTGCTTCGGTGAGACAGGATACTTGATAGGCGAGCTCACGGTGGAAAATGATCACAATGAAAAATGTTGTGAATTGAGGGTCTACGGCCAGAGTCAATCCAATGACCGCACTGATTTATAGGATACGAAAAGGAGATCCAAATGAGCACTCCAAGATCAAAATTGGATGACGCCAAAAGGCTATGTGTTGAACTCACCTATGAAATACCACACCAATCTCAAGGATGGCCACGCTTATCAGCTGTGCAGTGGCACTGGCCTGTGCAGCGGTAACAGCGGCCGGGTCTTCATCGCTAACTTTTCCCAAAACTGATTGTCCAGAATCATCACCACCATGCTCTGGTCTCAAATCGCCACCCGCCCCAATGGTATGACTGTGATCCGCGTGACCAGGGTCGCCAGATCCGTGAGTGTGATATCTGACGCCCAGCCGAGTCAACCTGGCGGTCCCAACTCGGAAAGCCTGACAGAATTTTACCTCAAAATCAGCCTCTGGTCTGCTTTCATGGAAAGTATATGGTTGACTCACTATTATTTCAACAAGGAACAATACGAAAACTGAAATCATAGAGATGGCCTCTGGCCAGGGGTATACTTTCCATGCACCTGTCAAGCAATCCGAAGACAGGGCTTCATTTGCAGGTGCTAGAAGCTATTGAATGATATGATGAGTCAGTAGCAGAATGAGGAAAATGGACTAGAATGGTGTAATCACATGTATGAATGCTGTCGCAATTATCACACCGCTTCCAAAATATTTTGCAAATTCATATGCGGCCGCCGGGATGACGAATAAACTTGACCGTCGAGTGAGGATAGGGAAAAGTGTCCCGAAGAGTGATGTGACGAGAATGATAAAAATTGCTCCCACTCTCAAGCCCAGTCGACCACTAAACTACGATTGCGAAGATGTAAAGGGATCAGCGTACAATCTACAGGGTCAAAGGTATCGCGCTTTTGAAAGCATAATGAAGGGTAGGATGACACCATGGAATTTGTACAAAGCTAGATGACTGGACGTGTTCTATGTTTTTTGTAGTAAGATCATGATAACTTACCTCATTGCTTGAACCTATAGAGCCGCGCGATGAAATTCAATCGAGGTTGAAGTTGAATGGAGCGGACAAGTGCGCCAGTGTACGCGATGTCGTGAATTGTTGTGAAGATCGCCCGGAAGAGGAAGAACAACTCGGTTAGTTATTCAGGCGTTCAGCATGATACACTGCCGTTAGCCGCAGGCTGATGCGAGATCCAGCCGAGAGGGAAAAGGAGTGACAACGAACCGCATTCAGGTTGATCTAGTGGCGTAGAGGTTGAATTCTCAACAGCTGCCATATTTTGATTGATGAATATTTTGTGCTGATGCTGATGGACTGAGGTAAGTCAACAATAGATTACGAATTCCGTATACGGGATCAGATGACACTCGAGCTAGACTAGCATATATCCTTTATCATGCATTAGAAACACAGCAGCTTCAGTCAGGTGGCCGGAGTGAGTTTTTTATGAAATCACTTCTGATGTACCTCACCGGTAGTGCACGGGGTGGACGAAACTGAAGGGAACCCTACAGGTTATCAAGCCACCGCACCGGTTTCGAAGTTGTGGACACACGTAACGAGTGAAAAATCAAGTGTGACAGATTGTAGCCCAAGTGACACCTACAAGTAAAGAGCATTTGCGGTTTGAAGTTGCTCGCATGTAGTTCAGCCTCGCATGTGAGTTCCACACAATTAAAAGTTTTCGAACGTGAAAATCTACAGAGAAAATATGTATCTATCAAGATTTATGTATCGCATTTACCCTGATTTCTCTCTTGCCCAATGTTTGCACAGAGCTTCACAGCCTCCACCCCTCCGGTCATGTCACCTGCATGGCCGCAGTTCCCTGCAATCCAAGACACAGCCGTGTGGAAGGATTTCTTACCTAGATCTAGACCCTTCTGACTTCAGCTACCCACATCTTAAACAGAGGATGCAAAGATCAAGAAATTTATTGACAGTCTTGAGCTTGAATAAAGATATGATGAAGATACATGTGAAGGATGTGACAGAAGGGATACTCAGAGTCACACAACTGTGATCAGTTTCACTGATGATTAGTGCTGGATCTGAATTGAAATGTATTGGGAGGACCTGAAACCATTCACAAATCAGTGATGTTTTCTTTCAAACACCAAGAAAAAAACTATCAATCATAGATAAGGCTCTCTTTCATAGAATCTTCAACAACACAAAAAGAAAGCTCTCCAAGTTCATCATCTGAGCTCCTCAACTAAAGGAGCAAAACCTAACCCTCAAAAAATCTTCTAGACCGGAACCAAGTGGTCTGGGAGGATAACTTCTGCTACATATCCCAACCCAATGCCAGGGTTTTTTGGATCACATTTTCTTGCTGACTTACTTAAGTCCTGTAATTGATGAGCTTGATGCTACAAGAGTGCAACACTCTCGAATACTGCAACTGAAGCACTCTCATGTGATCTACCTAACACCTCTGTATGTTTCGGACAATTGTCTAAGGTAGTCTTGGTGTTGCTGGAGAGAGACTGTCCACCAGTGAGCTTGCATGAATTAAAAGTGCAAGAGCAGCAGGATGGCAAGATTTGAAAAAGAAGACATACTTAGAACTTGAAGCATATCAACTTCCAATTGGTCATTAAAAATACATGACCACCAATCAGGAGTGACAATAGTTAAGCACTTATTGGGAGTAGTTGGTTTAGAAACCCTAGCAGGTAGCCAAGGTATAAAGAATATAACAATCATACTGCAAAGCAATCCCAGTGGCAAATAATTTTGATGATGAATTTGATCAGACTACATACATATAGATAGGAGCAAAAACTAAATGTATGAGAAGAGACAAAAGAGCAAAGCAGAGGAGTGCAACAGGTATACGAAGATCAAACAACAACCCTTCAGAGCTGCTCATGCCCCTTGGAGAAAGGCAATGAGAGGAGAATAATGTTCTTACATAATCAATGACAAGCACAAAATTGTCAAGAAATGCCATTCCCAGAACCTCCCATCTCTAAATTCTACAGTTTCCTCTTTCAGTGGTGAAATCAAAAGAGTGCGAGAGAAAATATAAACAACAAGAATACTACAAGGATCTGATCTGATTTTTGTAGAGAGGTAGCATACATACATTTTAGAAAGAAGAGATATAACATATAATGTTTAACAAAATGCATTATAATCCCAGAATATGAAGCCACTAAGAAAAACAATAGGAACATTGCAAACTTCTCACAAAAAAAGCATACAATACACACCTACCAAAGCCAAGAAAGCCCACCACAAATTATCAAGAGTACAAAAGATAAAGAAAAATCTGATGATAAGCCAAAACAAATAAAACAACACAATGCGAAATATACTTTTTTTTCTTTCTTTAACAATACTTCATCTTTTTAGACATTCCACCATCCAGTACATAATTTTCTCCATCAATAAATCCACTTTGTGTATAATCAAGTAAGAACCAAGCTAATTTAGCTACATCTTCACCTCTTCCTACTCTTCCTGCCCAATGTTGTGCATGATCTGTAGGTCTGAGTGGTACGACTGGCGTACTGTAGCATCAAAGTTGAAGGTTCAAAAGATATTGTAGCCAATCAGTTTCTCTGAGATATTTATAAGAAACCAAGAGGATCACCAAGGAATGACTACATACCCTGGAAAAGTCATCACATCACTCATAATAGCGTCTCTTACATCAATCCAACCAGTACTAATACAATTCACTCTTACCCGACGTTCTGCGAAATTACTTGCAAGAGAATGAGTCAGAGAGATCACACCACCTTTAGCCGCAGCATAAGCAGCACTACAACCCGGTTCACTCTGTAAGCCTCTAGTCGAAGCAATTGAAACGATTGCACCACCGGTTTTAGAAAGTTCTTCTACAACATGTTTGGCCATGATCCAATGAGACGATAGATTAGATTGAACGATTTGATTAAAATCATCTAAAGAAGTATGTTCGATCGGTCTAGCACTAAATGAAGCTAATGGACCACCACCTGGATTATTAATCAATCCATCTACACCTAACCAAACCTTTGTGACTTCTGAAATTGAGGCGATCACTGAAGCTTCTAATGTAAAATCAGTGGGTAAGAATAAAAGTTGATCTCCTTCTAAATATTCAAATACATCTTCTTCTGGTTCACCTCGGGTTTGGAATAATGAACTATGACTGATTGATAAGAAATGTCGTAAAGCTCGTAAAGATAATATATCATCATCTAGTAATGCAACACGAGCATTCTAAAGAGAAAATCAAAGGTAGTCAGCTATGAAGTACTTTCAATATGTTCCTCTTGAATCTCCTTTGGCTCAGTGGGAAGCAAACGTGGGCAGATCATAAACGGATGATCTCTTACATGAACTTTAGCAAAATGTAAAGCACAATGTGCACCCTATCAAACGCGAACAAGGATTAGTTAGCTATTATCAGATTTACAAAACCGCTTGTCTCATTGAATCGTAAGTCAGTTTAGGCTTACGATCCCGTTTGCAGCACCGGTGACGATGATCCTAGGACCTGTTGGAGATTTATTGTCCTCGATTTTTGAAGTGCTTGCACTAGCCATAGTTGTGTGACCTGAATAAACGATATAAAACTACTGAATCGTAAAAGTTGATGGTTGATATGATCAAAACAGGACCCTGGGAAGCGCTGGTCGAGGTGTGGAAGGAAGAAGGTCGATCTTTGGTCAGATTTTAGGCCTGACGGAAAAGGTCGGCATTGGACTTTCTGAGTGACATGTCAGTGACGTAATACGTCGGAATTGTTATTGCAGGACCCAGGTGACCAAATTTTCTCGTGTTGGTGACTGACGTAAGCGGTCGGACAGAAGACAGGAATACAAGATCCAAAGAGAAGATCGGGAGATAAGTAAGATGTGGAAAGATGCCAAAACTAAATGGAATGGATACGTTGAGCACTTGTTCAATACAAAACATGAGAAATTTCCAGTCTTGCTTCACACATCACACCTTTATTGTGATCATTTGAATCATTCGAATGACAAAGGCCTTCAATCACTTTGACTTTGGTATTTGTGATTCTGGATCATTGGTAGGAGGCATGGTGCCGGCAGGATACCTGCACCTCCCAGACATACAATTGATGCGTAAATTGTTAGCAAGAATACTCTAATATTGCAAATGTAGAAAAGAAAGTCAAATTTGATCAATTACAACATCTGTTTGTAAAAAAGAAAAACCATTCAATCTATAAAGAAAAACCAAAGAAAAAGACCTCAACTGTTTTAAAATCTTACAATAAGAGAAACATTTTACAATTGATTTTAATCAAAAAAAACTTACAATCGACTTTCAATGTCTTTACAAAAAATCAAAATAAAAAAAAGAAGAAACCAAAATAAAAAATGAAAAATCTGATAAATGATTGATGATGAGAAAAAAAATCTAAAAATCTGAAAAAAAGATACAAAGGATCAATATCAGTTCAATCTTCTCACATCAAAAACCAAAGAGTTGAAAGAAGACTCTAAGATGTTAGATAGGATGAGTGAAGCATGTGAAAAAAAGGAAAAGAAGAAAAGAAAAAGATTTCTTACATACGAGTTTCAAGAAAGTTTCAAACCAATCCCGCGACCTAATCATTAATGAATACAACATAAAGACCCACCAAAAGGAAATTGCTTGCAAAGAACCTCTCAAGCTGAACAGAGGCTAATTAGAAAAAAAAACGATATGACTTCAAACTAGATCTCCCAATCAAATCCGACCTTCAAATCGTTGACAATCACAAGCCTTTAGAACCATTTCTTGACCAGTTTTATCACTCTCAGCCTCAAACCTTCTTGTTTCGATCAGTTGTCTATGATGACTCGAAACACTAAGTCCATTTCTACCTTCTGTTCCAATAGACGATTTCTTTTTCACTTCTACTTCTAATTTCTTTCGACATGAGATTTCTTGAAATAAAGTTTTCCTATTAGACGAATATTTTAAAACGTTTAATAATTGTTTGGTGGTTAATGGATCAGGAATGCCGATTAAACTTTGATTTAAGGTATCTTCTAATGGATCATTTTCGTTATGATGATGATGGTTTAAACTCTTGAAGGAGGTTCGTTTAGGTTGGTTTGTAAAATTGATTGAATGTGATTCTAAACCTGGAAAAGCTGAAAGTAATGCAACCCAACGCCAGATTTGAAATTGGATTTCTTCAGGTAACTTATTCCAATGAAAGATATTGGGATTCTTGGATGACGTTTTGAGACTTGAAGGTTTTGAAAGTAAGACGATCCTAGCTGTCGAGATCACTCCTAAGGCTGCTCTACGTGCTGCTAATCTAAAGACTTGATTACGTAGCTCACATCGTTCTAAGAGTTGTTTCCAACCTCCGTCATTATCGATTTCAGTTCTTGCTTGAGCTCTTTCAAGATCAGTTCCAAATTCGACCATTTGTTTTAATGTTTCAAGTTCTTCTTGTTCAGTTGGACGATCTATCGGAGTTCCAAATTGATCAATCGATTGATTAGAAGGTAAATTACATGCCAACATTTCAACTCTTAATAAGTTTTTGTTTCCACCAGGTTTAGCAAGCGACCAAACAATTCTTTCACATCCGATGACACCCCAATTATTCCCATTGACGGCTAACCATTCAAGTCTTCCAGATCGATTGGAATCTTCTAACCAACCTGATAAAGCAAAAGCTACGGTCGAATCTAAAGCACAAGCTGAAAGATGTAAGGTTTTCAAAGCTTTGGGTGAGAAGGATGGGTTTCTGAATAAAGAGACTAATGAAGGACCATGAATGGGATTCGAAGTTAATGAAAGAACTGATAAGTTGTTTATATAAAGTAAAGGTGAAGGTTGTAGAGATAGACTGATTTGATTGTTTGAAAGATAAAGTTCATTTAAAGAGATTGAAGTTGCACAATCACAATTGGTTTGATCTTGATTTTGATTATTATTATTAGAAGATAACCAATGATTAACTAAAGTATTGAACCCTATATCAGTGATTTGATTACTAGCTAAATTGAGTTCTTTAATATTCGAATTCGATCTGATCACTAAATGTTGTAAACCCAGATCACCTAAATGATTATGACTAAGAGTCAGTTTCTGAGCAAATGGATTTAAGGCTAATGAATCTAATAAGATATTAGCTCCATTGATAGATCTTAAACCTGTATCATGATATGATAAATGATCTTGTTGTCTTTCTGGTGTAGTAAATCCTCCTCTATCTTGATCTCTGATGGTTTGATGTACTACATGTAAGATTGGATCTGGATTTGAAGATTGAGGAGTGATTAGAAGTGATCTTAGGAATGGTAAGAACATTGAGCTCATGATGGTCTGATGGGTTGATGGGTTGATGTTGTTGTTGATTTGTTGATTTGTTCTGGTGGTGGTGGTGGTGGTGGTGGTGGTGGTGGTACTCGTTGATGAAATGATAGAATGAGTTTCAGAATCAGAACAGATGATTTCAATGACACACTGTAGTTTTGAAACATGTAGTTCAATAAAATGTATTTTTCAAAAGCATCGATCGATTCAATTACTTTATCCGTTATCAATGACGACATCGCTACGTCATGACATCATTCAATCAATCAGATTCATGAAGACTTCAAGTTTTGAAACTATCTCGGTGATCATCGGAATTGAGTAATCAGTCATCGATCTTGAGATCCGTTCATCATCGGGGTTTCATAAACCAAGACCTTATAACCAAACACCTTTGCCACACTGATCCATCAAATCCCCACAAACTCGTCTTTTCCTTAATCTCTATCATTTCCAAAAATACCCGTTGCACAAAAACCAACCAACCAAATAAACAAAATGGCAGAATCAACTCTGACTCATGCAAATGCTAAATTCATTGTCTTTTCGTAGGTAATTTATCTACTTTAAAAGAATCATTCATCATCAGATGATTTACTTACGAATGTATTGTTTCTTTTGAAATATTTTTAATTAGTGATTTTGATGGTAAGTCTTTCTTTGAATGGGTACTGAAAAGAAAAAGGATTGATGTGATATTTCTTGGGTTGTTCATTAGGTACTATCACTACTGAGGTCAGTTTAACTGAAATCTGATAAAAAAATTAGATTCTTTATGACTGATAAATTGGGTGATTATGAATGCATTTTTTGGATTAATAGGATAGTAATGATCATATGACAGATAATCTTGGATTCGGAAGAGAAAAACGTCGTCAAGGAAACTTGGATGTACTTGAAGGAAAGGCCACTTTTCGGTATGTGAACATCAAATCATGGATGGATTTGGGTCAAAGATATATATATTTTCGAGTGATTGATGATGGTTATCTTTTTAGTGATATGTTTAAAGAAATGATTGATAGTGTTAGTTCAAAATACTCGTTTGATGAATGTAGAGAAATTGTTAAAAAACGTAAGGGTTTTTATAAAAACTTCAATTTGATTGAAAATGAACTAGTTTGTTGACTTATTGGATTTTCTTGATTATTAGATATTAAACTTGACCCTGGCTTCAAAGAATTCTTGGATTGGGCAAAGTCGGCTGATGTTCCAGTAGTAATCGTTTCAAGGTAAACGATCCAAGTTCTCTTCTTTGTGATTCAAATTCTTACTGATCGTATCTTCGGTTGGACAAAAAAACTTCACCAAAATATTTAGTGGAATGGTACCGATTATTCGAGCGATTTTTGAAAACTTGGTAGGAGTAGAAGCAGCTGCTCAAATCGAAATTGTTGCAAATGATGTAGATACTAGCAAAGGTTCAGGTCCGGGAGAATGGACAATCAAGTACCGTCATCCGGAATCGTAAGTCACAATCTTGACTCTTTCTCTCTCTTCTTACCTTATAAAAATTCAAAAACTAATATCCGTTTTTTTGTTAATAGTGGATTCGGACATGATAAAGATAAATGTATAGAACCATATCGATCACTTTCACCTAAACCGACTCTATTCTTTTGTGGTGATGGAGTATCAGATTTATCGGCTGCACGTTCAGCTGATTGTTTATTTGTAAAAGTTAAAGAAGGCACTGGAAATGATTTAGCTAAACATTGTCAAAAAGAAAAAATCCGACATTTCACATTTGATAGTTTTTTACAAGTTAAAGAGGTGGTAGAAGGAGTGGTCAAAGGGGATTTGAACGTTCAGGAAGTAGGTCAGGTTTAAAGATTCATATCGCATTGGGTTGATCAATTATAGATTGGTTTGAAAAGGTTTTGGTTTTGGTATTGGTGGGGGGTCATTGTTTGTGGTTGTGGTTGTACATAAGTATGTAACAACTATTTGGAATCCTTCATTTCTTAAAGTTTTTCCATTGGTTTTGAGGAATTGTGAAGTTACGTAGTCTTTATCTGATGTAGACAAGCATAAAAGCTGCTCCTAGAAATTTATCACCTCTCAAAGTGATTCACTTTATGAATTTTGAAATTTCTTTAGATATTCTTCTTTATGGATCCTTTTAGCTGGCAAATGTAGCATCCTACTGGGATAAAGTTTTGGTCAAGTTCTTTTAGATTGGATTGAGAGAACTTCCAATTTTATGAGAGAGGAAATTAGTTTGGGATAGAATCTAAAAGCGCTTTGAATATGGCCCTCACTTACTGGTGAGGCGAGAGGGATTGACTTTGTTGAGTCCAATGGCTCTCTGATCCTTCAACAAAAGAGTGATAGAGCTCGACATGAAGGATCAAGGAACATACTCGTGCGCTGCTATGCGCGTTCGCCGGCCCCCTCTGGAGATCAAAAGGTCAGTCATGATACCCTTCTTGTTCTGAGCCGGGGTTCTCCAACAATCCTTCATGGAGTGTGCACCTAACCTAGAAGTTCAAGACTCAGCAAAAATGGAATATCTGAGTAATGGTTGTACACTTGAGGTCTTTTATGTCCTCAAAATCTGTAGATAATATGAAATCAAAACCAAACAAAGTTTGTGATTGTCCAGTACACCAGATTATAAACATCAATGAAGGGAAACAGCTTGCTCATGATTGAAAACTTAATGAGGGAATCTTGCAGAAAGGTTGGCACAAGAGTGTAAACCACGCGCAACATGATTGGATTACACATCATTTGTGGTCCTAGTGTCCCATGGAATTTGGATCAAAGCTGGAAATCAAAGTCATGCAAAAAGATATGTCAGACCTGCCACAGCTTAGGAATACAAAGCCTGTGAGATGTTCCATTGATCACCACCAAGTTTTGAGAGGTATTAAGAATTGGTGGACCACCATGATCCATGTATACTTGATGCTCCTGATCATGGGGCCTGTGAGGTATGTTCCTGTTTTTGTTATCTTATGTAATCTTTCTCTCCAGAAAATTGGTAGTATACCATGTTCATAATGTTGTCTAAAGTTTCTTTAGGAAACTTGGTACAACTCATGATGCTGAGCTAAAGTATTTCATCAGAATTCATCTGTCAAGACTTGAAAGGCATTTCCAGAAGACCCATCAAGTTTGAAGTCCTGTCAAAGGTCTTTGTCAATCAACCAGAAGACCAGTTGGAAAAACACTTTGTTGAAATTAGGAGGATGCTTGTGTAACTTATATTGAAGTTGATCAGAAGACCCAGTGAGACAACCTATCATAGTTTTTAGACGTCTTTCCCATACACTGAAGTTGTTGCCAGTCTTCTTTAACTGGAGGAGACACTTTGCAATACTGTGAAGTCTGTATATAAACTCAAAGCTGTGATAAGCCTTGGTTTGATCCCATGATTATGATGGTTGGACAATGATGGGGTGTCCATGACAAGTATTTGCACTATTCAATTTTTGTTGGTTTGCAACAACAAAGATGTGTTCTGATGTGCTATATTTGATGCGGTGTTTCAAGATCAAGGTCAATCATAAAGGGTGGAGTAAATATTTGGAGGGCTTTCAAAGATAATCATCAGTCATTCAGTGATAGTCCAAATATGAAGCCAATCACTTTTGTTGGATTGTCCATACAGAAGTCCTGAGCACAGGGTCTGCCAACTCCCCCAAACACACAAAACTACCCAGCAAATCACTTGACACACCTTGTGTACCCAACATACATCTCAGATCCAACACTGTGCCATCTCCCTCACAACTTTATCAGCTACTCACCTGCTGCTCACAATCAAATTACATGTCACATCAAGCTGCATTTCTGATATTTAGGGTATACAAATATCTTCTGGCAGGAGTTTCTTTTTTGACATGTTCTGGCATTCTGGCATTCAGAAAATTTGAATGCACTGGATTATAAACTGTGTTATCCCAAATGCCAGAAGGGTTCTGATGTTCTGTAAAAAACCTTCTGGGAATTTTCAGAAGGTATTTGTATACCCTGGGCCTAATTGTCCATCCTGTTTCAGAGGTCACTGGAATCACAATCCAGAGTCTTCAAGGCCAAATCCTCCCTCAACAACATTATAACCTAATGGATAGGTTTGCAGATTGCTATATGATTGCAATGAAATATCAAGAAATCAGGTTGCTTACATCAGATATTGTTTATAGAGAGCATGGAAAGTATATCAGGTGTTGTCAAAAAGCACACTGAAAACTAAAAATAGATGATCATCAATGGGTGTTAGAGCATCTCCAACGTTGCTGAATCCAAAAACATGTACAGGTGAGTTTTTTCCTTGGCTGGACAGCTGTATTCTTTATTCAGCAACAGTGCCCTGCAATGCACAACTGAAGTTATTTCTCAATTCCCCATTAGGGTAATTTGAGGTTGAACCCACATCAACAATAACCCAAAAGGTCCATGTCAGTCCTCAAGTGTTTCCTAGCAAAGGAAAGCACCAAAAGAACTTCACAGACAAAGATGCCATTTTACTAAATGTATATAAATTAATTTAAGAGAACTAATTCTCTATGACTACACCTTAAGGATCTAGTTTCAAAGATTCAATCATGAAATATAAAAAACATATAGATATAAACAAAAGACATCTTGAATGACCCAGTTTCAAAGGTCTACGTAAACCAACACAAATAATGACAATGGAATGTTGAAGTAAGATGTATTAAAGATCATAAATATATTTCACTAAGCTAGCAATAGATATAAGAAGACTGGTGACAAACCAAAGAAGAATAAGAAGAAAGAGAAGCTATGGCATAAGTAACTAGAAACTATAGTGAACTAAGACAATAACATCAGAACGGAGATAATAACTCAAAAGGGATAACTAGTAGTTCTGCCAAGAAGAACTTAGAGAATTGAGGATCAGTTAGACGAAGTGAAAATACCTCCTCAAGGAACACAGTTCAGATTTACATAAGGATCATGGGAAATAGCTAGGAACCAAATTCTTAAGATCACAAGACTTATCAACAAAGGCTGGGAGTAAGAGCTCCAAGTGGTTGACCATTAGTCAAAAGAAATCCAAGAAGCCCTATAAGAAGCCTTCATTCTAACAAACAAGAATGGGAGGCATTGAATTTTACCCCTTCAACTTATAGAAATAAGTTAGTGTTCCCCCTTTTCCAAGCCGGCACATAAATCATTAGAATCTACCTTTCATTTAGACTAGACTCTAACTCTTTATCTGTTCCACTTTCCAAAGTAGTTTGCTATAAAACTTCTGAAGTCTTGAAATTGTAAAATAAACGTAAATACTATCTTCCTGTTCCGATTAGAGAATATTTAGATCCTTATTGATTCTTTACTTTTCCTTATTCTCCGTAGTTAACTGTTAGCTACCCAGCTTCGATAAACAACCTTAACCAAGCCTTGAATCTATCTTGATCCCGTTCTTCAACTACAAAATACTTTCTTACTTGATCTAGAGTAAGTCTGTTCCTATTTGGTCAATACCTGCAGTTCTCGCAACGTAAAGTTGGACAAGATCCCTGTTTGTCTTAGGATAACAGGCAACTCTAAGCTTTAAGAGCACCCACTATGGGTGCGTTAACAAGGTGATTTAGTGTTACTGTAACGCTAAAATCCAGACAGGTCCACTACGGACCTGTTTTAGACATGCAGTCTGTACTGCTGCGTTAAATCTTGCACCCCGCGTGCTCAGATCTAGGCAAGCCTACGACTTGATTTACCGTACAATAATCGGTCAACAACTGCCTTTTCCAAAACCTCAAATCCCAAACTCCACAATTCAAGACTTCAAATCTCAATGGTCAAACCTTGACACCTCAACTTCAAAGTTCAAAGTTGAAAACTTATATAGTTTCCGAGCATGTTGAGTGCAGTCTTGATAAGTCTCGATCAATTCAGATTTGAGTGTGAGGAAGCGGAGGTGGTATGCAAGGTTTATCAAACAAGAAGTCAAGACTAGTTGGTGTTATTATTGTTGTTCCTATTGTTATTTGAAGACTTCTGAGATGATTGATCTTTGGGAAAAAATTATGAGGAATGTGATGATTCATTTCAAGATCATACCACTGTGGATTTGGTTGACTCACAGTGATTTATCGTTGGTAAATCAGGTCGTAAAGCAGCTCATAGTGGATTTTATGCGTTTACTAATTTATTTGTTACACGCATGATTAAATTTTGCGGTCGGGACCGCAAAATTTACGATAAAACACGCCCACCATAGTGGGTGCTCTAAGAGAAATACCTGGGTCTAAGGATTGACCATCCTCTAGTCCTCTACTGTCCCCTCAGTAGGCCCGTGGGCTCCTTTAAATTAGGACCTTAATTAGTGCATACTCCCGTCAGTATACTAATATTATTGTTATTGATTGTGTTAGGTAAAACCATGATCTTGTGTATTCCACGTACCCAGAGGAATACGTAGTCAGGAACATACTGAGTAAGTACTAGGCTTTATCAGTGACCTTTTAGGTAGCCACCCTGACAGTCCAAATGTCCACAATGTCAATAGCACCACCCTTGCTCAAAACAATCAAATAGGTGATCACACAAGATAATAAAACGTAAATAGTGGACACATGCCTAAATATTAGTCATTGTCCGGACAAAAACCGTTGAGAGATTGCTTTTCAGAATATTCAGCCAGGTCAGCAAATTTGCTGACCTGAGCATGGGAGTGGGTCAATCCCCAAAAAACAAGTTTGCATCGTGGGCCAGGTGTGGGACCTTTCCATTGGCATTGGAGGACAATTTTCTGAATAACTTGAATACAGCTTATGTTTTTGACATAAATGTAATGTTAAGTCATTCAGATTGGGGAGCATTGGAGATGGAGATGCTCTTAAGGGGCACAATCAGAAAGGGGAAGCAAAGAGGAACAATGTGAAACTTAAAAGCTGAAAACTTAACACCAAACAAACTTGATTAGGAAACAAGAACAGAAACACACAAAAAAGACATGGTGCAGGTTGAACTGGAGAAGAAGAAGGTGGGACCAAGCTCAAGCAACTCTGGTCTATGTTTTTATATCTTGAATGCTTTCTGAAGATAATTCCAGATACATTGTTTCTCACCTGATCACATACAATGTGGAGAGTTTTTTCTCATAACCAATAATCCCCCTGCAATTTGAACATTATTGGTTTTCCCAAAGCCTTGATGAAATAGATACTTGGGGTAGTATTTAAAGCTCAACAAGAGCTTTACAACACCTAAGAAGGGATAACCTACCAATATGTAACTAGCAGAAGTTATCTAAGACTGCCTTCTTCGAAGAAACCAGCACAACAGCACCTGCTGACCACTACGGCCCTCTGATGTAATATTTTGATGAAATTATCAACAACTAGTGATGCGATTTAAGCTGTGAAATTGATTAATTGATGTTTATACATCATGGAAAGATCTTCTTATGGGGAATACAGGGTTTTTTTCTAAAATTCATAGCTGAAAACCAATTTTAGAATTTTGAGTTTTTTCTAATGTGCTCCAATTTTGGGTTACTATAGCTCATCTGGTAGATCTTGTGATTTTGATGTATAATTGGCATAACATGAACTATTTCTGATGGTGATGAATAAGTTATTGAGTTGTAAAGATTGATAAAATAAACTTTTTGTGTTGTAAATGCTGTTACATGTGTGTATGGAAGTGCAAAAGTCGAAATTCATGCCATTCTCTTTGATTCCTTAGAGCATCCACAGTGGTGGGCTCCAAATTGGGGCTCCAAATTGAGTGAATTCAAATTGGGTGGGGCCCCAAATCAGTACGGATGCAGTCGTTTGGGCTTCAAAAGTGTACATTCTATGTGTTTACACACACTTTGAGATTGGTGTGCGTGGGCTTACATGTGTGAGGTATGGGCTTGAGCAAGTGCAGGAATTTGGAGCCCAGCTTTTTGTTGCCAAATTTGTAGCCCAAAGCTCAAAATTTGGCAATGGGGACCACCATTGCACCAAAAAATTAGGGCTCAGTCACCAAATTTGGCAATAGCCCCAATTTGGAGCCCACCGCTGTGGATGCTCTTATAAATTTTTCACAAATCCTTGGTTACTAGTGGTCCAAAGACTGTACATTATTAATTTAAACATTCTGGGTTGATTGAGATATCACCAATCATGATCCAACAAGTTTGGACATATGTAATTAGCTGAAAGCCTCCATTTTCAATGATCTTCACCCCTTTTCACATCTATTATTAATCTCTCTTCTTTGTAAGATCATTTTAGATCAATTCATTCTTGACAATAACTCTACAAATCATTATAAAACTCTTTTCAACTCATGTATCCCTCAAATCAATCATAACATATGAATAAATTCTGTAGTGCCCTTGTTTACCATCCTTGAATTTCCCTCTTCCTTGAATAATTCCACTCCTCCCTTCACAGTGTCATTTTACTAGTCACTGGCAGGCCAGTGAGTTCCATTCACCTCAATCCAATCTCAATTCAATGTCAGTTCAATATCAGTTTGACCTCCAATTTTGTTTGGATATGCATGGGCTGCATAATCACTCAAACCTTCCAGCCATTCTGATACCTTCATGTGTGGACATGCAACCAAACTTTATTGCAGTTCATTCTGGGAGGTTGTTTGTCTGATACTCTAGGCCAAACACAGAGATTGGATTAATATTGAACTGACATTGATTTGAGATTGGATTGGGGTGGTTGTACTCACTGGCCTGCCAGTGAGTAGTAAAATGACACTGTGAAGCTTATCAATTGCCATGATGAAAGTTGTTGCAGAATAATATAACCCTTCTATATCATAAGTTAACCTTCTTGAACCATGAAATCAATTATTCATACCCTAAAAACCATTTTCCTTGCGCCTATAATATTGACTTTTTCCTAAATTCTTAATATTTCAATAATCTTCTTTCATTCCTTTCAAAACAGATTTCATTCTATTGGATATAAAGTAAATGGCCTTCATCATAAATCTCACCTGTAATACCACATCATCAATTGAATCTTACTAATATTACTATTTTTATGATTTCTATGTTTTTTCAACTTTTTCTTTATTTCTTGCTATCCTTATCAAGTTATTTAATTAATGGGTGAATGATTGATAATGATAAAAATGATTCATAAGCAACTATAAGACACCCAATGACCATCAAAATAACCAATAAAATATGACTTTGACTAAAAGCACATCTTTTACCATGAATCTTTAAAGAAATTGCTTATATAAGAGATCCTGATCACCACATTGGTATACTTTTGACCCACATGTTTTGGGTATTAGGGGGTCTCAAGTTGGCTTTTTTTGCGTATTTTTACACTACAACAACTTGCCCGTTGTTGTAAAATATGTGTAATTTCTTTGAAGCGGGACACCTTTTTGGGTGTCCCAAATTAAAATTACATTGTTTTTACAAAGAACTTTTTTTTTACAACTGACTTGTCCAAATTTATCAAAATTACGCAAAAAAAAAGTGAACTTGAAACCATATTGGTTATTTCAGGCTCACACCTGGCACCTTTTTTGTGGCTCAGGGTGTGGCCAGGGCCATGGCCTGCCATTTAAAGAATGTCCAATCATAGCTCAACTCAATTTTAGTCACTACTCGGACTCCCTGCTGGAGGCCATGAAGGGCTTGAATGAGGGCCATGTGAGGCCTAAGCCCTGGCCCTTGCCATGCGCCCCCAGGGCAAATCCAGGCTTTGTGGCACCGGGTGTGAGCGTGAGACCAGGTTCTGTCAGAGTCTTGAGAGGTTGGGTGTGGTGTTGTATGTGTTAGGATTGTCGGACCCTCTGACACTCAGGGCTTCTGTATGTCCGGCACCCGCGGTCTATCACGAGAGTGATTCCGGTCCTGAGGTCGCATCCAAAACCACAGATTGACGACGAAATCACAAAATCTCCACGAGGTCTCGAACACCAACTTCAGATTCCCCAGTCTCGACGATCAAGAACGGAAGCGTGTATTATGGCAAGTATTGATGCATCACCTGAGCTAACAAATCTCGCTACCGAAGTGAACGAGGATCAAAATGGCGATGAAGGCTCTAGTGATGGCAGTTCGGTCATTGAATTCTTTGAGGACAGTTTACCTTTGATATTCGGACATTCAGCCTTTGCTTGTGGTTCGACTCGCTCTCGACCGTTTGTATACCAACCGCCACTGAAAGGTGAGAATGCCGCACTAGACTCATCGCTCAAGAGACAAAGCCAAGGTCAAACTGATCATGGTAATTTTCACCTTCCGCCAGACTCGGTTGATGGAGATCAGTCACTTACAAAGACTATTTCACTGCAGGTCTCGAATCCACCAAGTCAACTTACTTCCTTACAGGCGCACCACATCTGGGTTTCGTCAATTTATATGGCTGATCTCATATATGCATCCGAAATTGACTGTCATGATCGACGGATTCTTGAACTTGGAGCTGGAGCTGGATTATCATCAGTTGCGGCAGGAATGTATGGTTCACCTCGAAGGGTCGTCACAAGTGATTGGCCAGACGATCAAATTCTTCAAATTCTGAATGACAACATGGCTTCAAATTTACCTGACCATCATCTTTGGCATGTGAGTGGACATCGATGGGGGACTTCACCCGATGAACTTCTGCTGAAGGCCGGTGATACTGGCAAGCCGTCACGCTTCGATATTCTGTTACTCGCCGACGTGCTTTGGTACACGGACTCGCATGAAGTTCTCTTGGAGACAGTCAGTAACACGCTTTCTTACAACGCGGGCGCGATTGTCTATCTCACTGCTGGTTTACACGGCGGTCACCGGGCGCCTATTCAAGCTTTCGCCTGTCGGGCTGAAGCTAGAGGATTTTCTGTCAAATGGATCCGCGAGGTTCGCAAAAGTATTGAGGAGCCGCGGAGCTGGTATCCTTATGTACGACCCAGTGACGCCTCTGCAATCGAAGAATCTGGCATTGTGGTTTTCTTTTCATTACAATTTACTGATACTATGAGAGTTTAGGTTTGAATGTAGATCTACATTCAGTCTAAATATACGCTGGGTCGGGTTACTTACTGCTTTTCCTAGAAATTCTTGCCCCAGTCCCAGCTTACTAGTTTATCATAATTATTTCACCAGCAGGAAAGACCTATCTTTTTCTACCACTTATCCAGCAATTTGATTTTGATTTCATGATAGTAGCTACATGTATATAAAACAAGTCCTCTTGGAGTGACAGATTTTCATTGCAATATGAACCCCTACTGAGTGAGGCGCTGGAGGGTGATCCCTTACCAGCCCTTATCCTTATCAAACGTTGTAGTATATCACACATTGGCACCAAAGAGCAATTCAACTCATGAAGTGGGTTCCGTACAATCAAGAAAATTTAAATCTTTGACATATCATGTGTGTTTCACGACTACACAATCGACCCTTTTGTGCTCAGCTCTCCTTAGTTTGCACAGTTGGACAGTGGGAAGTTGTGTCAGAGGGTTCGATGATAAATAAATATGAATGTACTGAAATGTCTCCCCTTATGATGCTTCTCTTATAATTGCTTATGCTGATCCATTCTATCTAGAAGTTTGTTTCTTCATATTTGAATGAGGGTCCTATCCTACAAGTTCAACCTGATCATGACACAGGTCAGGAACAGTGTGTGCGTGTTGAATTCACAGCTTTTGCCCATTCGAATGCGAATATCAAACTCAAAAGATTGCCAATATTACCTCTCATGCAAAATGTCAAGTTCATCTTTGAATTGTGTCAACCGGTTTAGACTTCATACAGCATCCCAACTGAAAGAAAGGTCAAAAATCAAATAAGCTTGATACATGCTTAATCTCTTTATCACAATACATGGTTTAACTTTGGGGTAATAAAACATTCTCCAGAGGGTAAAGGGAACATACGGCATCTTGGCTGGTCAGTCTATCTACTGAATATATGCATCAGGTCCAATGTCGCTCAAGTATAGCTCACTAATACATTTATGTACCTCAACGATCAAGAATTAATAGTAAATGAAATCTGACTCAAAACATCTTTGTAAGGCCTCCAGAAGCATCAGTGAGGTGAGGATAGAAAACGTTTGAAATGAGTAATCATATCGGTGGGCACAAAACAGGCGAGATTAAATGGCGAATATTAAAAAATACAAGATATGCCTAGGATTGTTCTGGTACCGGATCCTTCAGTCCATGACCAGCCATGGCTGTCGCTAGGTTCTCTACCAACGCTCTAACCTCCATCTTGTGTTGCGTTTCTATCGTCTCCGTGCCCATGTGTGGCAATAAGCTGAGACGCGGATGTGCAATCAATCGCGGATTGATGAAAGGTTCGGAGGGAAAGACGTCCAGTCCTGCGCTCCAAAGCTACATCATATATCAACTGTCAGTCACGCGAGAAGGGGATCATTGCGTTGAGATCAGATTAGCATAAAAGCGAGTGAACTAACCCGACCAGAATCAAGCGCTGCTAAAAGAGACTCTTCATCCACGATAGCCCCACGAGCAGTGTTGACAAGGATGGCACTAGGTTTCATGAGATTGAATTCACGGGCACCAAAGCTGCCAGCCGTTTCAGCGTTTAATGGAAGATTAAGTGAAACCACATCCGATTGACTGAGAAGACTATCAAGCGAGTTCACGTATGTGACAAATGGACTCAAGTCAAATGGCGGACTGCCCGTCACAAGTTGACTTTTCTTCAGGGGATGTCGGTTGTGGTAAAGGATCTTCATAGAGAATCCGATCGCCCTGCGAGCCAATGCCTGCGAGTAAATTAGAGGAAATAAGTTTACCAATAGGACTAAGATGTGGTTCATCTGAAATTTACCCTTCCGATTCCACCCATACCAACGATACCCAAAACTTTCCCTTCGGGGTCGTGTCCAGTAAGTACGCCCGTCTTGAATTGACCTGTACGTTGGATCAGGGGAATGATATGGCAGTAGAGCATCAGCTTTGGTATTTTCTCGTCTGGTTCCGGTCTTCATTGTCATCTTCGTGATGAGGATATAAGTGAATAATTGAGATGGGTACTCTATCCCATTTTATGATGGTCTAAGTGCTGACCTGCTCGGGCAAATGCTTCGGCGGAACTAAAGTTCCTCATAGCAGCAATCATTAGATACAGCGCCGTCGTCGCCGTGGCGTCATCCACCGCTCCAGGCGTGTTCGAGACCAAGATAGCTGATTTCGCCGAAGAGAACATGAATGTAAGCCGATTTGTAAGATTTCATGTTAGAAGGTAGCATCACTGGAAGGATTAAGACTGTTTGACTGACAGCGACGAGTGCAGGCTTTGATATCAATCTGATCATATCCCGCGCCATTGTGACAGATGTAACGCACCGAGTCCGGAAGGGCGTCTATTAACTTTTCACATGATGCGCATCAGAGTAGTGCGATAGGAAACAGATGTCAATTCTCCAGGTGAAATTTTCAGCGCCAATATCATAAAAATCACCAACCTCGGCGTCAAAGGTCCCGATCAAATCAGCAGATGAATTATGTCTGTAGATCCCTTTCACGCGGCTGTACCTCCCACCAGGCCGACAATCCTTCAAAAATTCTGATCTTGAATTTGAATCGAGGTCCTTCAATCAAACCAAAGACAGAGTGGAATTAGCCGATTTGCACACTAATGCTGGCAACTGCACCTCAATTTTGAGAAAATAAGCTATATGGCGATCGGCGCAACGTAGATACAACAAAGGCCAAAAACCCCATGTCGGGGCGCAGACTTTGGCGAATATGCCGGTAGGTGAATGTGATACATAGTGGCTATTTTCACACCATAAAAAGGATCACCAGTTTAAAATCAAATGTGACTAAAGAATTCGGCCAAGTTGCTGAATTCCAATCTTTTTGGGGAATGGTGTCTGAAGAGAATCCAATGAACCATCAATGCAGAAAAAGATATCCGCAAGCTGAAACTCGGGGGAATCAGGTAAGTGCGGAAGATTGTGTGCGTAGCGCTTATAGCTCGACAGTGCAGTAGCACTGTAGATGACTCGAAAGCCAGCCGATCACATGATCTAGGATTGATGAAAAGCGCGAAGAACGCAGAAAATGGAAGGAAATGTGCCTTACAATTACGTTAAACTGGTTGCGTAGCTCGGCAAGTTCGTCACAAGCACGTATGATTACCCCGCAAATGAGTATTTGAGCTTTATCGATCTTAGCCATCGTTACAGAAGCAGGCAGGCGGTGGAAAGAAAAAGTGTGGCAGGAGGAATACGGGCGACGGAAATCGTTGTGATGTTGCTTATCTTGGATATAAGCTGGAAACACTGTCCTTTGGATTGAGTTTAGGAGAAGTAGCTATTGAAAACAATATCAGGGGTATATGATGGTGGAGGTTGGTAGTTTGGAATGAGTCTTGCTCGACACTTTGATGAGATCGTGGACTTTGTAGAAGAGCAGGCCTCCACTTGACCAGCAAGCGTGAACTTTGAGTTTGATCGTTTCTGAAAACACTTCAGCCAAAAATAAATAAATATGTAAGAAGTCAGTTGATATCAATCACTCGAAGTGATATAGACAGTCTGTATAGAATATCTACAGTGTTTAGATTTCCGTCACCAAAAATGCAACCCGTCGGGCCTTACTGAACGTCCACGGTGATGATGACGACAAGCTTCAGGAATAACTCCGTGTGGGCACGATAGGCACGTTGACGGGGGGCAATTTGCACCGGTGGCAATTTGTAAACAGCAGAGAATTCAGCGCTGGAGATCCTGAGAGACAAGAGAAACGCGTGCGATCTTTTTTAAGCAATGGGTCTCCGAGAGCTTGATTTGTACCCTTTTGTGCGACGAAGTACATGTAAGAGGGAACCTAGTTGGGGGTGCAGTCTTGGCCGCCTAGCCTTGGCATATCTCAAAAGTTGACTGACTTTGCAACGGCCAAGACCACCCACACACAACCGAACCCGTGCCCCATTTCAAAAGGATCCCCAATGAGAAGAAAGCAGGATAATCTAGACAATCGGTTGCTCGCTTGTAGCATGATGAGGCGAACCCCGGGGTTCCAAGGCTGGTATCCTCCGAAAACAATTTCCTCACCCGTCACGACAACAAAGATTCAGCTCCGTCTACTTATCTTAGTGGATCTTCGGTGGCAAAACCTGTGAGAAGTCTGTACAACAGCAACTCGTTGTGCTCCTTAAGGACACCCACCGAGTACACTTTCACTCAGCATTGGGACTTTGTTGAGTTTGAGCTTGGCCAGAATCAGTCGTGCAAACTGGATGGACTCAAAATAGGGACTGATACATAGATGTAAGGGATGGTAGGACATCCCCAAAATAGTGTACGGTATACCCACTATCAAGTGCTCCTCTGGTAACGATGCCACACCCGGCACATCCCGACAACTGCATTACGACCGGGGTGCAACCAGTACCTCAGCGGTGCCCGTTTCTTCAACCACGAGACACATTGAGCGCTCAGACTCTCCCCGGGGCAATCTACCCACATGTCAAGGTCAGTATTTCTTTTTCGAGGTCCTACGCACTCATCCAGGCTTAAACAAATCGATCCTATCAATCAGTCTGGGCTACCTTGACCGCTACCTTGACCAGTTACTAAAATTCCGGCACGACATTTCTAGGCATAGCCACGTACGACTGCGAGGTCATGGCGGCAATGTCTCGCTGTGCATCGCGTCGATTTTCTTAGGTTTTGGGTCTGTTAAATGTTTCGATTGTAGAGTGGATTCTCAAGAAGGAAGCGACCCGGCGAATCCTTGGCTGTATCGTAATCACAAAGTCTATGCCGAGTCTTGAAGAATTTCGCCGGCTGAAGGATTTAGATTGGGCAATGATGGCGAAAATCTTATGCTTGAGCTGTTATCCCAGATCATCCAGACTTTGAAGAAAGAGTTTTCTTGGCAAAAGTTATCTGCAGAACTTCCTATCTTTCAAAGAGCTCTTGCCTATTGCGGGGACAATCATCATGCCTATCCTCACTGACCCCGTATTTCAAGTTCTTCATCCCGCCCTAGAACTGATGATGGTGATGCCTTGCCCCCCCTTTAGTCTACATCCTCTCCGTCACCGGTGCTCTGTGATACATCGAGATGTCGACAATCCTTGACTCAGACAAAGGTTATCCGACCTTCCCACTTGGGACGCATTGATTACTTTCTACGCCTGCGGAGATCACTCTCGAAAGTTTTTCTCGATCTCCTACCGACAAGAGCAGAATAAACAACGATGAAGTATTGGTCTTGGCTCTTGCTTCGCCTAAATCAGATCTCCATTGAGGTGTTATGTAAAAGGCTTGAAATGGCTTTTGAGGTTACGTATATGTAATGCGATCTTTCCACTCTTGAAAGCTGTTGAAAGTGTGCTCCTCTGCGGGGATGATCTTGTTGCTGATCTTCACTGACCCCACCTTTCAGAGTTCTCTTCAACTATTTCGGACATAAAACACAACCCACAGTCAACTGTGTGATTATGTCATGTATTACGCGGAAGTGACCGGGCAGTCGCGAATATCCCATAACTCCTCTATATACAGTCAAATCACAAAAGCTTGTCACAAATTCCCCGCCAATTCGCTCGGGTTTTGCAGGCGAAATTGGTCAAGCTTCATATTCCCACGGAGGAGAAGGCAGCTGACTCCTGAGACTTGGCAGCCGGGGTGGAAACTGTGGAAACTGCCAAAGGGAAAGCAGGTCAACAGAGTTTAAAACCACGAGCACATCAGTCACGAGACACTCCTCAAGAATACACGGCTTTAAGCAAAGAACAATTCAGAATATTTGATGAAGGTGTATTCGGTTTGCTCATCTCTTTCATGTGGATAAACCATGTAGAATATGAATAATGACACTGCAGAACTCGCGGTCATGCCACTGGCTCATACAGAGCTTATATAGCAAAGAAAGAGTGAAACAGAATTTGGGAATCAAAGATCACATTTGTGATAGCTACTGCTCAGAAATATATTTAGTAGATTTGGGGCATGCAACCTGTTACATTTCTGTGGTGGGATGGAAAAATGAAATTTAGTGATGGGTGAATCATAAAATTGAGTTGAAAGGGAAACACAGAAGGCCAACTTTGTGATCAATTGCCAAGAGATTGGTAGCAGACAAGTCCCTTGTAGCCTTGTTTATGTCAGACAAATGTCATGAAATTGCTTTTTGGTCCCACAGGGCCAGAAAGTCTCAATACATACCATGACGAGCTTTGATGTTTCCCAACCCTGAAGTCCATAAATTTTGGCCTATATACATCTACTCATAAAAAGCATCTTTGACTTGAACATGGAGGTGGCCTATCTTTTTGACTTAGTAAACTTTTGGCATGGGTGGGTGGGAAGACAAACTTTCTGACTGTAAACTGAAGCTGTAAGGTAAACACAACTATACTATGCTATACTAGTGACGTGAAGCTTGAGTGAAGCTGAGGAAGATGTACATATAGGCAACACTAGGACCTCAACATAATTAGCCGTAACACAATGGACAATCCATCACATTGCAGTTCACCGTAGTCAAAGTTCACTGTGCTGTGACGTTTTGGGGGTTACCATAGCCAAATTATCATTTTGGTACGGTCAGACTGTTACGTAACGTAACACGCTGACCATCTGAAAGCCAGATTTTGGTTCATCACGGCCAGTTTCACTGAAATTATAAAAAAACTAAAAAAACTGCTGATAATATTGTTAATGAGAGACACAAAAGGAAATAAGATAGAATATCAAAGAGAGATAAGCAATAAAGATAAAAATAAGCACGGGGAAACAAGTAGAAAAATAAAAACTTGCTGAATTAAGAGAGAAAACAAAAATAGGATGAGAAGATAAGATAAAATATAATATCTTCAATGATAGTTTACCCCTAAGCCTGCAATGGTAAACTATAGTCCATTACCAAGGGTGGACAAGTAATCACATGAGGTGAGAAGCCCAGAAAAGGTCAGGGCCAAGATACTAGAGAAGTGTGGCTTGCCGGTTTCAACAAGAGAAAAAAAATCTCTTCTTCTCTAGTCATTCTGCTCCATCTTCTATCTCACCTCATTGTAAAACCCGCTGTCTTTTATTTTCCAACTCCCTCATAATGTAGTATTCAAAAATAAAATCTTCACAGGACAGATTCTTAGTTTCAAAGCTATTAATTTTTTCTGGATTCTATTTCTTTCTATTTCAAAACTCTTTTTCTAAGAAGGTTATCTAGATGAATAGGAGTCAAAAAGAATTATTATTGGCAAATAAAAACAAACTTGCTAAGTTAGCTAAAGAGAAAGAACAGGCGGAAAGAAGATCTCAAAGAGCAAGATCCAGAATGCCGAAGTCAAATGTTGATGATGATCAAACTCAATATGGATATCAGACTCAAAATCTTGGTGAAGGACAAGATCTCCAGAATCAGGCGGGAGGTCCGAATGAAGTGAAGAATTCAGGCATTCCTGGGCAGACTGAGGTGGGAGGAGGTGAAGAAGAGGAATATGAAGGAAGTAATGAAGAGGATACAGAGTCAGACTCAGCAGACATTAAACCTTTAGAACTCAAAAAGAGGGACTTGGACTTGGAGAAGCCAGAGAAGAGAAGGGAAGAAGAAAGATTTAGGCTAGAGGAAACTTGCTGTGTAGAAGCTCAACAAGCGGTTGGTGATCATGGGGTCCCAATCAATGGTGTGTGTTAGTTTTTCTTTTTTGATCCTTTTCTTTTCTAGAGTTTATAGTTATCTGGGGAAAGACCCATAGGCTGCCATGTGCACCAGAAATCTGTCAATTAAGATGGTGTAGGCTACTTGATGCGCTATAAGACATGAGCTTCTTAGATGCGCTGAATACAAGTCATGAGATGCTCAATGCACTGAATAGGGGAATATATGGTCAATGTACCTATTCTTACTAGCATTGGAATGAGGTTGTGCAGGTGATTCTGATTATACACCAGATGAGTCCTAAGAACTCATCCATGCTTACAAGATGCTCATCCAAGATGAAGATGAGCATGCTTTGGGAAACTCAAGCAATACCTAAGTATGACAGGCTGAGCACCTTAGCGCAACCAAAATGGTGAATTGAAAGAATCTGAGCAAAATTTGGAGATATCAGGAAAGTTCCCTCTGCTCACATCAATGTGAGCGCCTATTTTTCCCGCTGTGATTACGGCTCTTTCCACTGCCCTCTATTATTGTTGTTTCTTTATCTGGTTGAAATCCATCAAAAGCTGTATTTGTCCCAACTGGATTTCATGTACATCCACATATATTCTAACTTATCATTCCAATGGTACCATGTCTACATTTTATTATGTCTTTTCTGTCCCTCTCCCCTTTCTTTGACTATGTAAAGCTTTTTGCTCCATCAGCAATTGGCCACCTTAATTGTTTTTACCTCTTGGTCCATGAATCATGGTTTTGAAATATTCCAATTCTTGTTTTAAGCATTGGAACACTTATTTATAAAGCCTCAAATTTGTTTTCCTCTTTGCAATATCTCATTTTTGGTGCCATCTCATTATCAAGCCAAAATTTCAATGTCTGCATTTGGAGGGGCTCTACTTAATTTGCTGAATCTGTCTCATAATCTTCCTAATCATGTAAAGTTGATTATTTTGTCATGTGACCATACATCATTGACACCATGTCAAATTACTATTCATGTCCACAATTATCTGGATTGGGCTTTTCACTCTGTTGACGTGGTGCAAGGCACACTGAGATGGATTATAGTTCTTACGCTTAGTTAATTAATAGCACGCCTAGTACAGTACAACGTGAAATGGAATTAATGTCATCCTTCCTATGCATCCATAGGATTTCACTTGTAGAACTTACAATTTGGTAATACATTGACCAACGTGAATTGATACCTTGATCGGACAACTCAGTTGCAAATATGTGCCTTGGTAAAAATGGAGGCATTTGGAATAAATGGATTTGTTTAGACTTTTGTGAACAGATGGAGCATGTGGCCATCAATTGTGCCAATTGTGCTGGTAATTTGTGAGCACTACTAGGAGCTACCATATTTTGATCTTGATGCACTACAATCCAATGCGTGAAGTTGAGCAGTTCAATTTAGAAAGTGTTGGTCAGGTTGAGTGGACATGCATTTACTTTGACAAATACCACATCAATGACTACACAATGGTGAAGGCCATTGTGAGGTTTGACACTGGTAAGTATCTCCATCCAGGTTTGAAAATGGAAGGATACTGATTTGTCAACCACTAGGATCTTCCCCGGAACCGCTACCAAAGTATCAGGGTGGTACAATCCAGAACTCAGAGATCAATATCCAGTATAATTTTTCCATTTGCATAAGTTAGGACAGAAGGATAGAAGCCGTGTCACATAAAAGCATGTAGGTATTGAAGCTGTGTAGGCATGTGGATTGGGCAAACATCAGTGATTCAACAGGTGCTCTTTGTCCTTTGTATACATGAATTCATTGAGTTCATGTTGAATTGCTTACCCAATTTGGAATAATTGGAGCCCTTGGGAGCAAACAAGATGGAGCACATGACCTTTAGTTGTGCTAAAAATATGTGAACCCTATTGTCTTGCTGAGTACTAAAATTGAAGCTCTTGTGGATAAGTGTGACCCTTAAGGCCTCTGGCAGGCTTGCCCGTGCAAGCTCTAGTCTTTGATAGAACCAAGATAAGAGTTGCATGTCAATGCTGGTTCAGGTGATTTTCTGACACATATCTCCAAAGCACCCAATAAATGAGTTCTGAAAAACTCACACTATTGCAATCCAGACCCTCTCCCTCAAATTCAATATCAAAAACAAAACCATTTCACGAAATTAATTGAAAAGGCTTCAAGAAGATAGCAAAAGAAGATGGAAGGATAAAGACAAACTTCAATCAAGTCTAGATATATAAATCATCACTTTCATTCCACCCTCCTACAAGTTTTTGCAAATTCCTGGAAAGATTTTTCTCCAAGCCAAAATTCTGTTCAGATAATTCAGCAGCTAAATCAATATTAGACAATCTTTTTGACTCCCTCTGCAAAATTTTCCTCTGTTCCAGGACACGAAGATTTGTGGGGACTGTGTGCCATAGAGCGTGAAGATTTCCGAGTGTGTCCTGAGGTCGTAAGCCGTCAATCTGTTTTGATAAGCGACTTCCTAGGTGACGGCTTCCATCCAAGCCCGTTGTTGCGACCAGGTCAAGTATTGAGCAAAGGGTGTGACTTGAGAGTCAATATATGCCCTTTGTTTTCATGCTTGATAGACCAATCCAACTTCTTCTCCTTCATCCGCTACTTCCCCCACCACATTTCTTCTTGATTTAATTTGACTGAAAGCCCAAATACACATTCAGTATTCAACTAATTGGATCATCACTTGGTTTTTTCAAGGGTTTGATATTGAATCAAGACTTCAATGACTTTAGGTGTTGTTCCAAAAGTATTACATTTGTTTGATTATCCTGTTAAACAATGGCAATATGATGGAACTGAATAAATACTTGAGTAAACGGTATCAAATACCAGCAGGTAAAAGTTGAAGACCTGATTTGAAAAACAATTGCTTCTATATGAATGACACCGCTAAAAGCCGGGTTTTTTGATGTTATGAGATGTGTGATCATTGGATCAATTACGTCCAGATACCCATCAGGGGCCTTCCTTATACGTAGCTTCACGGATTTTGGAATAGTGTGAATCCAAACTAGTCAGGCAATTGATGAAGAGAAGAAAAAAGGAACGAGACTGATTGTCTTGAAAAATCACAATTGATGAGGTTGATATTTAATATTATGGGTTGGTAAAGAAAGGCAATACATACACTATCCAATTCTTCCAGAGAATTCAATATTTATGACAATCCGATCTGATCAGATTGTCTCAATATTCATGTCAGTTCAAGCAACAGGGAACTATGTATTGTAGAATGGAAAAATATGCAAAGATATTTATGAGTTCTGAACATTCTGATGACTTAATTGCTGTGTTCTAGTTGTTGAGCATAAAGTGCTTGGCTACCATGTGCAAAGAATGAAATTTATTACAAGAAGTCATGGATGATGCTACAACCAAGTATCTTCCTTGATCATATAAAGTATGCCATTAAATCAACAAAGAAAAGTTGTCAGACAAGAGGAGTACCTCAAACAAGAGATGGATTTTTGTCAAAAGCAAAAGATTGTGTGATCACATCCCATCACCTTCTTTGTAAAAGATTTATGGTTCCAGCCATTTAGCTATATTTGTTTCAATCCTTTATTAGCTTCACTTTGATGTCAAACGTTTTCAGTATCTCTTCCATCTTCTCTCTAGTTAGCCGGACCCGTGCTTCCCCTACATCAACGTGCAAGTTACGGACATCCAAGACCAAGAGCTTAGGCCAAGTACGTCGAGATAAGTGACTTTGCAGCGAGTCCCATGCATCATCTTCTATGACACCATGATATTCAAGGACTTCTACACTTTTACAGTTTTCAAAGTTTTCAAGTAAATCGTGAAATCTATGAATTCCTACGTGGAGAGTTTTCAGAGCCGGGAGATCGAACCGAACTTTCAAATCCGATGTATCTTTAATTTCATCCATCGCGATCCAAAGTTGATTAAGAAAGGGGGTGTTACCACTGAGCAATTCATGGGCCATGCCAAGTGACATTCCAAAACAATAGCGAAGATCGACGCTTGTCAGTCATTCAGCCCAAGACGTCAGGCTCCATGTCTGATCCTCGCATGTGATGTAGTAAAGACTTAGTTCGCGCAGCTTTTGAAGCTGGACCAGATTCCATCCCAAGGATTCTTCTTCAGATTGCTTTTGAACAAATTTAAAGCAGAAGAGATCCAATGAAATGAGAGATGGTAACTGTTTGATGATATCAATTATAAATTCGCCCGGAAGATCTCTGGTTCCGTTGTCCGATATTGTTAAATGTTGGAGTTGCGGAAGAAGTTGAAATGGGGTTTTTAAGCGGACAGTAAGACCAGAAAACCATTCGGATTCGTGTGCACCTTCTGTATCTGGAAGATACAGTGTGACCGACTCTATCGATGGGCAGACTTTGAAGATCTTCCCAATGTTCAAAGGTCCAATTCCGCATCTGATATCTTCGCCAATGATGAGTGATGTATTATCATAGAGACTCCTTTTACTCTCTGATGACTGATGAATACCCTGGTAGTAGATCTTATCTTCCAATTCAAATTCGGCAGATTTGACCCAGGTGGCGTGTTTTAAAAGGATATCGTCCGTCCAAAGTGCCATAGGGGCAGGCATCGAAGTGGGGAATGTGATATGCTGATATGGTTGATAAACTTGGATGAGCGCACTCATCTTTTGATGTAGATCAAAGCGGAATTCATGCAAAGAAAACGATTATACCTGCCATAATTCAGGAAGACAAAGCCTGTGAAATTTCCGATTGACTACTGCCAGGTTTTGAAAGGTATTGAGAATTGGCGGGCCTTCGTGACCCAGGTATACTTTAGTTGTCTGACCTTGTATGAATGGGGTTCGGGCTTGGCGCTCCATCTTTCTTTTCGTGATAGATGTATGCTCTTCGAAAGACTGGTGGTAAATCATGTCGACAATGTTGTCCAGGATTTCTTCTGGAAAATCTGCACGATTAATGATACACTGAGCTGCAGAACTTGATTGGAATCGATTTGCCAAGAATTGAAAGGCGTCTCCAGCAGACCCATGAAGGAGAAAGTCCTTTTGGAGTTCTTCGTCAATTGACCAGAAGATAAGACTAAAAACTGCTGGATTCAACTTTGGATCGTGTTTGTGCGAGTCTTGTTGAAAGTAGTTGGATGTCCCAGTTAGATTTCGTAGCATAACGTTCAGTTGTCTCTCCCATAAACTGAAGTTGTCGCCAGTATTCTTTAACTGGGGGATACGCTTTGCAAGATCTTGAAGTTGGCATATGAGCTCATAGCTACCAGTCTCGATTGCGATCTCAGGTTGATGATGGTTGAACATAGCTTGATTGATGACGCTCATATTGACTGTTCAATCTTCGAATATCGTGGAATGGAGATGAGTTTTGAAATAGAACACGAAAATGAAATGTGTAAGTCGAATCAGAAGCTTCAAGCAGCAAGGCCTCTTCCGAGGCTCTTGACTGCTCTTGATCCTCTGAAGGATCACCTGAAGGAAATCGACGTCGGGCTTCTGACTTGCTTGTCAGTCCCGGTCCTCATAATAAGTTTGACGAAGACTTGTCCCGACGTGGGCAGGGATTTCAGCAGCGAAGTTTAGGTTTTGTCAACAGAGCTCAAGCCGTTTCCAATTTCCTGGTGTAAGAGCTGGTGCTACCTTCTGAAGTGCATTTAACGATCTTACACATTCGGTTCAATCTTTCTCATTCTCGTGGTCGATCATAGCTCATCTTCGTCGTACAATTACTGAAGATTGAATATCGAAGATACTCGTTATGGACGCACAATCTTTGTCCGAGCATCGCAAACCTGGAATCGCCACCGAGGCTTATAGCTCTGAATTTTTATGCAAACTTCCTAGTATTGCAAAACATATCACCCAGTTGAAGAAGACTGGCGCCAACTTCAGTGTATGGGAAAGACAGTTAAAGTTCATGATACACAATCTGACTGGGTCATCTGACTACCTCCTACACGAGTTACACAAGTACGATCCAAAGTTAAACCGAGCAGTTCTCAACCTAATATTCTGGTCGATTGACGAAGAGCTCCAACAGGACTTGAACATTGATGGGTCTGCTGGAGACGCCTTTCAAGTCTTGTTAGCCCGATGCCAATCATATCCTTTGACTCGTGCCGATTTTCCTGAAGAGATTTTGGACAACATAGTCAATCTAGTGTACCAGGCATCTTCTGAAGAGAATGACTGTATCGAGAAAAGAAGACTGGAGCGAATGATTCAGGCCCCGGCCACAGGTTCCGCATATGTAGCATATCTGGATCACTGTGGTCCACCAATCCTTAATACCTTTCAAAACTTGGCGGTTGTCAATCGAAGGTTTCACCGACTTTGTCTTCCTAAGCTGTGGGAGGTATGATCTTTTTTTGATGATCTCCAGTTTGGATCTAGGTACATTGAAATTGAAACGATGCATTCTTGATTTTATCCGATGAACACATCAGAAAATCCAATTTCCAAGCGCCCTTCCCGCTCCGATATCACTTTGGACAGAGGATATACTGTTGAGGCATGGGCACCTAGTGAGATCTCTGGAATTTCGATTAGAAGATGACCGACTTGTTCGCGATATGCATCAGTTTGAAAGTGAAAGGAGTCTCTGTGATAATACGGGTGTCGTACCCAATCCACAAGGCTTCATGGGGTACAGAGAAAAATACGGTATTGGACTCGGGAACGTCGGAGAGTTATTTAAATCGTGTCCTTCTCTAGCGTCGGTATCAGTAACTGTTCCAAGCTTTGCGTACCATCATGCAGATTGGATTGCGCATATCACAATGGGCTTAAAAGGTCCATTCCGTCTTATTCCTCAACTGCAACATTTAAAGCTGAAATATTACTCTGAGGACGGTATCTCAAGCGAATTTGTATTTGACCTTCTTCGACAACTACCATCTCTCGTATCCTTGGAACTCTGTGGATTTAAGTTTAGGCAGAAACCAACGATAGAAAAATCTTTGGGATGGAACCTGGGCCAGCATCAGAAACTTCGCAAAGTACGATTTGACAATGTGACGTGCGAGGATGGAACTTGGACCTTGAACTCTTGGCCTCAGCGATTTGAGAATATCACAGTGGTTTTTTGCAGTGGATTGTCACCTCGCGTATTGCACGGACTACTCAGCGGTTCTGCCCCATCCCTTACCGAACTTCACATCATGCTTGGCCATTTCCCAGACGAACCACACGTGAATGTTCAGTTTGATATCCCGGCTCTCAAAGAACTCTCCATAATCCACAGTGGAAACTTTGACCTACTCCTAAGGTTTGAAAACTGTAAAAATATAGAAGCCTTTTATTATAGTTGCCCTATAGATGATGATGAGTGGAACTCGATGAAGCGGTATTTGTCTAAATATACTTGGCCCAAGCTCTCACTTCTAGATTTTCGTCCTTCAATATTCTTTTCAAATAACAAAGAGTCAGCTAAGATGGACGTGAAAGAAATTTGGAATTCTTTCAAAATCAAACTTTTGGTCAATGTGGAGATTGATTGAAACGCAAATCTGTGTACATGTTCGAATGAAACCACTAATCTTTGTCAAATGTTGTAATTTCCTGATTCATTTGTATTGTCTTTCTACACATGTTACCTTTTATTGGAGATCTGTCCATCGTCCAATGATAGCACTAGGTTTATCCAATCTTGAAACATGGCATATGATCAAGGAGGATAATATGTTATACTAAAGATTATTGCCGACTTCATTGAGTCATAACATATTGCCCTTTTTTGCATGAGCACCTCAAGCTCAAGCTCAACAAATCTTAAATCTTTAAAGTAAGCATTGCATCGATCAAGATAATTAATTGCTTGATGTTTTGCATTGCGCTAAGTGTCCCAATTGTTTTGGCTAACTTGTCTTTTCAAAAAGCTCGTTCTGAGCTGACTTTCACTAATGCTAAGACTTCATGATCATTCAGATATCATTTTCATCTTCTTCCCTTACATATCAAGATATCAATTTATCAACCCATGCCTCATAAACCTCGCACCATTTTCAAATGTGATCAGCTTTTTTGTTTCTCTTCTCATGATCTGCATTGATCACCTGCCATACAGTTTTACGGAGTTTTCTTGTTCACCTATTTTTCAATCTTGGACTACCGAATCAATAATCATAAGCTCCTAGATCAATAAAGTTCTGATCCATCATCTCATCTTACGCTATGAAAAGGCAATGTAAAATCTGATGAAAATATAAGGTCACAATAAAGAAAGAGGAGAAGTGAACTTGTCTAAATGTGCCATCAAAAAGATAAAATGGCACAATTCAGAACAGGTCATGTTTACTGTCTTTTATGCACTGTAATGTCTAATCAATCATTCTCATTTCCAAATACATGAACCAGTCTGAGAAACTTTCTCAAGAAACTTTGGAGTGGTCAAAACTCATATACAACCACCTTCAATGAGACCTCAATGAAGGTTTCAAAACAATAACCGTTCAGAGAGTCCTGTTGACCAAATTTTAAAGCGCCCGTCAAAACATCCAGTTCTGACACATTTTCGATATTCGCATCAAAATTTCGAAGGAGCAAGACAAATCTGAATGAAGGTTAAGATTTCAATTCAGCAATCTTTGATGTTTGTTATAAGACTACAAATACCCATTGAATCAAATCCAGCTGCGTTTTCGATCACCGCTAGGGCTACAACATCGACACAATTACTCCAGCGAGAGGTGTCTGTGTGTGTTTTCACTGATCACTTTTGTTTTCACTGACTGATTTTGTATCCCGCCCCTTCTGCTTCATCCGCCTTCATATATGATCTCATGTTACTTTTACATTCTCATTCTCCTCATCGTAGCCAATTTTTTCTTCTCTGTCATCATCAGTTGAGATTAAGGAACCTCAAAGCGTGCTCTTATATTATGCGCTTATAGTGCTCTTTTACTTACATCACTCTTGAGTAATGACACAATGATTTTGAATCCTTGTAAAGGCTCTTTGCATTTACCATTGTACTTCTCTCTCTTTATTGAACTCAAACTCATTGTTTTTAGAATATTTGTTTACTCAGATTGTTATTTCTCTTGAATCAGGTGCTTTAGCTTTATTACAAAGCTAATAAACTGAATGTCACAGGTTTCTCATTCAATCTCATCACCTAAAGCAAGTGAGTCAAGGATGCTGGAGTGGTCTGTCCCATAGCAGCAGCAACTTCAGAGGTGAATGATTGTCGAGCACAGTCTCAGGAAGATATGCTAGAATGGCTTCAGGCAAAACCAAGTGAATTGGCACTTCCGTGAGTTCCCTATGGGTTTGGTGAATACAAAAAAATGATTAAATCTGAAGAAATTCCCTTTTGCAAAAGGTCTAAATCTTCAAAGTATAAGTTCAACACAAAAACCTTATCCTTCATCCAAAATTGCAAATCACAAAAACAGAAAAAACAACATGTAGAGAGAGCAAGAAAGCCCTACCATAAGAAAGAAAGGAGGTAAGGTTCAATCAATAATACTCTGATTTAGAGATCTGCAAGTAAAAAACACTGATTTGACTTCATGAGAATGTTGTTGCTGAGTTTATGTCCTTTTATACTATGCCTTTAAAGAACAACATTCAAGATGACCCATTAAAGAATAATTTTGGTCCAATATCTTTATCAGTTTGATATTCAGGTGATGTGATCTTGATGTGAAACTTGTGATTGTCTTCAATTTGCATAATCAAATAGTTCCCTTTTGATATCTCAGATAAGAGTCACCCTGAGTTTTTGAAAATAGATTAATCAGATTATGTTTACTAATTAGTACAATGACAATCACTAACATTCTGCAAAATCGATGATGAGGCTTGCAAAGACCAAGTCTTGTAGACATATTTGAACAGTGGTTGCATAACCCGTTTTATCAACCCACATTCCTAGCTATAGATTTTCTGTTGCTTTGTGTACATTTTTCTAAATAGTTTTTGACTTGGTTTGTTATAGGTAAAATAGTTGAGGTGAAGTTAAAACTTGAAATTTAAATGTGAAATTTATATTGCATTATGACACTGTAGTAGTGTGTTTTTATAGAGGGAAATATGATCCTATTTTTAAAACAGGTCAGATGTGCAGGTATATTTATATACATTCCTGGCGAGAAACCTTCCTCACAACTACATGGTAATGTTATCTTTAGCTTCATTACTGTCATGTTTGTCTTCAATTGTGCCCTATTGTACAGGGCAAGTCATCGTATCTACTGTTAAAGAGAAGTTCATTGGCCTGGCTTCCCATATTTATCAATGACTGTCCCTAATTCAAAGTCCAATGCTAAACAAAGTGATAAGCTCTTAAAGCACTACTCAAGCAATTTATGCCTCCATTCTCCTTGAAGTTTAAACAACTGCATTAGTATGCACTACCATGTCAAGACACCAGAATCACCTCCAATCTCAATTGCCAAAAAATACAAACTATTAACCACCTTCAACATGATTAGTTTTGTTGTCTTATATATTAAGGATTATACACAACTGATAGAGATATGTGTAAGAAAACAATCAAGGTGTGAAGCATTATTCCACACAATTTCTGTGCACATGGAAAATTCAAAGTCTATGCTTCAGCAGATGTTACCACATTAAGACATAACAATCAGAATCATCTAAATTTTTGATGCACAAGAATAAGGCAAAGTAGATGGACTGTAAAGATATTAATACAAATGAGATTATTTCAATACAATCATAATGAATGATGGAGTCTTGGTGAGAAGAAAGGGAAGAATTAGCAAGGTGGAGTTAACAGGGTATGGAGACAGTTCAATTGGAGAATCAATGAAGAAAACACAATGGTTATTTTACAGTAGGAAAAAGGATTGACAGGTGATGATTTGATAGTGAGGGTTGCTGATTGTGGTGGGATTCATTTTGAAAGTGGAATAGGAACCTGCTTTTTATGAGGCCGATCAAGGACGCAATACAACAAAGGACCAAAGGTAAATGCACAATATATAACCAAAAGTCTTTGAAAGACTATACAAAATATTGACAATGAAAACTGATATGATACTGTAGAAAAAATAAAGGAAATGTGCAGGTAACCAGCATAAAAGGAATTAACAAAACAAATCACAGAAAATTTGGACCAATCTATACTATTACAAAAGAACAACAAAAAAATGAATTTGTATTTTGAAAATGGAGTGAAAGGGAGAGTAAGTGATTGTAAAAAGTTTGGACATAATGAGTTTTAAGGGATGGTACAGGTGAGGTGTGAGAAAGGTTGACTTAACAAAGATTTTTCTACAAAAGCTCATCAAACATTATGGCGGTAAAGGTGAACCAAAAGATGAGGTGATACAAACAATCTGAACTAGAAGGCGCAAATGACAACAGGTTGGCTGCAAACTCTGAATTGACAACAGGTCAACTGCAAAGGCTCAATTGACAACAGGTCAACTGCAAAATCTCAATTAACAAGAGATTGACATCAGAAGGTCACCAAGGATAGGGAACAGGAACTGAACTCTGGATGCATACCCAGTCAACTCAGGAAAGAAGATGACCAAACTCATGCAAGTGGTCCATCTTTTTAGTATCTAGATATCTCATAGCACAATCCTTCAAAGCTCAATCTGATACATGTCTTATGGACTACTTGTGGTGGCAAGAAGGCCTTTATAGGATGCTTGGTATCTTGCATCAATGACAAGTGGAAATTGGAGGTAATGCATCTTACTCTCAAATTAGTTGCTTGGAAAAAGAATGGTAGGCTTTTGACAAGGCCAGTTGGAAATTTCCTGGTTTGACATGATCTGTGTGACAGGATAAGTATTATTTTCAATTATTATCTTGTCCTTGCTTCTCATTCCTCCTTTGTAATCTATATACTAACCCATGCCTTGTTCTATTGTATCTACATTCTAGCCCAAATAACACTACCATGGCTGCCAAAATGGAAGCAATATTCCAATTGGCAGACAAACCAGTCAATTAGGAGTCATCAAGAAATTGAATTAGGTGTTATGCACACGAATTGGCAGTAATGGTCAAGGCTGGTTCAAAAGTGCTCAATCTACATTCTGGACACATCATACCAACAACTGCACCAGGTAGAGCTCCTAAGGTTCTGTTGCAACCACAACAAGGGAACTTTTATTTTGGTTGGTTATCCATCAGACAACATACAAGATCAAGAACCAGAAGAGGAAGATGTGGACTTGAGCATGCCTTCAACTCTTCAAGGATCAAATGTGAGTGTGGAAGGTGAAGATGACAACCTTCACCACCAACAAAGATGCCTTGGATTGGAAAATCTAAGGCATCCTTGGATGGCAATAGCCTCGGACATGTTATCTGAGTAAATGATCCAAGGCAATCTTTGGGGAAAAACAAAGCCTTGAGTGGATTCCTTGGACACACAATCTGAGGGAATCTATATCCAAGGAGATCTTGGATTGGAAAATCTGAGGTATCTTTGCTAACCGTGCTGGATGAGGAGGATCTGGAAGGTCCTCAACTTGTTGACCTAAGTCAAGCTTCCAATAATGTATTTCCTGCAGTGTTCTGTAAAGTACGTTTCAATCATCATCAACACTTACAGATACAACATGTTTACTATCTTCAAATTAGGTTTGAGTTGTTGGAAATGAAATTGCTACATCTCACGCAAGGATCCAGCAGTTTGAAGCTGTCAAGAAGGAGTTGAACTAT